CAACCTTGTTGATTGCTTGTTGCCCGTGTCCCACCAATCTCGAGTCTGAGGATGCTGGCGCTCAGGCGCCGCAAGACCGCGCACAAAGCTTCCTCCTGACAGTTCTCCAAAGTTCCAACGCAGGGTCTCCGCAGCGTGACGCATCGCTGGTCATCGGTCGGCCCGTGGACTGAGGCGAACTGAGGTCTGCGCGCCAATTCCGGACGGAGGAGGACCCTGGTCGCTCTCATCGAACATGAAGGCCGACGGCAAGGGCTGTCGAGCGCTTTCGCGAGATTCGTTCAAACGATTCACAACGCTTTCTTGCCTAAATTGCAGAAGTCATGTCGGTACAGCTAATCAGCATTGGCAATCTCAGCATGTCGCAGCTGCCTCACAATCGACCGCACGCGCTTTCTGGCAAGCTTCTGCCGGTGCCTTGTCCGACTCAGCTTGCAAAATCACAGCTGCATCGAGGAACCCCAGAACCTGGAAGAGCTCCCAGCGTCGAAGGTGCAGTGCATGTGGAGACAACTCTTGTGCACTAACTCGAGGTCTTGCTTCGTGCAGGAAACACGTCCTTGCAGCAACAAAAACCACCCGCTTGCCTCGAAGGCAGTGAACTGCTCCAGCCGACCCTGGGCCTTGCGAGCCAGGGAGAGGTTTGGGAGCTTGGGCTCCAGGATGAACTCATGTCCCTATCTTTGCAAGGTGACTTGGTGACTTGGAGTTTGGACGTTTTCAGTTCCGTCACGGCTTACGTGTTTTCCATTGTTTTCCCACCAGACGTCCAACATTGAGCCGTCCTCGCTGGGGCAAGTTCAAGGAGTCTATGATGATGCCTAGCCACCTAGCCTTCCCTGAACAACAGAAAGCCCTTCGAGCCTGTAACATCCTGTAACAGAGCTGATGGGCATGCTGCTTGAACCGTGTCTTTTCCCCTCAACCATGTAAGTGCCATTACCAGCTTCTAAGAAGCGTCTAGCTAACCCAGTAGAGGTTCAATACCACGTTGCCATTCGGACACAGTGGATTTCGTGATCCCTGCCTACACTTCTTTTTGAACTTTGAACGTTGCTCTCTGAAGATTGGACTGAACTCACTGCCAGCCGACTGCCTGCCTACCACCCCGGTCACCTCTGAAGGGTAGGATAGCTTGGTTGGCGAAACGCTGAAAGCGTGCAGATGGACGTCAACGTCGTTGCAGCCTGACCTCAGAGGGTAACCTGACGTGTCGGGCCCCTCGCCTCTGCCACTAGTCTGTGGAGCAAGTCGCCACGGGCGACCTCAGCGGAGATTCCCAGGCTTCTCTGTGACTGCCGTCGCGAAAGACTTGCAAAAACAGTTAACGATCACGTGAACTGTTGAAGCATGGACAGTTGGCTGTGCTTAAGATGTTTTGGAGAGAACTCGCACCCACCAGTACTGGAAGATTCCGCTGCAAGCCCGTGACTGAGGACGAGACCTTCAGGAGCGAGAAGGAGTGAAGCAGGTGGATCGCAGTCACATTGCGCCGCATCGCCTTGACAGATTGCTGCCATACGCAGCAATATCCTACAATTGTATCAGAGGCAAGTCTGACCTTCAGGTCCGTCGCATTGTCGTGGAGGATCCAGCGTTTACCTTGCGATCAGCTCCAGCACACCCTAGCACGAAACATTGTTTGACCAGTGCCGGTGGGCTGGGGCGGCTGCTCGTCTCCAAGAAGCTATTGTCTGTGTAGTTGGCTGCAGCGCAGACATACAGCACCTGCAGGCGTGGTTTGAGGAAGCCCAAGCCCAAGCCCAAGCCCAAGCCCAAGCCCAAGCCCAAGCCCAAGCCCAAGCCCAAGCCCAAGCCCAAGCCCAAGCCCACAACGCTTCTTCTCACTGCCGAGGAGACCTGCCTCCCCAAGCGCGTCAACGTCAAAGTCCTGGAGACGCTCGTGCTGACTCGCATTGGCATCCAGGAGCTCACCTCACGCACAACCGGCAGCGCACGGAAAGTGTCAGATCCAGGGTTGGAATCGGCCCTTCAAACGAGAAAAACACACCTGCCTACAGCGCCCCATTCAGTGCCCATTCTGCATCATTTTCTCATTCGCTTCCCGTGTTGTTCGCCGAGAAGCCGTAGGCCAAGAGTTGAGTAGGGTTTGCCATTCAATGCCATGCCGTCATTTTTGAGTCTTTTGGAGCTTGGGGTTTGGATGCCCCATTTCAGATAGACAGAGAGAGGTTCTATGATTTTCATTGACTCTGCAAGGTGCAGGTTCGGAATCAAGACCAAATCACAACTCCTGAAATGGTGCTGGCTGACTCTGAGTGTTGGGGGGCATACAGGCCTCAAGAAGCCCAATATGCATTTGGTGCTGCGCTGCAAAAAAAGACCCCTGGAGAAACCCTGCAGCAAAACCCTCGAGAAGCTTCGGGAAGTGCCGACCCACACCGCAGTTGCTGAAGCGTGTCAACTAGGATGCCCTGGATTAAATTGGACACACCACCCCGCCATGAGAGAATGACGGACCCGCAAGGCACAATTGTCCACGCCATCAAAAACAGCTTGCGAACTAGAGTGCTCAGGCTCAGAAGTGATCCTCCGGGTGGCCAACCCCAATCAACCCTAAGCCGCGTTTAGCCAGGATGCGTGACTCAAAACAGCTCTCAAATTCGCCTCGGCTTCCTGCCGAGAAGCGTCTGGAACAAGCAGACCCGGATCGGTCGGCCTCCTTCCCCCTAACCCAACCCTTCCCCCCATCCAAAATTTTGTGACGCCACCCATGGGCCGGCCCGGCTGCCGAGGCGGCGCGCGCAAGCGATTACAATAACCTAAGACCCACAAAATCCCGTTGAGCAAAGAACTATAAACTCCAAAACCCGCAGATCGGTGGCCAGAAGCTGGGAAATCCTGGCGGATCGTTACCAGACTGGGACCTCCATTGCTCAAAACACTGGATAGAACCGCAAAACAACCCTGGGCTTGTCGAAGTTCCCGCACTCAAGGAGGGTCAAAAGACCCGGATTCCCGAATGATCGGGTTTAGGGTTCAAGGTGTGGGAATCGCCACATGGCACGACCAAGGAGCTCATGCAACATTGACTCTGACTCTGACCATCTGCTTACCAGGCCGAGTCGCTCAGTCGGTAGCCCAGCCGTCCAGTGCAACGCCGCAGCAAAGGGAGGAAGTCTGCCTCCAAGGACTCGTTCGGCCTTGATGAAGAGCATCATTGGACTTGCCCAAATATTTGCCAGCAATGCTTCTCTGCGAACTTCTTGTCGCTCAGCTCTGAGCACCAGCTGCATCAACGCCTGGCGCAATCGCAGGCAGTGCGCTCTAGGTTGCAATGTCTGGCACGCTTGCCCTTGCGCACTTGTCGTCTGTTCAAGTAAGTCGAAATAACCAATACCGAAAAACAAGTGTAGCCGGGAAGGCTGCCAGTGCGCGGGGGATGGCACGCAGCGGCAGCTCGCGGCTGCGCCGATACCTGAAGTCATACACTCGTGCAGTCGCGATGGGTGTTCCTCTTCAGAATCAAATGCAAGCCAGGTGGCAGCTGGGCTCCGAGGCTGGCAATCTGGTTTTGCAGCTTCTTCTTGACCTGCCCATCGCAAGGGCCAATGAGGCCAATGCCACGCTGGGCATCGGGAGGACAGAACCTGATGTGAGCATGCGCGGCGGGCCTGGTTGTCATCCATGCTCTCCTCACCAGTGACGCCTCCACAGTCTGCCCCAATGGGGGGGCTCTGCTTTCGGCAAACAGAAGAGCTGCTGGATTGTCATTGTGACGACACACAAGATGACACAAGTCAAACTTCGTTGTGGGGGGACTGGCACCTGAAGCTTGGAGAGCAGCTAGCTCTACCAAGGCGACCAACTGACCTGCGCGATGCCACTGCGACGTTTAAAAACCTTGGTTGAACTCAAGCTTCCTCAACACGGGCATGACCTGATAGGTGACATGAGCTGGAGGTGCATGCTGGAGGTGTGCGTGCAAGACTTTCGGCTACCGCTGGTCTGATCCACGCACTGGACGCTGCACTCACTGCACCATGCCCATAGTGGGCTTAGGGCCGTTTAGAGTTTGAAGTACACTGACCGTACTATCACTGCCTGCACGAAGAGTCGCCGCCTTCTCCACGAGATGCCTGAAGATCTGAGCAGAGCTCCTGCGCGTTCGAGGGTTCAGGGGTTGCAAAAGGTTGTAAAGCTGTAGTAGGAGGCCGGGCTGCCTTCACCATGTGCTTTTGGGCGAAGAGCCCCCCTACCCGCCCGCTACCCTCACCGCTGCCCCTCCTGCCCGCCCCCCCCATGGGTAGGCCTAGGGGTGGGCCAACCATAGGCCTAAGGTAGGCCTACCTACTTCCACATGCATGTTCATGCCCCAGTTTCAATGTGCTTGCACAATTTTCAAATGGAATCACATGGCCTTCCATGGACATGGCTCGTGAAGGGCAAGGCTGCCCCCAGGCATTCCAGCAGCACGGCAGGCTGCAGGCCTGCAAAGAAGACAACGGCCGAAGAAGATCTTGTGAAGTGCTGAAGCTGTTAGACTGTGACTGCAGCGCAGATGCCTGCATGTGGCCGCTCAGCAGACGGCAGCTTCCTGCAGCGCTCTTGGACTGTGAAGTGCAGTCAGTGGGTTCATAGTTGGCTTGTTCTTTTTTTCCCTAGGCTCAAGTCCACGGATGAGCTGTGGTGCGATGCTTCCAAACATGCAAAGCTGGCAATTGAAGCGCTTGAAGGAGGTGGGGAGCGGTTGCAGCAAGCGGCGCGCATGAGTGACCTTAGGCCATCCTGCTTCTGTCCTGGAGCCTCTGAGCATCTGGCCGAGTACCAGCTGGCCTGGCCTAGCCCTTTCTTTACATCGCAGTCTGCCCCAAAAGCCCCAACTGCTGAGCTGTCAGCCCCACCGCGACAATGCCTTCGCCGCCGTCCGGAGTCCTGTAACACCAAGTCCCTACCACTAGCAGCTGGGCACTGAGGCCAGCACAGCCATGACATCTCACTTATCACCCTTAAACAGCACTCCAATGAAATGGAGGAAGAAACACATAGAAACACCCCACAAAAAGTAGACGGCCCTGGCTTCTCATCCTACGAACAGCGGCCTGTAGGTCCCAGCATCCACGGTTCCGCAGCTCCTCTGCACTGTTAGGCTAAGCTCTGAAAGTGTCAGAACCTCTTGGATGCGCTTTTTAGACCTTTGTTGAGGTCTTCAGATTTGATGGGATTTCTTAGTTTATAGTCTGCCCCGGGACCGCCGACACAGTTGGAGGTGTTGACTCCACGAAATTTGTTGTGGGCCGCTGGAAACTCCCACTTGCTTCGGCCGGCCTCCACTTGCAAGTAGCTCGCGATGCTGTTGCTTTGCTGGAGCCATGTTTTCAGTCCGACAAGCTTGCGTTCGCAGCATTTTGCTGGAATAGGCACAGATCGACGCTTGTTAGGTGCAGCCGCGTGAGCCTTTGGTGAGGTGCTTGCTGCTTCAGACCATGAGCTGCCACTTGGAGGCCCTTGGAGAAAAGGGTATGCCGTATGCCTCCCCTTGGCCCTTGTCACAGGCGCTCTGCGCGCTATGGGTTGCACCTACGAGTGAACAAAGGTCGCTACTACGAACCTATTATTTCTAGACATATGTACACCGTGAACCCTCAGCAGCACTAACCCCAAACCCGATACTTCAAACATCCCTCAAGATCCCCACCATCCCAGCCTGACAAATGCTCAGCCGTGCAGCGAAGCAGCCGTGAAGGTTGGTCCTAGATTGAAAAAGGGGAGCTATGCAGAAGCCACTGCGCTTAGGGGTTAGGGTTCTTTAAGATGCAGTTCCTACTTAAGCTACTTAAGGGAGTACTGGGTGTGGGAAATCAGAAGCAACTATAGCAGGTAATTGGAACCTCCTTGCAGCAGTGGATCTTGTGCATTCGCCCACTTGACCTCTGCCTGAAGGATTGCCAGAAGACTCCTCTGTAGAGCCTGGCCAACGAAACCTGTGTTAACATGTGTTCATGAACTCTAAATATGACTATAAATTACTTGAGGGCTCGGAAGCACTCGCACAGCGACTTGCACCTTCTGGCGGCCGCTTCCAGCTAAAAGAAACCAGGTGCACTTTTGCAACACATGTCTCACGGATCTGTGCCAGGGGTTGTGGTGTTGGCGAAGGGGTAAGGAAGCACTTGTTTCCGAGTGCAGGTCTGACCCCTTTCGTGCTGCATCGCTCCGGGGGTTGGGGTGTTGGCGAAGGGGTAGGGGTAAGGAGTGAAGGCTTGACCCCTTTCGTGCTGCATTGTTCCCTGGGCTGGGGTGTTGGCGAAAGGGTAAGGAAGCACGTGTTTCCAAGTGAAGGTTTGACCCCTTTCATGCTGTATCGCTCCGGGGGTTGGGGTGTTAGCGACGGGGTAAGGAGTGAAGGTTTGACCCTTTTCGTGTTGCAGTGCTCCGGGGTTTGGGGTGTTGGGGGGGGGGGGGGGGTTGGGTGTTGGCGAAGGGGATAGGAGTGAAGGCTTGACCCCTTTCGTGTTGCATTGTTCCGGGGGTTGGGGTGTTAGCGAAGGGGTAAGGAAGCACTTTGAAGGTTTGACACCTGTCGTGCTGTATCGCTCCGGGGATTAGGGTGTTGGCGAAGGGGTAAGGCATTGTTCCGGGGATTGGGGTGTTGGCGAAAGGGTAAGGAAGCACTTGTTTCCGAGTTAAGGTCTGACCCCTTTCGTGCTGTATCGCTCCGGGGGTTGGGGTGTTGGCGAAGGGGTAGGGGTAAGGAGTGAAGGCTTGACCCCTTTCGTGCTGCATTGTTCCGTGGGCTGGGGTGTTGGCGAAAGGGTAAGGAAGCACTTGTTTCCGAGTGAAGGTTTGACTATTGCTCCGGGGGTTGGGGTGTTGACCCGAGTCAGAAGCATTCTGAATTCGCTTGCTCTTGCCAGCTGCCATTCAAGCTCACTCTCTCTCATCTACTGGGCTGGTCGTTAAAACGGCTGCGAAATGGCGACTCGGCAAAGTTGCCATCTCAAACCTCAACCCTGATCATGCAAGCGCGACAGGCGGCCTGTGGGCGAACACTTCCGTCGCTGATAGGCCTCTGAATGAAGCAGCAGTCATGGCCGTGAAAAACATCGGAAGTGGCATTCAATGTCAGCAGTCAAGGCCCGCACGAGGCTTGCAAGACTTCAAGAAGAACATTCTCGAGCGCCTGTGTACAAACACGCTCACTTTATACATGGAAACTCCATGAAATCAAATGGTCCCTCTGTGCCTGGAGGCGGTTCTGAGGACGCAATGTGGCTGCGGCCTGAGAGGGCCCAACAATTACCAGCTTGTGCTCGTGGCGAAGTTCGGGGGCGAATTGACGCGACATGACGCCCCTGAATGACAGGCAATGCACGCGGGATCATTTGGGCGAGCCTTCAAAGGCACATTTGCTCAGAAGATCTCAAAGCGTCACATCATGTTAGGGCTCGCGGCATGGAGCACCATTGAGCATTGGATCAACGAGCGCGGGCCCTGGCCGGAACAGGGATGCTTTTTGTCGGGCGGGCCTTTTGAATTGTACATCGAGCAATAGCACTCTTTCGTTTTGAGGGCAGGCCATGCTGCGCGCGACAACAAGCCTCGGCGACGGCGGAAACAGCCCTTTCGGCACCTTGCGGAGGGCAAAAGTATGGGTAAAAGAAGAGTTAGGAATCCACTTAAGTAGGACCGGATTAGGCTCAAGCCACTCCCAGCCTTCGAGCAGAACGCCATCTGCTTGCCTGCATTTGGCAATCTGTGACTACTGAGGATATGAAGATTCTTGCTGTGCCGTGTTGCCGGAATCGGAATGGAACGTAGTAGTTGTGCAGAATCCATCTTCTTTCCCTGCTGTGTAGGCCTGAGTCGTGCCAGGCACGATGCCAGAAGGGCCGCCTGGCAGTTGTTGTGAAGAGCCGCGCAATGTTGGACAATGGTGCTCCGTATCTCTTGGGCCTTTGGGCAGTTGAGCATTATGGGGTTCAGGCTGTATTCTACTTGTAACTCTGCGCGTTGCTGACGGCAAAGGAACAACCCGCCTTTCTTTACGTGGGGATGGAGGTTTGCTTGAGTTGAGGTTAAGTAGGGACCGCATGGAATGATATATCTGTTACCCCCCTGCCTTCCTCAAACCCTGCAACCAAAAGGCAGAAAACCCAGGCCCCGTCTCGAAGCAGGCAGGGAGACTACTGTGAAGCAGCAAGAGCAACTTTGGATCCACGACTACATGGCCCACAATACTGGTACGGCACCGACGGCACCATTTCTTCATCGCATGTGTCGCTGGCGTCTTTGGCCATCGGAGGGTCTGGAGCTCTTTCCTGGGGCAGGGAACAAGGTGATGGATGCACTGGCTCAAGTGCAAGTCCATGGCGCGGGAGTCAGAATGTACCAACTTCTAGCAGCATTAACCTGTGGAGCACTTCTCCCTCGACCCGTTGAAAGGCGATTGGGCATACATGCCGTACCGATTTGCTGGACAAGGCTCTGAACCCGATGGGGGCTTGTGGGAAACCGCTGAGTCGCCAATGTGCAGCGTCGCAGGGCACCTCGAAAAGAGTTTGAGGTTTAGGGCTGAGGATGACTCAGAGTTGAACCCGCCAAGATTGGACTTGTTGCCGTGCAAATTTGACCGTCACAGACTTAACATCCTGGACATACGCCTGCGCGACTGGCAAAGAATAGTGAGTCGCAAGCAGCACGCACGACGTGACGATCACTGACGCTTCGCTGTGACAACCAAACAATCTGACCCCAAAACCCGTCGAGCAGCGGGACTTTCCATCGAGTTGAAGCGTAGACGCTATCACGATTCCCACAACATCTGCTTGACATTGCTTGACCATTTAAACGCCGTGAGCAGGTGCCGTGTCCCAGGCACAGCCAGTAGAATGGCATCTTGATGATGATGTACCCGGTGCTGTGCCAAATTAACCAGGTGTCTGCACTTGCATGCAGGAACCACCACCAGATCCAGATCATCCTGGTCGGTGAAAGTTCTTGGTAAAACACATTAAAACACATTGACTTTCTCATGACACAGCAGATGCATGCAGTACCGCTAGTCTTAAGCACGGTGTACACAAGGGGCATGCAACTGGGTGGCGAACGTGCTCAGGCCCTAAGGCCCTAAGGCCCTAAGCCAGGGTCAGCAGATACTAGAACGACATAATATGCTCAATGCTGGGCCTGGGCCCACCTCCACTCCTACGCGGCCGTGTAAAAGTCGCTGCCACCCCCTTCCCCGCCAAAACCTGCCGGCTACTGGAGCAGATACCCCCTACCCCTACCCTACCCCCTATCCCCTGCCGAATGTTCGTGAGCGGCACCCGCCCTCCCGCCTACACCGACACCCCCTACCCCCCCAACCCCACCCCCGGGAGTTCTGGCTTCTGTTTAGAAACGAATCTAGAATCTGCATGTTCGATCTTGAGGCTTTTGTTTTTGTTTGCCTGGTATGGTGTGGGATTTCCCAACATGTTTTTGCATCTTTCCATGGCTTTCATTCATGTGTCACGTCCTCGCGTTCTAGCTTCTGTTCAAGACCTTATTTAAAAAAAAACTACATATATATATATATGTATTGTTTTGCTTGCTTCTTTTCATTTGGTGTTCCGACATGTTTTAGGTGGCAGCGCCTCTTGCGCGCCGGGCGCGTTCGCTTGCTTCTGGGGAGGGGTGGGGGGGAGAGGGGAGGGGGGGGGGGGGGGGGGGGGGGGGGGTAATTCTAAACCTGGTCCCGCTTCTCCTCAACATCAAACTCCCTAACCGTCCTTCTACAAGCCCGAAACTTCCCGAAACTTCAAGCTCCTCAAGAGTCTTTGTACAAGCCCGAAACTTCAAGCTCCTCAAGGTTAAACTGCAGCTCCTTCCATAGCCCGAAACCTGAAGCTCCCTAAGCTCATTCTTTCGGCCACAGAAGACATTGTGCAAGCCCCAAGCCTGAAGCTCCAAAACCATGAGCTGCAAATTCGGCTCTTCTGTCTTTCCAGGACAGTCCACCGTGCTTCTCCTTAGGCCTTAGATCCTGGGTAGTCATGGAGGTTGCCGAGGATCTCGTCCTTGGCTGGTCCTCTCGCATCTCTGATGCTTGGCGTCTGCGCTCGCACGGCCTCACTCTCCAGGACTCTTCTTCTTGCATGTCCGTCATGTTTTGGGGCGCTTTTCCGCCTTACTTGGTTTGTCTGCAGCCTTTTTTCTTCTCGACACTGAACCACTCCATGACGCCATGAGCCCGTTTCTTCCTGTGGCCTTGGCTGCGCTTTTGCTTCTTCGCCAGGGTCAGAGCCACGTCAGAGTTCTGCCTCGACCCTTGCTTGGCACCGGCTTCTGCACTTTCTCTTGCGATGAGTTGCAGGATCACCTTTTTGCCCCCTGCTTGCACATCACAGCAGACTCTTGCAATCTCTTTTTGAACTTGCAATTGAAGGAAGTCATGTTCGTTTGATTTCATTTCTTCTGCTTCAGGTAATGTGCTTGCCGTTGGGCCAGCCGGAGAAGTTTACACTGGACACAATGTTCAATGACAGTCGTCGAGGACCGTGGCTCCAAAGACTTGTCGCTGGCTTTGGGTTTTAGGACTTGTCGCTGGCTTTGGGTTTTAGTTGTGTGAAGGGTTTCGGCTTTCGGGTTTTTTCTTGAGAGTGCCAGGAGGTCTACCCTGGAAGACGTTGGTACAGGTTGCTCCACAACTTGGCCAGATGGCCTGCCAGCTCCTGCTGGCCGGCTTGGTGACTGGAGCGGTTGCGGCGGAGGCGAAGAAACATGCACGGATGATATCTGCAAGGTTTGGAGACGCAAGCTTGTGGAGCATTCCGACCACCTTTTCGCAGTGGATTCCGGAAAGTATTTCTGACATGGACGTTGCCACGGAAGTCGCGCCAACCACGCCGCCTCAGAGAGCACGCTCTACTTTGTCAGCTGCCTCACCGTCTCCACGGACTTTGTCACGCTGGCTGACGACCGGTGCTCCTACTTCGCCACCAGGTTTCTGCCGTTTTGGGTTTCGGGTTTAGGTTTAGGGTTCTGGGCTTAGGCGTAGGATTACGGGGATTCATCCCGTCCAGGCGCTTCTGACACTCCTCCAACTCGCGCTTTCAAAACCTGGTATGGTCAGCAGACTGGCCTTTGCTTGAACCATGGTCTCAGCTCTGTGGTTCCTCTTTCCGACGACGAGGACGACGACTACCAGGACGAGGTGTCTGGGTTTACTTGCGTGGCCCCTAAACCCTTGAACCCTAAAAACCTTCAAGCCCTTCTTAGTTTTTTTTCGCTCGGTCCTGTAGACGTAGGTCCCTGCAAGCTCGGGTCGTGGTGTGAAGCGACCGTTGTCCTCGCCAGGCGTGGCAGAGTCTTCCTGCACTGCTGAGCCTGCTCCTGCGCCAGAGTTTGCGTCTTCTGTTTCACAGGAGGACATCTGCTCTTTTTCAGAGGAGGAGATCCAGACTCCACCATCTCATGACCCTTTGCCACAGGAAGTGCCTCACCCACCTGTGCCACTGACCCACCAGTCAGGTCCAGTGGCTGCTCGCTTTGCGCAGGCAACCAAGTATGGCAGGTGCCCTCGTTGCAGGGTGCCAAGGCGCCCGGTCTGCCATTGGACAGGAGTCCATGCAGGTTTCGTTCTGCTGCGTTGCAGCCAGTGGTTTCATGTTGGCCCGAATGGAGCACGGGACTGTTGGCACTTTGTGAAGTACGAAGGCCCTTTCTCCCAGCTTCCAAAAGCTGTCCGGGACACAGTGTCTGAGGTTCGCAAGGACATACGCTGGCAGCTCCAGCACCCGCGCGTTGGCTAGTGGGAAAACTCTTTCGCTTGCAAGCTGCGGCTCTCACGTTCTGTAACTGACGCTGCGTGTGTTTGCCGCTGTCGTGCGTGCAGGACTTGGCGACAATCCGCTCTGCTACGGCGTGCTTAACGCAAGTTATACGAGGCATGGACGCAGACGTCGTGGCGGTGTTAGCACTCGTACTAGACATCTTGGAGACTTTGCTTCTCAGCGACGACTGGGGCATGCTGGAGCTTCATCAGGTTAGTTTTGCGCACAACGCCGCTCTGGATCCATCATTTCGTGTTCGAGTTCAGGCGCCTCAAACTGTCAGTACTGTTCTTTTGGAAACTCTACCCTACCTACCTCTACTATACATCCTAAACCTCAAACCCTAACCCTTCAGCCTTCACACAAGACCCTCAACCCTTCGCCCGACACCCTTTATGCCAAGGCCCTCAACCGTAAACCCTAAACTTACGGTTTGCGTTTTGCTTGCAAGGACCTTGCAGGCTCTGATTGGCGGTCTTTTGTCCAGCGTTTCGAAGCAGACCTCACTCGGTCACAAGACATTGTCACCAGAAACATGGCAGTCTTCGCGCCCGTCGAGGCACTTTCGCAGCTCTGGTTGCTTTGGGGCAACATAGTCGACGACTACATTCTCTTGTCAGCTGGACTCTTGTCCTTACCTGACACCTCGACGTGATGTGCCGCGCTAGCCCTTCTTTTCCCAGCGTGTTCCTTCCAAAATCTGTACAGCTGCGACTGCCCAGACACGCGGACAACTGAAAACCATCTTGCGCAACAAGATCTGTCTGTCTGTCTTGTCGGCGGGAACCCGGGCAATGTGTCGGCTTCGCGCACTGGTCCAGGACGGGGACGGCAACAGGACGGGAGGAGAAGGCAGGATCAGGAGTCCGGGCTTTGCATTCGGTTTCCTGGTTCTAAGGGAAGTGGCTCTATGCTAAGCCCCAGAGCCTCTACCCCCCGAGAACCCTAAACCCTAAACCCTGAACCCTAAACCCTAAATCTAAACCCTAAGCTCTTTCCCCTAAACCTAAACCCTAAACCCTACACCTCAACCCTAGGAAGAAAAACACTCCACCTGCCAGTTTTTTTGGCTTCGAGTAGTCCGTAGGGGAAGCAACCAGGCGACGGAGGTCGCCTCTTAGTTGCGGGGACAGAGCCATACTGTGATGGTATGCTCTTTGTGCGGATCGAAGAAGCACAACTTGCGCACATGTACTTTGCCGGGTGCAGCGCAGCATCGGAGCATGCACCGTGAGCTGCTGAAACTGAAAGGGGCTGTGCCAAATGCTCAAGCCGGGCGAAAACCGCGTAGGCTAGGTGCTCCTACCACAGGACGGTTCCAAGCACAGCGTTCTCTGCGATACAGTGGTTCTGGACGTGCGAAGCTGCGGAAGGCTGTAGCCAACAAGAAGCGTGCCAAGACAGTGGGACTGACTCAGACCTCTGACGGCCAGCTCCAAGCAGTCAAGGACTTGCGGCTTCTTGCCTATTCTCAGACTTCTTCGGTTTCGATTTCACTAACTTTTTTTGGTTTCCTTGCCGTAGGATTCTGTCCGGCTTGCTTTGCTTCCTCCACAGGCGAGACGGCTTCCTGCCAGCAAAGCCTCTGAAGTGCATGACTTGCAGAGGTCCAGTGGGCCAGATGCAGCTTCGCGCAAAGGGACACGTGTGGGTGCGCTGCATCGACACTGACTGTCGAGTAGCCAGGAATGTCCTTTCGGAGGCTTCCTGGTTGCCAGATGTCAGCAGGCAACCTTGGACACCCATGCAGTTGCAGGCAGCTTTACGCCTGAGCACTGCCGGTTTTGGGAAGCAGGCCTGGCCACTGTCGAATCCCTTAAGCCCCGTGCCTCCTCAAATCAAATTAGGGTTTACAGTTTAGGGTTTAGGTTTCAGGTTTCAGGTTTCAGGTTTGCGGTTTAGGGTTTAGGGTTTAGGGTTTGCGGTGTAGGGTTTAGGAAAAACGGTTTAGGGTTTAGGGTCTAGGGTTTAGGGTTTGCGGTGTAGGGTTTAGGGTTTAGGGTTTAGGAAAATCTTCTTTGCCTTGGACCCTAGACCTTTAGCCCTCAACCATGCAAACGGATTGTTGCAGGCATCGACTCCGTATGCCTTGGCTCGCAGTTTGGGCACGACGTACAAGCCAACTTCACGGTTTCTTGAAGCAGTGCGAAGCCTGGAGGCTGCAGCAAGTGAGAAGCTCAATGCACGCACGATGCTGGACAAGGCGGTCGAAGTAGATGGGACTTGTCTGCGCACCTTGCGGGTCTCCAGATGGTCAAAGACATATGCGAACTCGGTGCAAGAGTGGCAGGCGAAGCATGCGCACCAAGCATCGCCGGACTACTTCCTTCTGCACCTGCGTGCGCTGGGGGCCACGCAGCGCGGGACGCAGAAATGTGTCTTTGTTCCAGCTCCTTTGCGCTTAGTTCCTGCTGGCTCCGTGCCGCCGCCCGAGAGCTGCGAGGATGTTCTCTGCACACGTCTGCTCAAACGGATTCGCAGTCAGGACCGTGTTGAGGGTTTAGGGTTGAGAAATATAGGTTTGCAATGAACGGTTGAGCTTTGCGTGCTTCACCCTCTCAATGACAGGCAACGTGCTATGCCGATGGTGCGATGGCCTGGGATCGCGCAGCAGTCCGGCAAGGAAAACGAATGGCCTTCGTTCATGTGAAGCATAACAAGTCCATTTTCACTCGTGCTCTGCGCCGCAAGCCACGCAAAGGGGCTTCGAGCCTAGCCGGAACACAACAGATCGATCGTGTTTGGATGCATGTCAAGGCAAGCATCCCCAAGGGGATGCATAACAAAAAGAGCGACGGATGCCATCGCGAAGCGAATGCAGATCGCATCTGGAAGTACATAAGACAGTTTCAGTTCCGACGAATGCACACAGATGTGTTCACAGCTCTCTCCAAGCTGTGCCAAGCTGCCAACAGATGCAGCTGAACAAAGTTTCTCAGACACTCCGCAGCAAAATGTGCTTTTTGCCTAGGCGGGAACGTCATGGTCGCCCGAAAATAGACACTGTTACACACTTTCGGCCCCTGCAACATAGCAATTCTTAAGCAGACATGTGCGTTTTGCCTGGGTTTCAGCACATTCCACATTCTGGCCATGCCCAAAAACACACGGCGCGCTACAGGCGCTCCTACCATGTTTTAGCGCGTTTCGTGGAGGATGGAACGACTGCAGTGGGGTGTCGAGGGCGGCTGGACGGTTCAAGGCTTCCGGGCACGGCTTCCCGACCACAGCCGAAGCGTGGTACCGCCGACGGTACCGCCTCCGAAGCCAGCGGTGACAAAAAAAATCACGTGGGGGGATCGAAACAGCGCAGACTTTGGGGGTTGGCGGCACTGGCGGTAGCCATCAAGTAATGTGTCATGTTTCGGGGTGGTCTTGGCTTTCCTGATCTGTCACTGTCATGTGCCGTCACTTTCGGCGCCAGCCGCATCTTCACAACTGCTTACTAAAGAACAACCCTGCACATTGACTGAAACCAAGTGTTTCGATCGGGCTGCAGATGTGCGCAAACCGCAGTGCCCCACGCACACGCCGTGTGCTCTTGGTCGCGTTCTTCAGATGGTGTGAAACCTCGCACTTGGCCCCTCCGAAAATGGGTTCCATAAAATGCCCGGACCACTCGTGGACGAAGATGCATTATGCTGTCTCTGTTGCAAGTAAGCAGCTGTGCGCCAGCAATTGCTTCTCGATGTAGCGCCTGTGTACAGTACATGGCTAGGAAGCTCTGTTGTCTGCCTGTGCCTGGTTGTCTGCACTCGACTGAGTTCCATTCTCCACTTGAAGGCTCAAACTGCACCCAAAACACATGTGGGCCAAACCCCACGGCACCACGTACCGCCCTTGTCCGGCTTGAAGCAGTGCTGCCACCTTAAGAATAAGATCGAATTACACCCAGCCATGTTTTTGTTGTGCATGATTTGGAATCCCGTTCCTCAGACGAGCTGCCAGTCGATCAGCTCGCGGGTCGTACTGGTGCAAGCTAGCCATAAACAGTGCTGTCTCCACCACGCTGCAGGAGTCGGTACATTGAAAGCGCGGAGTCTGCGCCGCTGGGCGCCTCTGCGTTGCATGGTTACATTAGAACTGGAGCCCAAAACCCCAAACCTGAACCTAGATCGGGTCGGCCTTTGTCCCGGTCCTGCTCCCTTCAGGCTTACCACCTAGCGGACCTAGCCTAGCAGCATTGATCCGTGCAGGACATCCAGGACCGGGGATCCAGGATCTTGGTTTTGGATGGTTTAGGGTTCTCAGGCGGACTGCAGGCAAGTCGCATGGGTTCTGGCTGCATCGCCAGCGGCTGCCATCCGACCAACTTGCAAAGTTGGTTACTTGCGGCCAGTGGCACCCGAAACCAGATCATCCAGCACCTGTGACATGCTGTTGTGGGTTTCGACGGCCACGCTAGACCGAAAGAACTTCACGTTCCTTCCACGCAAAGCTTCTCTGTGCGTGAAAAAGGCAAAGGATGAAAATGGAATGCTGCTTTGGAAAGAGGCCGCCTGACTTTTGGATTTTCAACAAGGGATCAGAGGCGAAACCTAAACAAAACTTGCCCAGATCTCCCTGGACGGTCCTGTTGGCACGCACCCCTGATCTGGAATCTTCCACAAGAACCATAAAGAACATTAGAGACACAGAGGAAGAGAGGGAGAGAGAGGGAGGGGGAGAGAGAGAGAGAGAGGGAGAGAGAGAGAGATGAGCGAGGTGCGGGAGATGAGAGAGAGAAGCGAGAGGAGGTGGCGAAGGAGGAAGAGCAAAGCGGCATGGACTACTCGGTGAAGCGGCAGGCCAATTTGTTTGCGGGTCAAGCGAAAGCTCGAAAGCTCCAGGACCCTCTGGGCCTCGGACAGCTCCAGGAACGCCCCAGAAAGAGAGGCGTGGCGAAGGGAGGGTGTGAAGCGCCACGTCGGGTACGCAGGATCCTCCTCAGTGTGCTGTGCGTTGCTAAGCAATGCGGTGAATGTCGAAAGGACAATTCTTGGCGGCTCCATTGGCCATCTTGCAAGCCAGGCAGATAGAACAGTTTGCCAGCTTCTTTTTGGCTGGGTCTAGCGTCCGTGCACCCCGGCGGCGGGCCCTCGTGATAGACCGCATCAAACTGATGAAAGCGAGCGCTTCTCAGCGTGGCATCGAAGAAGCTCCTGGCTGCCACGTGCACCATGGGCATCAGCACCTTCCAGCTGTACAGTGCGAGTATTGCTGCAACACGAGCGAGAGCGTCCGAATGCCATTGATGCAGCACTGTAAGGCCTTACTCGCCCTGAATACCACCGATTACATCTCAGACTGGCCGCTACAACGGTTGGCCCTTTTACAAAGATGCGCTCGTTGATAATGATGCCGCGGGAGGAGAGGCGAAAGAAGAGCCTGTGGACCTGCGCCCGGCTGCACAATGCGTCGAATGCGCTGATAGGCCGGGTGCCGAGGATTCGGGCCACGTGTCGTAAGATATCCCTCAACTCAGGCCCGCCAATTTGCATCTAAGTTGCAGAAGCCATCCGGTTGGGATGCCGCCGTGGTCACTGTAATGAGGAAGAACTTCTGTGGAAACGTGCCATGGCCGAGATGCTAAGCAAACCTTTGGCCGGTGCCAGGAACAGGCCCTTCATGACCTTTTGTGGTGGGCGGCAGGGGGGGGGGGGGGGGGGGGGGGGGGGGAGGTGTGAATCTTCAGGCGCGACAGCACAAATCCAATACATGCAAGGAAAGCAATGATGAATGCAATGGAAAGGATGTGCTGTGCTCGTCCATGCTTTGAGCGCATGAGTTTGAGCCATATTCGAAGCACAGGTTGGCTCGACAAAAAGTTGAGACAGACATCTGGACTCCATGGTGAGGCAGGACTGCACCCCAATTTGTTCGCTGACACCAACCACAGCAAGCTGGGTTCGCCTGAAAGGGACTTGGCCGAGCAAACCCTCGCGCAATGACACGCAGCAGGTCCTCAGCGGGCAGCTGAAGCCAAGGATCGGAGGAGTTTCAGCCAGCTTCAGCCATTTTAGGAATGTTGAAAGCAGCCGACATGTGAGATTGGCTCCTGAAAGAGGGGCGAACGGACGTCCAGACCACCGCGAAGCAAAGCATCGCAACACACGGTCATCTCCTGTCATGCCCCCTGTCTGTCTGCTACCCCTGAAGACACCTGTGACAGCTGCAATAATTATCAGAGATGGCTCAGTTGACATCTGCGATCATCTGCGTATCTGTGTTTATCTGTGCAAATTCATGTACTGCGTTCAGGGGCAGCTCAGCACGTCGCCTAGCGGCCTAGTCGGGCCTAGTGGCCTAGTGCTTCACAATCGGATCCAAAGCATGGCGGCCCAGCCTTCGAAGTGGAGGGCCTAGCAGATGGCAAACATCTTGATCAAGCGGACGGTGCACTTCTTTGCTGAGCCGTGACGCTGTAAGACACGAGTAGCATAGTCTTAGTAGCTCGCAGAAGCTCCTTTTGATGCTGTCACGCAACCTCGCTGTGGTTCTGAAGAGTCCTCTCTCTACAAGACCAGGTGCCAGCACTCGATTTGCCAGGCAGTCCATCACAGCAGCTTGAACTGAACGGCCGGGCAAGTACCGTTTTATGATCGCGGTTCGCAGAATGGACCAAGGGAGAGGCAGTATTTGCCGACCACCCCACCTGAAGCAGGGGCACAAAAAAAGCAGGAAAGAGACGTCGCCAAGCAGCGCACAAGTTCGTGGCCCCTCGGCCAAGCCATCAAGCCAAGTCGCATTGCACGAACCCTGGGTCGAAGCCGGTGCGAACGAAGGACAGGGGACATTGCACGAGGTCCATATCCGGGCACATCCAGAGCTTGTCTCCAGCGACTTGGCCCTAGCAGTCTGGCAGATGCTCTCAGGGCGCGTGCTCCCTATCAAAGCTGTTTCTGTAAAGAACGCAAACTTGGGCCCCCCGTCCTTGCAGTCCACTGCGCTGGCCAAGCCCCAAAGACTAGCCAACAGACACAGAGCACGCCGCCGTGCCATGGTGGGCCTGCTATGCGGAACCCTGCGTTCCCGACCGAAACGCTGCGGTCGCAAACAAGCATTGGGGACTCACGACGCGGGGAGACCCAGCCGTAAGGGCGAGCAGGAGTGAATGCAGGGAAGTGGGAAGAAAGGGGCCATGGAGCTGAGGAACAGCAACACAAAATAAACAGAGCGAAAGTACTGCACGCCCAGGGAGTCTAAATTGCCGCAGTGTTTCAACGTGTTTCAATATCTCAGGCCACAGCAGGTCGCGGCTCCAGCAGATGAGCGTGTCCAGGCGATGAGCTGGGCGAACAGAGAGAAGGTGGCTTGGACCTATTTGGGCCTTGTGGATCCTTGTAGGTGCATCGGTGGAGCAGGAGAATTCTGATCAACACTTCCAATGAAGCCCTACAAAAACCACAATATTAGCAAGCATCGCGTATGAGTCCTTCTTGCAGGGAACAAGCTTAGAACGTGAGCTTCCAAGCACCCGGCCCATGGCTCGCAAAAAGGCGTCGTCCACGAGGGCAACTTGGATGCTGCTTTGCAGGAGGGCCTGTGCAAAACTGTCTTCCTCCGCTTTCTGGCCCTGCATTCCTTGAGAGAAACTGGGGAAAATAGGGCCTATCTGGGCCAATGTACCTCGAGGTCCCTCCAAACAGCACTCTCGGACATGTGACTCATGCCCTATGCACGACCTGCCGTCAGCAGCTTGTGTGCGACTGTGCCAACAGAAGAAGCTGGGTGCCCAACGGCAACATCCCGCAGACGCAGCATGGGAGCCGTGGCTCTCGCCCGCAAGCGAATCTTGGCGACCAGTGCGACAGAATGCGATTCATCATTTTGAGCTCGCCACGAAAAACAAAGCCGGCAGCAGCCACAGAACCCGCTGAAGCTGTATTCCTGCTGACCTAGAAACCTGTGCAAACTTTAAGCGCCCAGACTACGCTCAAGAATGTTGACTATACCATGTCATGAGCATGCCAGGAACCTCATCAAGCAAACGTTCCAGAAGCAAAACGCAAACCGTTCTGAAAGCTAAGCGCTGCGCCTCTTGCCACAAGAAGGGGTCGCACATACCCTGTGCGGCCGCCCAGCGTGCCTTAGAGCTTGTAAGGTGCTCGGCTTGCAGACTGCCAAGGATTCAGCTACTCACAAACAGCTTCAAGCTTCAGGACAGATGAAGCATCACATCACACAGCACAAAGCGGATTTTAGACGGGATTGGTACGCTCGGCTTGTGCACTCGGAATTCGCTTGCTGCTCCCCGCGGCAACGCTAAGTAAAGTAACTAAAAGGGATGCGCACCTTCTTGGCCAACTGTGCGCCGTCGAGCTTGAGGGGATGCGGCAAGACCCCCTGCATCACAAAGCACGAACCAGTATTTGATTTAACGCGCAGCGCTTTGCAGCGAAAGCGTGAACTCGGGGACCGGCTGTGGCAGCTGGGACAACATCCTCTGGACTGGTGACAGGACCATACCCCCCAAAACCCTGAAGCCCTCACACAAGTCACAAGTTTCACCACGTCATATTGCAACTGACTGTAAGCTATAGGCGACCAAAACCTTCCGAAACTGCCTCACTCTAACATTCTGGCTGGTGCTGCTTGGGGGATCTACCTATTGGGCTTGCTGTAGGATTGGGGTCTAGGTGGCTGTGTCTACAACGCAATGCGTGCCAGCGCTCATCGGAAGAGTCCTGTCTCCATGGTGCCAACTCTAGCGACAACGGTCGGCCGACCTTGATGGGTCGTGTACATTCCCTTATCACTTGCGTCGTGCTTTGTTGTGTGACACGTGTACTCTTGTTTTGTGTGTTAGATTTTCACTTGCGCCTTTATCAAGCCTTCCCGTAAGGCTTTTGGTGAGGGTGTACGGAGCTTTTCGCTGCTGGGCCGAGCTTCAAGCTCAAGCGATCGTAAGGGGTGGGCTTGAGGCATTTTGTGGTGTTAGCGCGCTTTGGATTCAGGACGCTAGGGTCTTGCCAGGGCTTCATAGTTCACAGAGGTACAAGTAGCAGGTTTGAGGGACAGTTAGGAGACAAACCCAAGCGACATGAACTGATGCCACAACAAGCGCACGTAGATTGCACCCTGCTCTGCCAATTGAACCCTCTTTCGCCTGGGAGCCAGGCTCGAAGACTCCGCGAGCAGATCATGCGGGGGCATTATTGTGAACGCGTTCCGCTGGCTGTGAGTACGTGGCTTTCGGGGCTCGGCTTTCGGGCCATGGTTCATAACGCCAGATACAGCTCGGCCCTACAAAGATATGGACCAGCTCGACTGCTCAAGAAGAGGATGCTTGGCATGAGAAGGCAATCAAGAAACGTTGCTTTGACAGAACCTGGTGAGCCCAACTGGGGTCGCGAGCTTGGCACTGGATTTGGTGGCACTCGCGGCTTGGAGCACCAAGTAGGGCCCGCGCAGGCCCGCCGCCCCGGCTCATAGTCTTTTAGCAGTAGCAGCCATTTTAGGGTTTGGGGCTCGAGGCTCAAGGACTTTGAGCGTACCGTTAACGACGCTGAGACAAGTCGGTCCTGCAGAGGTTGTCTCTGCACGAACCAGAAAGCAGCTAGGAAGCCCGAGGAAGCCGATGAAAGCATTCAACTCTTGTGAGTGCATTTCAGATGAACTTCCGGGGAGGCTAGCTGCAGGTTCATCAGACCAGCAAGCTTCAGCAGCAAACTGTTCAGCTCGTTATCTTCATTGCGGGTTATCCGCTCGAAGAAGATGATCGAGCTCGCAAGCTTGGGCTCATCGAAACCGCCAATAACGGAGCGGGCGGCTTTTCCGGCGACCAGATGCTCACAAACTGCAGAGAGGATAGCGAAGTAGTTGCTACGCAAATCTACACCGTCAGCCTCATATTTCAAGTACGCCTCGCCTTCCTGATCGGATCTGATGGCATACTTGCGGTTCGTGCTGCTTCCATGCTCGATGTTGTTCTTGAAGTACGGAGGCGATGGGATCACAAACCACATCCAGCACGATGACTTTCGGCCAGCGCGGATCTCTCGCAGAGCTCGGTCAAAGGTGCCGTTCTCACTTTGGGCATCGACAAACCGGTAAAGGTTGAAAGGGTCGCCACTGCGCCGCGGCGCACTCTGCGACCGAGCTCGTGCCTTGGGTCTTGGCAGCCCAGACAAGGGCGATTCCGGAGAGGGGCGAACCAGCTGGGGTGAGGGCGATCTGGACTGGAAGCGCAGAGACTTCATGGTACGCGTGGGCGGGAGCGGGGAAGACGGATCGCCCGAAAGAGTCAAGGTCGGGTTGCTGTGCCGGCGCTCTTTGACAGAGCGTTTCGTGCAGGAAGTGGGGCTGGCTTGCCGGCTTGCCTGGATTGAGCCTCGAGGTGGGCTTCTTGCAGCACGGTCTGTGCACTGTTGTGGGGTGCACTTTGGGCTGGTGCACTTTGGGCCGGTGCCCAACAATGCCTGCACGGGCACTGTTACGTGCCGTCGATTTGCCCGGGCTGCGTTGCTGGGGGCATGGCTGGCAGGGAGCAATTTCCGGCTCGGCGTAGGAACACTGTCCAGGACAGGCTGCGGCTCCTTCGAGTCAGCGCTGGAGATGTCCATGTCCACCGTCGGTACTACTCTGGTAAACCTCGCAAGCAGAGGTTCGAACCTCGCAGTGGTGTTCACTGCCTCAACCATGCCTGAGCAAGCTGCGCGGCAAAGCGCGCTGTGTTCTCAGCTCGCCCTGTGGAGAACAGACTCATCGCTTGCACATCTTAGCGAGTAGCTCCAAACAGTCACTGCTGGGTCAAAGCATGGCAGGTGGCGTGGCTGAAGCCGTTTTCGTTCTCGAGCTTGCGATATCTTGCCATCTAAAGCAGGGCGGCCATTGTTGCCGACAAGCTTGACAGCCGGCTTGCGAGCCTTGGTATCCTCGTTAACTTCACATGTACCACACTTACACTGAAGTTGCAAGCCCTCCTAGAAAGATTTAGGAAGCACGTCCAATCTTGTGTGGACACATTTGTACACGTCATTTGTAGCTTCAGGGCATTAGCCATCCTTCGTGAAAAACAGTGTGGGACTTTGTTTAAAGCCCCACAGCCGTATTGTAGTGCGAAGGACCCATCGCTTCCCAAAAACGCAGCATCAGCGAGACTAAGCGAACACATACCGTAGCTCTTGTAGAACCAAAGCTGTCCCACGCATGTTCTGGGAAAGACAGGAACATACAAGAACATAAATCAGCGAACTGGATCAGAAGCCTGTTTGACAGCCGTGCTCCCGTTCAGCAAGCTGGGATACCAGCCTCCAACCTCGGCATGTGCAGTATGAGCATGCTGAAAATGTTGAAGCTGCTTAAGCCTTAAGCTGTTCAGCGCAACAGATACGGCAGAGAAGCGCATGTACACAAGCCATGGCCTCTTAGATCAGACAGGAAGCTGGCAGTACTGGTTGGGTCTGCATCTTCTCTGGATGAGACGGATCTTTCGAGAGGTCACTGTTTGGCGACATTTCCTCTGAAGGATTGGCTGCGCTTGGTAGCACGCGACGAAGCTGCCGAACCTTGCCCGTGCATGTGTTGGACTGCGTACCAGTGAGGCCATCCTCGTCGAAATTGAGCGCATACCAAAACTTTCCATGGCAGATGTGCTGAATCGTCCCGGGCTCATCCTTGAATTTGCAGCCAGGTCGAAACGGAATCCACCCATCATCTCCCTGCACTTCCCAACCGGCCGCCGAAATTGCCGGCTTGCGGTCCTTCCCCTCACGGTTGTCCTCTTTCACTTCCTTCGAATCCTTTTTGCTTTTGGAGGGACGGGCGTCCTGTTTCACCTTGAGCGCGGGCGATGTGCGCGCCAGGTTCACAGGGCGTCCATCCCGAGCGGGAGAGCTCCCTGCTGCCCCTGCTCCTGCGGATCCTGCGGCGTTCACTTCGTGAAGCTTCAGGTCGGAGGTGCCGGAGGTGCGTGTCTTCGCTGGGGATTCGCTGTTCGATGGCCGTTCGACTCGTTCGTGGTGACTCCGAGGCTTTGCCGGGGACTCACCAGCGTTCGATGACCGCTCTCTTTGGTTCCGGGCTTTGGCTGGGGACTCGCTGGCGCCTTGCCGCTCGGATCGCTCGGCATGGCCACGCAGCTTTGTCGGGGACTCGCTGATGCTGGAGGGTCTCTCCTGATGGACCTTGCAGGATGCAACTGTTACTACCAGCCACATGTATAGCACCAGTTCACCTCGGCCTTGGTGCGAGAGGCGTCTGGAACAAGTAGACCAGCACCTGGTCTCCTTCCCCCTTGAAATTGCAGCCCCCGGCCCCCTCCCAGAAAGACCACCCCTTTAGCTGTCCTGTAGCCGAGCTGGGACCACCCTCAAACCTCCTGAAGCCCTCCTACTAGTACCTCCTGAACTCATGACATGTGTGTGGCGCTGCACCAAGCAACACTGGCATTCCTTCTGCGATGCACACGCTGCACCCCGGGTTTGGGCTGGCCCAGCTGCAAGCGTTTACAGTTGCAAATGATTAGATGCACAACCTCGGTTCGACAATGCACTCGGTTCATGCAACGTGCCTTACCTCCCCCCATCTAAGGACTCTCTCATGCGACCCAGCCTTGAGAGCAGGGGAGGTGCATGCTCCCGGCATGCGTCCTGGGAGTGGGCAACTGCAAGTAGCTTCAGCCTCTTGTGGGTTTGGCGAGCGGCTGCGCGGGGGCGGGCTGACACTTCGATATCTGAAGGAGCTCATCCCCGCAGACTCTGTGCCTGTACCATCGTGGCCCTGTTTCAGCAGCATTGCCTTGTTGGCACGAGGCTCAATGAGAGGCCTCTTGTGCCGCCCCACGTCAGCTGGAGCGGAGTAAATCACTTGGTAGGCTGGGCACATGCGACGGGCAGACTGAATGCGCCAAACACCAAAGGATCTCTCGTCATCTCCATCATTCACATCTGGCACGCATGCCACGACGAAGAGTGCAAAGAGGCGTGCTTTGTGGCCATCCTCATCATCCACTTCGGGCCCTGGGCCTTTGGAGGCATAGGAGTGCGCCTTGTCAGCCCGGCCACCAAGCCAGCTGCCTTTTGTCAGGTGACCACAGGATGGGTCCAGTCCATTTTCAGCTATCAAGGGGGCATACTCCCAGCGAGTGCCGTGCAACAGCATGAACTGCTTGTGTGTTTTTTGCGATCTGGCTTGCCGCTCCAAGGAATCTTGCTCCTCTGCACAGAACCTGCGCAACAAAGCAGGCTGTATAACACGACGCATCTCCACAATCTTGACACGGTCGGGGTTCACGGTGTCATAGAAAACATTCTCCATGCACTCGCACTCTTCTATGGAAAGGGGCCCGCCTTCATGTCTGGTCGATTTCCACATCTCGAGGAGCTCCGCAAGCTGCCCCTTGCCAGTTTGGCGCGGATCTCGGGAAGGGGAAGGCGTCCGGCTGTACACCTCCTCCACAGACTCATCTCGGATGCTGCTGTTGTCGGATGCAGTCCGACTAAGAGTGCTGGGCGAAGCATCGGCTTTGGAAGCTTTCCCAGGGACCTCCAGCAGGCGTAAAAGAGGCTTGGCACTGAAATCGGCCAAGGAGGAAATGGAGGCCTCGGCAACGGATGCCTCCGCCTCCAATGCCCCCTCCTCCACTGACACTTTTGCGGGGGCCTTGGGCGCTTTGGGTGGTCCTCCGTCCTTCGAGTCCCTGGCTCCGGTGTCACTCGGCATGTTTTTGAGGGTGGCGGCAGCCCAGGATTTGCAGGCAACGTCAGTGTCAGGGGATGTGCACCCCTCGGGCATGGGAGCGCATGGGGAGCTTGCCCTGTCAGGCAAATGAGCACCATTCGCTGTGCCGGAATCTGGGGAGATTGTGCGGTTGGAGCTGACTCGCGGTGCATCTGGCACAGGTCCAGCTTGTCCAGGAAGGACGGCAGGGCCCGGCTTCACCACTGTCTCTGGAGACGGTCTGACTGGAGTGGGCGTTGTGGCTTTGCCCTCTTTTCCAAATTGCGGGTCCAACCATCGAGGCTTTTGGGGCGAGCCTGGCATGCGATCGTATAGCGGGGCCAGCTGCTTCTGCAGTTGCGGCTGAAGCTGCTGCGGTTGCAGCTGCTGTGGTTGGAGCTGCGGCTGCGGCTGCTGCTGCACTTGTCCCTGCGCACAACGCTGCATAAACACGGCCTGCAGATTGGTTTGGAGTGCGGGCTGGTGACCATGGGGACCAGAGGTCCCCGCTTGTGCCGATTGAGCCACATGCGGAGTTCCGGCTTGAAGGATCGGCTGGGCTGGCAGTGCTGGCTGCGTGCACACACCGCGCGGAGCTCCCGGAATGAAGACACGGAGCTGGTCCATGGCTGCCATGGGCTCTTTGGAAAGTAAGGCCACTGGGTCCCGGAACCACAAACTGCGAAGCCCGCAAAGAACAAGTACGAACTACAGTAGGAATTGCATGGGACTAACATGTCAACCGAATCAACATGAGTCAACGCCTCTGCTCTTCACTCAACCGGCCGGTTCTCCGACAGGCGTTCAGAGGAAGTCGAACTCCCTCCCCCCCACGTTCCCCCACGTTCCCCCTCTCGACCACCTCGAGCTCAGCGTTAACTCAAGTAGAGGGTAACTCAAGTAGAGCGTTTTGCAGGCAAGGATCTGACGTGCTGCAGTGCCGACATGGAACAATGGTGAGCGCTGAACGACATGGCCAAAGCAAATCAAGCTCAATTGCGAGAAAGCAGTGGACATTGCTTGTCCATCCGTCTGAAGCTGGTCGGTAGCAGACTGCTTCTAGGAAGCGCTGCCAGTAACAGCCGTAACAAGATCTATCACTGGTGCCGAAAGCGTTGTGCTTGCGGCAGCAAAGTTCGCATGCTCTCGAACATCGTATGATTGTCCAAGGGCTGCGGCTTTCAAACTGCAGGGGTATACGCGCAAGTTCTTTCTGGACACGTCTTGCGCTTACTCAGGTCAAGTGCCTGAGCAAGCGACTTTGCTATGCCTTGAGATCTGAATAATGATAAATCATGCCCTACTATCTTCAGGCTTTAGACTTCAGCGGCCGCATAAAGCGAGGCACGTTACCTCCCGAGGCTGTTGTTGCTGCCGGTCTCGGGGCGGCGGGGGCGGTGGTTGCCTTGTGCGCAGCCTCAGACACCTGTGGCCTGGCGGCTGCTGCTGGCTTTGATGTTCGGAGAGCAAACTTCTGCGCGGACTTCACCGGTGCACCCGTGGTAGCTGCAGGATATCCGGCAGCGGTTCGCCTGACAGCCCGGTTGGATTGCGCGGCCATGGCTGCAGACTCTGCGGGAGCCACAGCGATCTCGGCTCCAGCACCATTTGCCGCTGGTCGCCTTCTGATCCCTGTACCTTCCCAAGCAGGAACGGCCTCTCCTTTCCGCAAGCGCTGGATGCGACGTACCTTGCCAGTCGTCAGATTTGTCTGGGTGCCGTGGCTCTCATCCTCAAAGTGGACTTCGAAGTCGTACCTGCCCAAAGTGTAACGCAAAGGCTCATCCGTTCTGCCATCAAAGGGCTCATTCCCTGGCATCCATGGATTCCAGCCCTTCTCCAGCTCAATCAGCCACTGGTACTCTCCTTCATAGGATTGGGTAGCACCCTTCGCGAGGTAATAACAAGTGGGCAGATTGCTGTCCGGCTTTGTGGATTGCATCGGCTTGTCCGTCATGTCCGGGGCCGGGGCCAGGGTCTGCGGAGCTTCTTCGTCGCCATCGAATTCGGGCATCTGTCCTTTGGGCACAAAGCACAGTGGACGTGCTTTTCCCGTTGAGAGGTTCGTGGAGGTGCCTTCAGTTTCACTTTGAAACTCAACCTGGAACTCTGTCTTGCCGAACATGTACTTGAAAGGCTGGTCCGTGGGTCCATGGAACTTCTGCTCTCCCACGATCCACGCACTCCAACCTCGCTCCAGCTTGATGAGCCACTCGCCTTCGACTGCGGCCATGACAGGTGCCGCTCTTGGATGCCACTCCGAATCACTCCGAATCTAGAAGCTACGCTGAGCCTGTGTATAGGGCGCTCCGGGAAGAGAACGGAATCGATTGTTTCGAAACTGAACGCTGCTGTGCCATCATGCTGGCACACATCTGTACACATGCAGGACTTGTTCTTTCGGTCCTCTCGGCATCGAGGTCACGAGCTCAGGCTGACGCACGCCTATCGGTTGAGATGCAGGAGATCTGAAGCGCAGACGTGAAACAAAAAAGCACGAACCTCACGTGCCATTCAGAGCAGTCCTTGCTACGCACGACCTCCTGCAATCACTCGTTCAGCAACACTCAGGCTCCGTGGCTCGCCTGTAACTTCCAGCTGCGACGTGCTTTTGTCCCCCCGACCGGCAGGTGTGCCAGTCATGACCACCCCATGCCATTCCCGTGGACGATGTCCAGGTGCGGCGAGCGACATTTGTTTTGATCAACTTCGGGAGAGGGGATCGCTTCTTCGCAGCACAGCTTCTTGCGCCAGGCAGAGTGTCAGAGTCTCAGCCCGGCAAGAAGCACAAGCACTCTGAACTAGAGTGGCTAGTCTTCAGAAAACAATGTAGAGCCAAGTTGCAAAAGAGTGCTTGGGTGGTTCAATCCCACGATCACGCAGCAATGCGCGCATGGCTTCCAATACCTTCAGGGTCGAAAGTAGTCAAAGACGACAGGTAAAGGCTGAGGACCGAAGTGGCTACTTCCCCCAACCTGTTGCTCGCTTACATGAGAAATACTGCCGAGCCTCGCATCGTGCAGCAGCTGCATCTTGCAGGTAGCCTTGTCGAGCCAGCCTTACATGAGAGCATACCTCTCTCAAGTAAACTGATTAAACATGCTATCGACATGCATCGAATCAGCCTACTTCTTTCACGAGCGACGAAGTGCGATCTCGGCTTGATAAGCCCTCAAATAGATCTCAATGCAGCTTGCGAAGCCAAAGGCGCGTGTCACGGTCATTCGGAGGTGGGCGCCACTGCTGCCGAACTGTATCATCCCTGAACATCTCGTCCAGAAATGAAAGCTTCTCCTTACATAAAAAAACAAATCGAATCAACAGTCCAATAGAGAAGGAAGGAAATCTGCCCCCCAAGACGAGGCTCGGCACAGTCGGCCTCATTTCCCAGGATGGCAATGCTGGGTGCCACTCGCTCCGCATGCTTCAGGTTTATCCGCAGTGCCTTGCTGTTGCGGCGCCAGAAAGCACGCAGCTCTTCCCACAAGGACATCGGCTGCTCTGGTCGCACCACATCCTCAACCTCAAGCTTAAGCTGAACTCTCTGAAGGTTGGGCTCACCGTATGAACCACCCGAGGCTTGTCAAAAGCAGGTACTACAGAACCGATCCTGAGACTGAACCTTCCTTTTTACTGCTCCCATCTTGTCCGGCCATCTGCATGATGCAACAAGCCTTCTTGTTCTCCCGCCAGCCCGAGCGGAGCTACAACCACAGCTTCTTCACCTAGCAACCCTACTTACAAATTCGGTACCTACCGTACCCATCCAAACCCAGCCTCGTAGCCAAGCCAGGCCAACACCGCAAGCGCCAGTCCCTCGCGCGCTCTCTCCACGCGCCAGCGCTTGAGGGCAGCGGGCTGCTTCCGGCCCTCCATGGCCTGGGGAGGGATTTACAGGGCTTTCAAAGTCTTGTGGAGTTTTCAGGCTTGAGGACTTGCGGGTGGGGCCTTGAGGGCTTCAGGAACTTTTGGGCCTGGGAGCCTCTTAAAGCTTGAGGGCTTCAGGGCTTTAAGGCTTCAGGGCTTCAGGGCTTTAAGGCTTTAAGGCTTGAAGGCTTCAGGGCTTCAGGGCTTTAAGGCTTTAAGGCTTGAAGGCTTGAAGGCTTGAAGGCTTGAAGGCTTGAGGCTTCTGCAGGATTTCAGGGGCTTTAAGGCTTCGCCTGTCTGAACCCTGACATCCCCAACTGCTTTGGCTCTTGGTGAATCTCAGTGTTGAGACATGGCTAGTTGCACAGGTCAATGAACTGCAAAAGATGGCTCTGCATCGGTGCGCCTCGAAGAAGAAGAGGTCCCCCGGATTCCGGACAGCAGCGGTTAGAAGTGGTCTGGCGAGAAAGGCTGCGACACACCAGGGATACAGCTGCACATCCTCTTCGTTATTGGCGTGGAAGAAGATGGCCAGAGACCTGGCCGTTGGGAAGGCCGGCTGGGTTGGTGACAAGTAGCCGAGTTCCTGGAGAGCTTGCCCAACCTGTTGAAAGACTTGCTGTGCCTCCTCCTCGTCATACCTTTTCTGAAACCTTTCTTCAAAGGCTTCCTTAAATTCTGGAGTGCTCGGAGGAACTTGAAACCGGCACGAGGGCACGCCAGAGAGGACGCAGCGCTTCTCGTCACTGGCATAAGGTACCAGGGCCACCGAGCTGATCCCGCGCTTCATGAGCTGCAGATGATATTGCAGAAAGTCGGAGTCTGTGGACGCGATGGCAATACAGATAGATCCGTCGCTTGCTGCAATTGTGTTTGCAGCCTCAAGAATTGCAGCATCATTGGGGTCAGGGCGATTTGTCGTGTTCCGCCTGTGCACCGCTTGGAATTCTAGTCCGTGCTGTGCCAACTGTGACTTCCACGAGCTTGCCAAGTGTGGAGCTCCGAAGCAAACCGCCACATTGGGCCTTGCTGAGGCTACAGGGCACGTGCAGGATCAGATCTTTGGGGGTTTAAGCTTCCTGGATCTCTCTGAAGAACTTCAAGCTACTTCAATGGTGCAGAAGGTTTACACAGACACAAACTCAATTCAAATCTGGTTATTGGTGCCTTTCGCCAGACATGGCTTGCACCGCCAGCAGCACGGATTGAAACCATTGTGGCCCGATGTGGTCTCCGTCAATAAGCAGGGCAACCTTCTTGTTCAGTCGCGCCTCACTTCGTGCCGATGCGCTAAGCTCTGTGCGACCAAGCGGTCTCCATGGAGGAGACGGCAGTGAGAATAAGAGGGCTCGCGGGGCCTGACCTCTGCGATGTGCAAGCAGAGCAATGGCAGCTGCTGCAGCCAAGCCAGCCTTGGGTGACTTGCCATGGAGAGCTACCATGCACAATATGCACAACGGGCGATGGGTGGCGTCGTCTTTGGACGCTGCAAACAAAGTACTGAGCCAAAATGTCACGTTGGCACTTGAGGTGGATGGTCCCAGGCATGTATTGGCTCCATATCTCACATCTACATTTGCTTCCGCTACTCCTCGTACGAAGAAATGGTCAAAGTCTCTGGCAAACTAGGTGCGCAAGACTAGCAGATCGATCCTGTCTTCTCGATGATCAACTGGCTTCGCCAGCGAGCAGGAGAAGCAGTGGCATGGTGGTACCAAAACCCTGGGCCGCTGTGACCGTTGCATCTTAGAGGATCAAGCTCATGTGCGAGCACTTCGATTCTCTTCGCGTCTTCGATTGATATTGCTATGCATGTAGGAGACGGGCGCACGCAATGGTCAGAGGACACAGGACTCGGCAGGCTGAGGCAAATATCAATAATCAAGACCCTGGCCATTCAGCCCAAGAGCCAATTTCAAGCAGCCGGCCGACCACCCCTATGCCCAAGAGTCATTAACTCAAAGGAGGAAAGGAGAGAACGCGCGTCTAGGAGCGGGCCATCTCTCACATCGCTCCGCAGGGATCCACAGGGGTCCACCTGTTGGATACCTGAATTTCAAAGTCTCTACGGTGCTTGGTTTCCGGGCTGCTCGTGAGGTCCGTCAACTCCTTCACTTTCGCCCTCCGCTTGGCTCTTTTTCAGAGGTCACATGGCTGACGACAATTGCCCTGCCGAACGACCACGAAATAGGTTGTAAGATCAGGTAAAACTCAGACGGCCAGTGGAAACGCCAGGTCCGCGTAGTACTTCTTCGACTTCTTCGACCGGGCGGATGTAGCACGAACTGCTGACTCTCAGGACTCCTTTGCATCTGGATCTGCGGTCGCTTGAGCCGCTTTCAGCCAGAGGCTGTTGGCCTGGCGAGTCTCAACATGCGAGGAGGGCAGAATGCATGGACTTATATCCACCTACTCATGGACCTAACATACACTGGTCAGCCGCTAAGTCTTGCACTGCGTTGACCATCGTTGACCTTTGACTGACGTGGATGACCTGCCTTGCTCCGATTCGCAATGAGGCTGGTGACCGCTCTCGAACCCGAAGGCGACAATGGCGACTCCGCAGACGCGTCTGCCTTGGGCTTGCCAGCCGCAGCCGCCTTGAGGCGCTGCAAGGCCTTCAAGCCCGCGCTCACATCCTTCGGCGGGCTCGAAGGGCTCGAAGGACTGGCAGGTTCTTTAGGGGCCTGGGCTGTCTGGGGAGTCAGCGCCTCTCCTGCCAGTGAGGCGCGGGCGCGCCGCAGCGCGGCCACCGTGGACCCTAAGGAGTTGGACTCTCCCGAAATCCGGGCGGTGGGAGCTCGCCTTTCCGCCTTCTCTGCCTCCTCCCGCTTCTCCCCGGTGTTCTGTTCTTTCTCTTCCTTCTCCTGCACACGCTGCCTCACTTCGGAGAGCTCCTCCTGGCAGGTTGTGTACTCCACCTTGAGAGCCTTGTAGGATTTCTCCAGCGACTCTGCCAGCTCCTGAGTCATCAGCTGGCTCTTCTTGGCAGCGTCGAGGTCCGCCAGAGCGGACGTCAGCTCTTCGGCTTTCAGCTGCAGCTGCTCGTGCAAGCTCCCTGCGTTCTGCGCTCCAGCCTCCAGTTCGGAGCATCGAGTTTGCCATTCTTCCACTTCTGAATTCCCTCAGTAGCTTAGACACTTTACAGATCACTACGGACCACTCCAGATCACTATGGAATATGGAATCTCGAATGCTTCCGAACTCAAGGCCGCACTCTCAGAATTCAGACGCATACTGAAGATCTATGACGCTAAAACATTAAAATCACTTAAGGAAAAAAGTAAACGTCAAAAGATAGTTGAGGTCATGGCGATGCACAGCTTCTTCGCGGAAGCTTTGCTCCTGTGGACGAGGTGATGCGACTGCTGCCAAATTCAACCACTCAAACAACGCCGCCACCGAGAGAGTCCTCCACTTGCACACGGCTCAGCATCTCGTTCTCCTCAGGTTTCGGCTGCCATTCTGGCATCTCTCGCTCCATGAAAGTATGCTCATGTGGCCGTCCACACAGTACTATCTGTCCTGTTCCAGATCTCGAACCTTCATGTTCGTCTCCAGCCTCTCTGCACGAAGACTCGCTGTCTCCGCTGCACTGCCTCCAGCGTTACGGGCAGCTGTTCGTGAGTCTTGCGTGACATGACATGACCTCCAAATGTCTGCAACAAGCCAGGCCCATATCAATCTAGCAAATGCGCCCAAGCACGCGCCTTCCGGAGTGCTGGATGCAGCCATGCTCGCTGAGAGCTCTGCTTTCTCATCTTTCCTCGGCCAGCAATGGGACTCGCTGGAGGCTTGCCAAGTCTGACATGCTCCTGCTAGCTTCTGCAATCAGTATGCGCAGGGCATCGACAAACAGTGAAAGACAATGCTGTTGCGGCATGTTGCAGCCAGGCCACAGTGTCTGGCATTGCAGTGCCATCTCCTGCTCAAACTTGTGGAGCCGTGAAGCTGTTTCCTCTGCCTCACTCGCTGCCATTGACCTTCAGGACTATGGGCTTCCACAATCACGGTCAGGCTGGATTCGTGGGTTTTCGGAAGGCTTCTGTGCAATGGACGGGACACTGTGCTAACTGAACTTTTCCCTTCAGGTTAAGCCGGCGGCATCTTCTCACAGGCACTCTCCTTGGCTGTGAAGACAATCACAAGATGTGCCATGTCCGAGATGTCTGCGAGACACCACAGCTTCCTTGCAGACATTTTAACCCCCCAATCGATCTCTGAAGCCCAGGAACTAACTCCTGGCATCGGTGCTGCTCGGCCAGAATCTGCTGCTGGAGCTGCTCGACGCCGCTCTGCCAGGTTGAGCGATGCATTCGCAATGGTTTTTAAGGCTTACGGATGGGGCACTGCCTCCTCGTGCATGTCACGTGCCTGCTGGCTTTCCTGGGAGCAACGGCAGGATGCAAATGTTGCAGGAGTGTCGGGGCACCAGGAAGGCAAAGGACATCAGCAACAGAGCCTGCCGAACGGCTCGCCAGGCTTCTGCCAATGACATCTCCAAGGCCTGCACAGAAGTTTGCCTCTCTGTCACCCAAGCTTTTCCGACCGCGTCTGGGCCTGCACTTCGTGGATGTTGCCCGCGCTCTTGTCCTTCCAGCGTGCTTGTCACCAACAACTGCCTCTGTCTAGTGCACATGAGTGCCCATGTGTTGCCGCACAGACTTTGCGTCGTAAAGTGCCCAAGTACTTGGAGGGGTCGCTGAGGTATGTTGAGGTGGAAGGCATCGTACGGACACCGAAGACCAACTCTAATCCTGTTCGGCTCCTCGTGCAAGCGCATCTCGTCAGTCTCTGCACGCAGCTCGGCACGGAAGCGGGCCTCGTGGTGGCAGCTGCAAAAAAGCATGGTTTAAGTTTAGAGCGGTTTGAAAAAAAAGCTTCGTACGCCGCTTGGACAGAAGTTTGGCCTTGCTGGGCCTGCTTTTCTCTGCCAGGCTGGCTGATCGGCGGGCTGGGCACCCAATCCTCCCGGCTGGGGTCCGTGCATGCTCAGCCAGCGCAGAGTCGGAGTCTTTTTGCAGCTGGCCTCGGGAGGTTGCAAAAGGCACTCTGAAAGCACTTGACTGCGGTCCTGCAGTGGATATCCGGCTAAGGCTAAGCATTTTCCATGAGCTTTGAGACTTGATGTCCCCGTCTATTCTCACACTTCGAGCGGGGCCTGGAACCCTTCAACTCGCACAATCGCCGCCCTAACCCCAAACCTCTCAACTCTCTTCGCCCTTAAACTACCAGCAGCTGCCCAGCCCTTAAACACCCTAAACCCTAAACCCTAAACCCTAAACCCTAAACCCTAAACCCATCAGCTGCCCAAGGTCCCTGGAAAAGAAATCCAACACATGGAGAGAAGGGCCCCCCCCCCATCTCTTGCGGCTGAAGGGTCGCTCCAGCTCAGCGCACTGCAGCCGGAGGTCTTCCAGCTCGGCCTTCTGAAGGGTTCTTTTTGGCTTTGTGGGTGGAGGGTTTAGGGTTTAGGGTTTATAGGGTTTAGGGTTTAGGGTTTAGGGTTTAGGGTTTGGGGTTTGGGGTTTGGGGTTTGGGGTTTAGGGTTTAGGAAGTAGCTGCGTGCCTGGGGCATAACATATGTAATGCAGCTGTACAGGTAAAGAGCTAGTTTCAACAATCCTAGCAGCTTCCTCTTACGAAGAGAATGAGGTGACCGAGCATCAGCTGAGTCCGAGCGAGTGACAACAAAAGACAATCGATGAAATTGTGGTGCGGTTCCGCATGACAATCATGCAGTACTCTAGGTCGCTTATATATGCGAACTACGTGCAGAAACTAGAACAAAAAATGTAGATTCACTTGTGAGATACCGGCTCCAACCTGAAAGCAATGTGCAACATCGATGTTAGCTCAAGATACTCAGCCGTCATCAACGAAGCGACACCGGAAACACTGCCCGACAGCTTTTGCAGATCCCAGTGCTTCGCCGATATTAATCTGAACCCACTGTTTGCTTAAGAACCCCAAAAAAATATAAAAACACAATGAAAATAAAGAATTCCCTGTAAGGGCAATAAGGGAATTTTTTGGGGGTTCTTAGGCGAAAAGTAGGAACTGAGGCATCTATGAGGCTCAAGAGCCCGTTGGATCGAGTTTCCCTCAGGGTTCAACCTTCAGCACTGTCGGGAATGCCGAGCTCAAGAGCTCCTGGGGATCAACAAAGTGCTACTATGTGCTACTCACCCACCATCCCCACACCAGAGCTCTCAGGATTGTAGGAGACATCGGTGCTCTCGAGCAGGCGCGCGAACACATTCAACCCGAAAAGAGTTGTCAAGCTGCCCGAGCAGGGGGTGAGGGGGAGAAGGTGGGATGTCTGGTATATTTGGTTCTTGCCTGAAGATGCCCTTTGTCAAGAAACACACACACACACACACACATGCACGCACACAAACTTTTGGCTTTAATATGGCGCTTGGAAAGTACCAGCGGCATGCCGCCTGGACAGAAGACGAAGTCGTGGAAGGCCTGCCTGACAGGTCGAAGGACCGCGCTTCAGAAACCTCCTTCCCCGGACAGCGGAAGTAATTCCCGCTTCATTGCAACAGAGGTTGGGATTCCAATGTACGAATTCCAACAGCGTCACTCCAAGGCCTCCCATCCTCGACTCGCGTGCGCGAAGCTGTTGCACCAAACCGGCCTCAACACCCAAGCCAACCATCCCGAAGCACTGCACCATGGCAAGATTGAAGTTGCAGAAACTCTGCGAGGAAAACCGCCCCAGCATACTTGCAGCCCATTCGAACAACCCGCAGAGGAGACATGTGTTGTTAGCCTCGTGGTCGATCTCCGTCTGCAGCTTGCTCACAGTGACCTACATTGCTGGATATGTTGAAGGCGGAATTAGATGGAAACATCCTCGAAGAGCAGCTGCAAGGACAATGAGTCATGCCTACGTAGCAACAGAGGTCGAATCATGTCGGTCGACTCGCCATGAGCGTGCCCTCCTGCCTCTGAACGCCATTCCAACAAGCCGGAGAGCTTGCGCTGCATGAGCAGGTTGTGCCGAATAAGCCTGCTAGAATCTGTCACGTTTGGTCCGTCCTTCGTATAGGGGATTCTTCTACTACTACTACTACTACTACTACTACTACTACTACTACTACTACTACTACTACTACTACTACTACTACTACTACTACTACTACTACTACTAGTATAAATGTTGCCTACGTTGCCTACGAGAGGGTCCAATTTTCAACAAGTCGTCGTGGAAAGCCAGGACGGAGAATTCAAGCAATGCACCTCACTGCCCGCTCGAGAGTCTCTGGGGCCACTGGACTTCCTTCGTTCGGGCCTGGCGAACAAACCACTTTGTCAAACGACACTGCTATCTGGAAGAATCAGATCACTTGGACTTGCGGTGCCATTGGTGGAAAGATCAGCCACAACAAGAACTGCTGTGCACGACGATCTGCAGCCTTGGACAAGCTGATTGGCGAGATGGTCCGCCTGAGCGGAGATGGAGAAGGAACGTAAGATGCTGAGGCAAACGCTGGGTATATCGTTTGCAAACGAGGACGGCATGGTGAACATGACGTCTGATGCGGCATCTACGTTTGACACAGTCACCGGCACAGCTCCATGCGAGCGACAAAAAGCAGCGGCCTCCTCCGTCACACTAAGCCTCCCAACACGGGGTCCATCAAACCTGCTGCACAAAATTCGCGAATTGCATTTCTGCTTGGTGATGCTTGATTTCTGTGCGGTCTCGACTGCCTGGTCTTACCACTTACGCTCCAAAAGCATTTCTAAAGCAGACATGGCAAGCAAGAGTCGTATCTTATAAAACGAAGCGGTGTGCAAGTGCAGGGCGCACTCAGCAGTCTCGGGGGTGGCCACCTCGCAGCTTCTCCAGCTGCAAGACTGCTGCAAACACTAACCCTGTTCGGGCAACTTAAGGAGGGCCTTGAACCCGAAGGACTGAGAGCCTTGTTGCGGCGTCTGACAGGGCTACAGGTATCTACAGGTGTTGCCACTTTCGTTGATGGAGCATCGTGTCGTCTGCCAACCGCTCGACATCTAGTCACCATTTACTCTCGGGAAACCTACCAAAAACCGGCGAGAAGCTGTCTACGAATGCCCTTGGCTTACAAGGAATAGTCCGACGAGATCCCCTATTCATCATCGCACCAGGACTGCGATGCGCGGCATAGAGAATGGCATCTGCATTACCCCTGTGCGTTGCCTTGCCAGCCTCCTGCGCAGGCTTTGGGCCCGTGTCCATCTTTGCCTGACGACACGTCTGCACATCAAGAATGAAAGCGGAATCGTCTGAGGGACCACGAGCTTCATACTGTATTATGCGTTGAGCCCTGCTCATCCATTTCCCGCAAGGCTGGAAACGAACCGGCACTCCCCGAACATGAACTGCCGAACCGGGATACAAAGCCCCACAGGCCCGCCGGCACGATGGCCAAAACCCTCCAGCCACAAAAATCCAGCCACGAAACCATGCGTCCGCAATGGGGCCCTTTCTCGATGGCCTCTGACATCCCTCCCTGCAATTCGCATACGGCTAAGCTCAAAGCCATTCAAAGCCAAATCCACGGGCCCCGCACGAAGCTGAGCTCCAGCTCCATCTGCTCCAGCATCTCCTAAGGGAATCAAATTGGGCAGAGGTTTCGAGATCTGAGGGTCGCAGGAACCGTGGGCTGTTGTCATCCAACGTAGCTGGAACCTTTGGCAGGATCGGATGTAGCATCAGACGAGAAACTTCTAGTTGCTTGGCCGTTCGATGCAATGCTTGGAGTGCAGGCTCCACTGTGTCTGCATGTGTCTGGCGGCTGATATATTTGCCTTGCTTGCTTTGCTGAGTGCTAGAGCGCATCGCCAAACCAACCGCCTGCGCATTCTGAAACCCAGACAGCCGGAGCCTTTAGACCCGACTCACAAACCTGCTCAACCATGCACCGACAGCATATAAGCTGCTGCTCCCTGCTGCTCCTGCAAGTCTGCCACCCTGCGCCGTTGAATGTCCGTCTCCATCTGTGCCGTCTCAACTTGCTGCTGGGCCTCGGTGTAGAAAACCGCTGCGAGCTAATATAGTTTTGTTGCTGAGATGCTCGACACAGGTTGACAAAGTTCGGACAGTGGTGCGGTGGCATCTAATCTGTGGGCCTTCCGAGATGTTGATTTGCGGGCAAGTTTGCCTGGTTTGGTTGACTTTCCGACTCCTTGCACCGATGGGCAACTCACTGAGACCATGTCTTGCCTCGAGTGCCGGACATGCATCAGGGCATCTTTGTAGCTGTTCTGAGCATGCACCTCCTCCTTGCCGCAGCTTCGAGGGCGTCCTTTTTGGGGCTCTCCGGTCATGGTTTCATCCCCCTGCCTGGACCTGCAGCTGCAGGCGGTGAGCTTCCAACTTGACCTGTCTCATGCAAATGAGGGGAAGGCAGCACAAGCAAGACTCCAATCGAGTCTGCCACAGCTGCTACCATCCTGAGAGCCCTCCTTCTGCGAACCGCTTGAGTACAGTGCAGGGCCTGCTTCAGCCGCTCTTCCAAATGAAGCACCCGCTCCTGAGTCACCGCCGTGCGGCGGGCAGAAACAATTTGAAACAGTCCTGTGCTGGTTTCTCTGCAACCTTTGCAAGGCACCGGCCTTCAACTCCTCGTTTTCGGCTTCAATGTCGTCCTGAATCAGTCGAAGCTCCACACTGGGCTCAACAGCAAATATCACATGTCGAGAAAGAACAGAGACCGCCCGATCAAGCTTTTTTGGCTGGCTCTTACCAGACTAACCAGGAGAAACTCAGTGTCCGCATGAGCCGCTTAGGAGCCGGCTGCAACAACTGATGCTGAGCCAACAGGATTTTCATCAGCAAAGCATCGACACTTTAGTCGCTACTTAGCTGGATGGCTGACAAACAGCTCTCGGTCGAGGGGTCGACCGTGCCAGTCAGCTTGTACACTTGCAGCGACTGGAAGCTGCTCGCCTGCCCAAGTTGGGACTGTACAATGACCGGAGGGCAGGCGGATATGCCATGCACATCCAGCAAGCATTCCGGCAACTCTTCTACCACATCGTCCTGCTGGCTAACGAATTCTGCGTTCACACACTAGACAATCAGGCTTCGTCTGCAGGCACGACATTGACTGAAGCATGCTAAAGATCTTGATCCGATGAGTCTGAGGATGTCGGCAATCGGGAAGGGAAAGTCTTGGCCCGCCGGTTGGACCTCTCCTGAATGATCACCATCTCATCCTCCGTACTGTCGTCGTCACTTGCGACTTCGATGAAAGTGCGTCGCACCACTGTCTTGTGCTGTGCTGGCTTGTGCGCATTGAGCCGAATCTGATTGCACAGCCCTGCACGTCTCGCATCTGGAGCGAACCGAGGCTCGGCATCTGCTGCAAGACAAGGAGCACATGATCCACCATTGGCGCGGCGGTAGGCTCGTTTCTGAACCAGGAATGCTTCTTGAAATTGCTCTCGGACACGATCCCACTCCTCACGCTTCACCACGCACTGGTAGTGAACCAACCTCTGGCCATCCAGCGAGCTGTAGGCCTGCAAGCTCATACCCAGATTCTTTGCAAACTGCTTGACAAAGTCGACCAAGCGAAACTTCCCATCCGAGCACAAAGGCATGCGAGCCCATGCGCCAAGCTGACTTCGCTCATCTGTCTTGATGACGACATCGGCTCTCTGAGCAGAACCGGATGCCAGTGGCAGCAGCGGCGGGCCGCGTTTGCAGCTGTGGACGCTCAGCACAGTGTACATGTTCGCGTCAAAGGCACGCAACTGGGTAATCCCCGGCCGGTTCAAGAACCGCGTCGCTGTGGAGATGGCGGACTCAAGCAACAAGGCATGATGGGTCGACATCCACTGGTCAAACTTGTCTTCGGAAACACTGAAAACGCCGACAAGCCCGACGTGCTCGGCTCCTTGTGGGCGGCAGATCAGTAGGGCATCAGCAGGGTCAGCTTCATTTCTGGAGAACATGAGGGTGGTGTCTTCATTTGTTGGCCAAGCGCGGTACAGCCTCTGCCGACTGACGATGGGGGCGGAGAGCTCTGGCAAACCGATGCCCGAAGCCCCAGCATTCCCAAAGACCAAGCTGCACAGCTGCAGAAGTCCCCAGGAGGCAGGCTGCCTCACGAGTGTATCACCCGGTGCCAGAAGCTCGAGCAGCTCCATGCGCCCTCCAAGCGGCAGCTGGGCTTCATGCTTTGCCCTGGTCTCCGGTCTAAGCAGCAGACTTCTGGTGTCCGCGTTCTGCACATGAATACCACTCAGAGAGAGCCTCAACAAGTGACCCCCCCAAGGGCAGCGGCAGTGGGACAGGCTGGACTGCCCAATGCGCCCGGACACCTCCCACTCCTGCTCGGAGAGCAGGTGAGGAACCGACTCGAACCACGCCGTCGCATCGCATGGTCGCTCGACCGTCATGGCTGTCATGGCTGCTTGCACACGAAAAGCTCTATGCCCGCGCTGTACCTTTGAGTTGATGGCTCGCAACAGGAAGCAAGCGACTGCTTACCCAGCTCACACCGCTTGCCCAAACCCATCAACGAGAATCTCGTTTCATCGAGGCTTCCGGCCATCTGGCGCATCGAACAACAGCTACCGCTTCGAAGATGAGTCAGGCCCCCATAGCCCCATTTAGCATTGCATGCACACCCCCCTCACCACCACCACCTCACCTCCGCCCCCCCAACCTTCTTTGACCCTAACCTTAGTCCGGGTGCTTTGGATGTCCTGCTATGTCCTGCCTTCGCTTGGGAAGACGCCTGGTGAACAAGGCAATCGATGTCAACAGCTTCACAATTTCAGCGGGTCGCTCCCCTGTTGTCGGTCGAGGACCTCCCACTCCCCACTGCGGCAACTTGCAACCGAGAGGCCAAGGCGAGCGCACAAAGCGCTAACAAAACTCGTCATAGTTTGCCCGACTTTTTATGGCTAGCCACATGGGCTGCTCAAGAGCCGGCTGCAACAACTGATGCTGAGCCAACAGGATTTTCATCAGCAAAGCATCGACACTTTAGTCGCTACTTAGCTGGATGGCTGACAAACAGCTCTCGGTCGAGGGGTCGACCGTGCCAGTCAGCTTGTACACTTGCAGCGACTGGAAGCTGCTCGCCTGCCCAAGTTGGGACTGTACAATGACCGGAGGGCAGGCGGATATGCCATGCACATCCAGCAAGCATTCCGGCAACTCTTCTACCACATCGTCCTGCTGGCTAACGAATTCTGCGTTCACACACTAGACAATCAGGCTTCGTCTGCAGGCACGACATTGACTGAAGCATGCTAAAGATCTTGATCCGAGGAGTCTGAGGATGTCGGCAATCGGGAAGGGAAAGTCTTGGCCCGCCGGTTGGACCTCTCCTGAATGATCACCATCTCATCCTCCGTACTGTCGTCGTCACTTGCGACTTCGATGAAAGTGCGTCGCACCACTGTCTTGTGCTGTGCTGGCTTGTGCGCATTGAGCCGAATCTGATTGCACAGCCCTGCACGTCTCGCATCTGGAGCGAACCGAGGCTCGGCATCTGCTGCAAGACAAGGAGCACATGATCCACCATTGGCGCGGCGGTAGGCTCGTTTCTGAACCAGGAATGCTTCTTGAAATTGCTCTCGGACACGATCCCACTCCTCACGCTTCACCACGCACTGGTAGTGAACCAACCTCTGGCCATCCAGCGAGCTGTAGGCCTGCAAGCTCATACCCAGATTCTTTGCAAACTGCTTGACAAAGTCGACCAAGCGAAACTTCCCATCCGAGCACAAAGGCATGCGAGCCCATGCGCCAAGCTGACTTCGCTCATCTGTCTTGATGACGACATCGGCTCTCTGAGCAGAACCGGATGCCAGTGGCAGCAGCGGCGGGCCGCGTTTGCAGCTGTGGACGCTCAGCACAGTGTACATGTTCGCGTCAAAGGCACGCAACTGGGTAATCCCCGGCCGGTTCAAGAACCGCGTCGCTGTGGAGATGGCGGACTCAAGCAACAAGGCATGATGGGTCGACATCCACTGGTCAAACTTGTCTTCGGAAACACTGAAAACGCCGACAAGCCCGACGTGCTCGGCTCCTTGTGGGCGGCAGATCAGTAGGGCATCAGCAGGGTCAGCTTCATTTCTGGAGAACATGAGGGTGGTGTCTTCATTTGTTGGCCAAGCGCGGTACAGCCTCTGCCGACTGACGATGGGGGCGGAGAGCTCTGGCAAACCGATGCCCGAAGCCCCAGCATTCCCAAAGACCAAGCTGCACAGCTGCAGAAGTCCCCAGGAGGCAGGCTGCCTCACGAGTGTATCACCCGGTGCCAGAAGCTCGAGCAGCTCCATGCGCCCTCCAAGCGGCAGCTGGGCTTCATGCTTTGCCCTGGTCTCCGGTCTAAGCAGCAGACTTCTGGTGTCCGCGTTCTGCACATGAATACCACTCAGAGAGAGCCTCAACAAGTGACCCCCCCAAGGGCAGCGGCAGTGGGACAGGCTGGACTGCCCAATGCGCCCGGACACCTCCCACTCCTGCTCGGAGAGCAGGTGAGGAACCGACTCGAACCACGCCGTCGCATCGCATGGTCGCTCGACCGTCATGGCTGTCATGGCTGCTTGCACACGAAAAGCTCTATGCCCGTGCTGTACTTTTGAGTTGATGGCTCGCAACAGGACAGAAGTGTCAAGATGCCAGTGCTGCATACCGTACCTGATGATGCCTCACCTCAAACAGCTAAATCAGATTCTCTGAGAATATTTCGATGTTCTTTGCACATGAGCACTGAGCACCCCACCATGTCTTGCTCACGCACGAAGCGCTTCAGGCCCTCTGCCTGCTCGGCAAAAGAACAGGGATCTCAACAGGGAAGGTAAAGGGCTACAGAGGCTTTGGATTGCCTTCGTTTGCCGATCAGCATTAGCAACAAGAGCTACTGGCAAAGGGGAGAAGCGAGAAAGCGATGCTTACTTTCGCAGAGTCCGAAACCTTGTACTTTTGCCTCAAAAACTTGGCAGGCAATGCCTATGGTCCAGGGCTAGAGGGACAACTGAAGGTGCTGTCTGGGACCCTGGCCAGTTTCCTCCATTTCCCCGACACCACAATCCTGGGCCACGAACTCTGCAGTCATGATGGTACCCCAGCCCGTCTCCAGCCACTGACATGGCAAGTGGTGCGAGACTGGATATCCACTTCAGCACAGGTTTGCTTGGGACCATGCCCCTTCATTCTCTTCTCCTTGGAGACAGCAGCTTGCCAGGTCTCTTCTTTCCAGCCGTGCAAGAAGCAACACATCGGATCAACACTTCCACTGCCCTGTCCGCCCATCGCGCTGACGAGACCCTTTGAGCTTCAGTTGCTTGTCCCAAGCTAGAGGTCTACCCTCGGGCGGAGAGACAACATGCATGCAGACCTCTGACGTCGACCTGGAACGCCGTCTATTCCGATTGGGGTACCTTTTAAAGAAATGCTTGGGACGCAGCCTAAAATCCCAGTTCCTGAAGGGAACACACATTTGAAACCCACCCAACACACGCAGGGTGACGGGCGAAGCATGCGGAGACGAGTCACAAAACCATGGGGCGAGTTGTAAAACAGAAAACAGCGAATCGAAAATGCGCACATCTCCACGCCAAGTCTCGGGTCCTTTCACCTGAGAAACACCTTGTTATTCTGACACATTAGAACCTTGCTCGCTCTTGCAGGCAGCATGCATCAACGCATACAACGAAAGATCTGAGCATCTGCAGGTACGTGGGAATGAGCAGTCCCCATATCAGCCATGACTGCAGCCCTCTACTTTGGACCACCAACTGCATTCATGGGGTGGACCCACTATGTGCTTTCATGGTGAAAACTCAGACACTGGACTATGTCTATGTACACTTCCTCGCTTGGCAACAGGGTTGGCGCGCGCACACACACACACACACACACACAGTCACACACACACACACACACACAGAGAGACACAGACACACACCCGCCCACGCACGCGCACACACGACACACACGCACAGAGAGAGAAAGAGAGACACAAAAACAGAGATGTCGCCAGCCAGGCGGCGGCCCGTATCTCCTCCTCGTCAGACTCCTCGCTCGAGTCTTGCAGCCCCTGCAATGCCCGGGCTTCTACGGTCGCGCTTGGATGGTGTTTATAGGGCGGACAGACGGTTCTATATGGCCAAGAATATCTATACATTATATATATACATATATGTATATAATGGTCGCCCCCCCCAATGGACCAGCCTCGATATGTGAAAGCTCTTGTAGACAGTGTCTGTTCTGATACTCTGATATGTTCCCTGTATTTCTTAATTTCATTGGATACACGGATTTGGGGCCATACTTTTACTGATACTTACCTAAAACCTTGAGAAAACATAAGAAACCCGAAAATCCCAAAACCCAAACATCTTTTGTGTGATTTTGTGCCTTGTTTGCACTTGTTCGTGCTTTTTGCAATTTTGTTGTGATTGTGTGTGCGCTTTGCATTGTTGGCACTTGTTTTAATTTGTGCTTCTTGCACTTCCCGCATGCGGGGCCTGAAGGATTCCAAGGAATCCTTCAGGCCCCGCATGCGGGCCCTGAAGGATTCCAAGGAATCCTTCAGGCCCCGCATGTGGGCCCTGAAGGATTCCAAAAACCCTTCAGGCCCCGCATGTGGGCCCTGAAGGATTCCAAAAATCCTTCAGGCCCCGCATGTGGGCCCTGAAGGATTCCAAAAAACCCTTCAGGCCCCGCATGTGGGCCCTGAAGGATTCCAAAAAATCCTTCAGGCCCCGCATGTGGGCCCTGAAGGATTCCAAAAAACCCTTCAGGCCCCGCATGTGGGCCCTGAAGGATTCCAAAAAACCCTTCAGGCCCCGCATGTGGGCCCTGAAGGATTCCAAAAAACCCTTCAGGCCCCGCATGTGGGCCCTGAAGGATTCAAAAAAACCCTTCAGGCCCCGCATGTGGGCCCTGAAGGATTCCAAAAAATCCTTCAGGCCCCGCATGTGGGCCCTGAAGGATTCCCAAAAACCCTTCAGGCCAGGCATGTGCGCCCTGAAGCGTTCCAAAAATCCTTCAGGCCCCGCATGTGGGACCTGAAGGATTCCAAAAAACCCTTCAGGCCCCGCATGTGGGCCCTGAAGGATTCCAAAAAACCCTTCAGGCCCCGCATGTGGGCCCTGAAGGATTCCAAAAATGCCTCAGGCCCCGCATGTGGACCCTCAAGGATTCCAAAAATGCCTCAGCACCCACATGTGGGCCCTGAAGGATTCCAAAGAATCCTTCAGGCCCCAAAAACCCTGTATAAATGAGTCTTTTTGTATTTTCGAACGGTTTGAAAGTATACTAGAACATCAAGGATCTTTTAGTAATGTGAAAGTTGAAACGAGATGATAATCATAATAACATTATGAATCATCATGCACCAAGGTGTTGATATTATATTATTCTTCATTCCTGTAAATCGTCATAATTAATACTAGTAAAGAGCTCTTGATATTCTTATTCAATGCCAGGATCCTTTATATCATTCATTAGTTCATAAACTCATATCTAATAATATGCTATAAGCATTATGTGATTGTTCTATTCTCGTCATTCATCATATTCAATGATGGGCGAATGAAAAGAGCAAGAAAATGACCATCATGGTTATATCTTTCATGATTCAATAGACCAATTCTTCGGGCCAAAGATTATGATGGGAGAAATACTGAGAATTGATCTTCTAAGGATGATTGGAATCATTCATCATTTCCTTTTGTCTCATTCATCCATCATATCATTCAGATAGTCTTCCCCTGATTGCTAGCTTCTTTCATCTATTCCATCTTGAGATCCAATTTCTATACCCAAATCAATACGAATAATCCCTATGAAAAAACTTCTCTCATATCTTGAAGATTATACTTGCCAATATCCAATTTGTGCATTTGAAAGAAGCTGAATCATCATGTTCTCAATAAGTTCTGGGATTCTAGTACAGTAACTACTGTCTAAGAAAGCTTATAGCTGAAGAACACACCCTTGTCGCTACTTGTCACGGCCAGTTCTATGAAGCTCCTGCATTCCAGGCCTGCAGGAGTCTGTGCGTGGGCGACTTGGACTTGCCACTCTCTGGTGGCCTGCTCTCCTCATGCTGGGCCTCCAGGGCCTCAGCTCCGAATCTCACCGTGACATGTTCTGCCATCCCTGGCGAGCAGCTGCGTACTGGGAGGATGCTCGAGGGATACTCACGTAGACCCCTGGAATTGCAGCTACCCCTTTGTCCGAGGATGCGACGTGCTCTAATTCCTTGGTTCCAACCACAGCTGGCCAAAGTGTCGCTTTGCTCTGTTTCGGGTGGGGTACCGTTTGCCAGGAAGGTCCATAGGACGAAGGGCAAACCGGAGCCAAAATCATCAACGGGCAAACCATCATGTAAAGTTCTTGTTGCTGGCCGCGATGCCGCCACACGTCGGCGAAGATGGCGGTTTTCGAGCTCAAGCCCGGCCGCCTCCTTTGCTCAGAGACAGAAGCACTTGACTGCCTTCGGTTCGGGGAATGAGCCAAACAACTCTCCAGCGCTTCCCAATCATCCCACAGGCGGGATGTCTTCCAGCTGTGGAGAGAGGGAAAAAGGCTCGCAAAAGCTGGCCAGCGCTTACCCTTCCGCTTTGGCACTCGGTAGCGAAGGGAGGGATGCCGAGGGTGAAGCAACGCCAAGCCGGGGCAGAGCGAGGATAAAGGAATCGGGAGGGAAGGCAGAGCAAAAATGCAAAGTAAACACACACACACACAGGATGGTACATGGGCCTCAGGGTCCATCCGCAAGGATGAGCGAGCCTCCAGCACATGCTCTTTTCATGCTCTTTTCTGTTTAGTACCACGCAGCAATCCGAAGCAAATCTGGGGCCAGAACCCTGTGAAGTCTCCTTGCCGGCGGATCTGGCGCGTCCTCAAAACACATGCCAGGCATTGGGGTCCATGCATGTCCATGCGCAAACCACGACAGGCTTCACGCCAAGCAACATGTTCCACAGCATCCTCGGCACTGTTATCTTCCCTTACACAGTATCTCTACGAATAAGGACATCATAGATCATCATAGTCCATCTGCAAACGCTGATGTGCCACACGGGGTCCATCATGGCTGAAAGCACTTGTGAATGGCATCACGGTCCTGGCCGAAGCCGTTGTTGGACTCCTCTGCCCTGGGCGAAAAATTGAGGACTTGGTGGTGAGAACAGTTCTTCCTGAATGCGAAACCAAGGAATACTGTTTTGAAGGGTTGAGGGCTCGGGGGGTTTGAGCGTGGCCCATCCACAGATTCACCAGGCAGGTCGCGCGCGAAGCCGCGCTCTTCGCGGTCGTCGTTTATGGACCCCATCTCCTCGGATCCTCTTCTTTTTGTCCAAAGCAGTCATGGGTATCGTCGTGAGCGCGTCACCCTGGGACTCTGGGATCGTGAACGTCGGTCTCAAACCTCACGTTTCGTCCGTCATGTCGTCTCGCGAGTGTTTCATGTTTCCTGTTTGCAAGCGGGCTTGTGGCTCCTGTCAAGTTCGAGGGCGTTTCGTGTGGCACTTGTGTTAGCTGCAAGCCTGTGAGGTGTCAAGGCGTTGCACGCTACGGCTACGTTTTGGGACCAACGGCTTCTGTTCGGCATCCCAGGGATGCAAGGCGAGAAGGCCCGGCAAAATGTGGGAGGGCTTTCGGTACTTGGGCCATGTTGCGCCCAGGGTTATCCTGCGGGCTCTTCGGAAGACTGCTTGAAAGGTAGTCATAGGATTGGGCCCGCACGCAGCTTGACGAGACTAGTGAAGCTGACACGAGAACTCATCAGGTAGTTCAGTCCCTGAGCGCGCCGCTCATTCATTGCTGCCACTGCTTCCACAGCTATCTACCTGCACTCAATCGAAGTTGCTGAATTATCGATATGATCTGAGGATCGATGAAGAAAGGGAGAGAATGCTGAGAATGAGGGAAGAAGAATCAGAGCGGGGAAGGGAACTCAGGAATCCACCTTTTTGCCAGGATCGAGCGCAGCGGAAATAAGCATCGCCCAAACATGCTTGGCAATGATTTAATCTCATACTGTCAACCAAGCCGGCCACATCACCATTGCTAGCCTAACTAAGGAGGCACGCCGTCCTGGTAAGAACTGCCCCGAATTCAACAAGCATGGGCCTTCGTCCTTTCTTTCTGCCGATTCCTGAAGAATGTTCAGAATGAGACATCGGAAACACAACAAAGCATCGCCTGCACACACAAGCACACACAAGCACACACAAGCACACACAAGCACACAGAAGCACACACAAGCACACACAAGCACACACAAGCACACACAAGCACACACAAGCACACACAAGCACACACAAGCACACACAAGCACAACTGTTACCAAGCTGTCTTAGCACATTCAACACTGCGCCTGTGCACTGCCGTCCATCAGCAGCATAGATTCCTTCCTGACCTCTGAATACCTATAAGAAGATGCAACTCACGGCTGACTACCTGTTCAACTCCAAGCATGAGCAGGCTCCATGACATCGTGTAAAGATGTGAAATCCTTCTCCGGTAATGAGCTTCTTTGCAAGAGCAGCACAGATACAGAGAGACTGTCGCCTGTGAGCACGGATACAAACAATGCACAGGCATGGTGAACACTTGTAGTGGGCCTGAGCGAGGTGACACGTGCAAATTCGCAAAGCAAAGAAGCTGATCTCTTTTTCCCTCACATCTCGCTGCATAAACTGACTGGAACCATGAGGGAACTCTGAGGACCTACTGGTCCCTCGGAACAGCGCCTCGCCGCAAACGCCTCACCTCGAATTTTAAAAAACAGGGGAGAGAGTGAGAGAGAGTGAGAGAAAGAGAGAGAAAGAGAGAGCGAAGCGGACGTTGTTCCCAATGTAATATTCAGATGGCACCAAGTTCACAATGCTCCCCTTTTTTGCTCGTCATGGCCAAGTGATTCTCAATTCGGCTCCTCAAGGAGCTGCGGTGGCGAGGCCGTTGCTCAACAAGCGTCAGCACACATGCACGGAACACAGCACTTCCTCGCTGGGTTCATGAGGGCGCAGCTCTTGCACTAAGACTAAGGACCAAGGACTACTTTTTACTGCCTTATGGATTGATTCACTATAGGATTGACAGAAGCTTCTCTTGCCGCCAGGTCCCCCGGCTTCATTGCAGCCAGGTTAAACATTCAAAGCGCGGCGCCAGCTTCTGTGGGCCACGTAAGCCCTGCTAAGCGTTGAAGCGCAAAAGCTAACAGTTGTTTGTGCATGAATATATAAACACATGTATCTGTGCATGTATATATTTATGTACGTGCATTTGTATAGAGATATATATATATATATGCATACGTACATATGGACACCGCATATATGTAGAGACACCAGAAACTCATCTTTGTATTCTATGACTTTTGCAGGAGCCGAGTGCGCCCTGAAGATGGTACAGCCTTCTGTTGCTGCACAGATATAGATTAAAAAGAGCTTGCACTGGCCAGCAAGGCCCACCTGTCCGCACTTCTTCACAAGTGTCTGAAGTAGGTGGGCTTCTACTGGTCAATGTGTTGTTCCAAGCAGCCGCGAGCTGCTTATGCGCTGGTTGCCAAGCTGCCCTGGCTCTGATAGGCCACCTGCGCAGCCTTGCGTTGTTCCTTCAATCGGCGCAAGTCCCGCGGATAGCTCCAATGCAACAGGGTGTAGGCAAAAAGCGTGATGGTCCATGGAATGCAGATGGTAGCCGCCATTGCCTTTCCCAGGGCTGTAGCTGACTCCAGGGTGCTGCCCGTCTGGCCCTTCTCACCGAAGTCGTAGCCGAAGAGGTTCTGGGCCAAGAGCGAAACAATCACAGGCCCGATGGCAGCTGCCGTACTGCTCTCCAAAGCACCCTCCCAAGCCATGACCTGACGGGTTCAGAGGGGAGCGGTGAGAGGGAGATGAGAGTGGCGAGAGTGGTGAGCGTGGTGAGAGGGCGGGAGAGAGGGCTCCTGCTTTCTCAGAACTTGCATTGGCATCCCCACAATTGATCCCCTTGCCTTGCAACGGTGTTCCGCCGGCACAATGTCAGAGAGGATGGGGAGGTTGGTGCCAATTCCAGCCCAGGTACCGAAAACTCCGAATGAACCAATGATCGCGAAGTACACCCAGAAGGAGCCCTGTCCTGCTGGCACACCATAGAACTGCAAGTACATCAAAGGGATTCCGATGGCCACGGTGATCTGTGCATTCAGCGGCCGCCCATGCTTACCCAATCGCCTTGCCAAGACATCTGCCACGAAGCCACCTAGAACAGCGCCCACCATCCCAGCAGCTGTAAACTCCTCAGAAGCGTCAAGGGTCGCAGCTTCAATCAAAGTTTAAGCAGCAATCCTTTTTTCAGTTTAGGGTAGAACTGTCTCGCAGAAAGGAAAGTCTATACTTGTGTTTCTGGGGCTCTGCTGTCAGAATGGAGGACTCCCAATCCTGCAAGCCACAAAGCTTAAAATAGAGCAGGTTGTTCCCCATGATGCTCCATGGAATGCTTCCGAAGATGCCCTGCAGCACGAGAATGCTGAAGGAGGGTATCGTCAGGAAGCGCAGCACGGCCATCAGTTCATCCCCGACGGTCCTGCAAGCTCCGCCTTGAGACGCTTCCGGCTTCTCCAGCCTGCGCGGCGGCTCCACCATGCACTTCGCCAAGATCGCCGCCACGCCGTACGTAAGCACGCCTGTGACAAAGAATAAGACTCGCCAGCCCGCAAGGCTGAAAATGAAGATGTTGGCCACGTTCCCGCCAACCAGCGTGGTGACCAGCATGCCGAACATGAAGAAGCTCTGCAGCTGCCCGAAGATCTTGCCTCGATGCTGCTCTGGGGTCAGGTCTGCCACCAGACCGATGCTAACAGGCTTCAGGGAGGCCAGGAAGAAGCCGCACATCGCCCGCAGGAAAACAAGCGGCAGCATCGAGGACACCAGGGACATGACAGTCACCGCCGAGCCGACACCGATGCAGCCCAAGGCGAGGATGCTCCGTCGCGACAGCAAATGGCGATCCGCAAGGATTCCCCAAAATGGAGCCGCCAGATTGGCCATGATCATCTGGGCGGTTGTGAGAATCGCAATCTCGTGGAGGCTAAGATCGATATCTCTCTGCAGGGCAAAGAGACACGTGCTGAGGAGCTGCGAGTCTACGCCTTCCACAGTATAAGCAGCTGCAAGGCATGCGAACGTCTTTCTGCTGAGGGCGCCCTCTGCATCAGCATGTGAACCAGGAGTGTCTTGCTCAGTCTTTTGAGGAGTAGCCGCCTCATCTGTCATTGCCTTTGGCGGGGCCACTACACCCTCAAAGTTCTCATTGCCAGGTAGTTCGGCCATGGCACGCAAGTTCCTCCCCCTTCAGCAGACTTAAAGGGACTTTGAGCTGAAATGCCTCGCAAAGCAAGACATGTCCTGGCTTTCAAAGCGGCACATCATGAGCCATGATCCCTCAAGCTGTGCACATTGCTTCAGTCGTTGAAGCTAAAATCCCACACCTCGCCTCGAAATCCACAGACCGCTGGTCCCTCGCATAGGCTCCGCGGATGTCCAGGACGCCCTCCTCTGCCTTCGAGGGCACAAGGGTTCACTCCCAGAATCCCGAACGCCAACTAAACTCCCAACAACACGACTCTAAGACTCTAAGCCCTGCCGCCTCCGGATCCTCGGATGGTCTCCCATTCTCATCCAGCCAGGCCTGGCCTAGCAGGTGGAGCTTTAGGGCTTGGTGCGCCGAGGACTGGTGACTGGTGGGTGGTGGGAGAGCAGCGCGTGGCTTCTTGGAGTATGGTCTGGGGCTTTGAAAGCATGGAATTCCCTGCAAGTTTGCTGAGAACGTCTGATAACCACAAATCCGAATGATGCCTGCAGAACTATGGCAGAGGCAAAGCAAACAACGGTGGCAACCCCTAAAAGCCCTAAAATGGGATAGCAACAGGAACAGCAGCAACAAAACAACGTCGAAACAGCCGGCTCATCACAATGCTTGTGGCCACTGGGTTCCATGCCACGGTAGTAGAGCTTCTTGAACTGCGTAGGAAAATGAGATGTACACATGGGCGGAGCTGGTAAGCATCACTACGAGACGGCATTGAAGCCACAACCAAACTTGTATGTCAGACCTCCCCCCCAACCTCTCCCGCGACTCCTCCCTTGTTTTACCACTGCCTCATACCCCTTGCTGGCATGATTTCGCTTGCGTTTTCTCATGCGCCATTCCTGATGTCTGGCGTATGTCGGCATTAAATCTTCATCTCACCCTCATGTGTTGCACATGGCCACCAGCAAGAAACCTTCGGTCATCGATTAAGTGATGAGATCTCGGGTCGCGCAGCGCTAAAATCAAATCTGTTGAGCGTTCAACTGCAAACTCATCATCGCCAAACGAAGTGCGCCAACTAGTCGGGGCCAAGACAAAGATCGACTGACTCTCACAACCATCCCCACCCCAAAGTCTCCAAAGACTCAGAAGCAAGAAACGAAGGCGACTATTTGGATCACTGCATGCAAGTGCCCAAGCAAGCGCCCAGCCGCTGCGCCTCCTCTGGCCTCATCTCACGGGCCTAACAGCTCAGACTCCAAGGACGAATCGCAGCAGGAGCTAAGCACCACACTCCTGACTACTGCGGGGTAGGATTTCGACGCTTGGGGTAGGATTTCGAATGATCTCTCGGATTCTCTCAAACCGGGCTATGATGGGCCACGTCTTTCCCGGAGACCCTGGTTGCTTATTTGCTGCACTTGCCACCACAGGGGTACTTTCTCTGGTCTTGGCCTCGGAAAGTCCTTTTCTTGACCCCGGATGCGATTTGGAAGCATCAAAAGCAAAGGGGCCCTCTCTCCTTCCTCCTATCCCAGTGGTGGTGGAGCGCAGGTCTTGCACAAACATCCTGCAGTCGCAAGAATGAGATGCTCGATAGGCGTGCCTGGTACGTAAGCTTAGTGAGTACTGTTTTTGTATGTCAACTTGCCGGTCACATGCCCCACAGGTAGCGGACCCAGCCCAAGTAGGCTGATTCATTATTGCGACCACCGGCACGGCCAGGCGCTTGATACACCATTCATTTAACTCATAGTTGCTGCGACTTCCCCACCACCCAACCTGCTGTACAGGAGATCCAAAAGCTGTGGGTCCTCAGCCCCTTCTTTAAGAATGGCGGGCCTGTGACACGGCATGCTTTTGGATCTAAGTGGTCAGGAAGTCAAACGTTTCAGCTTCCAGCTCTGCCGGTACGTGCTGCCAGCAACTCTTACGGGCCAAGCCTGCTCCGGAAAAAGAGAGGGAGAGAGTGAGAGGGAGGAGAGCTGCCCAAGTCTTCCATCGTATCAGGAGCCGTGTTATGAGAGGTACCCCAAAAAGAAGCCATAATTTAGAGGGCTGACCAGATGGAGGCAGCAAGCCAATACGACTCACGACAGTGCATCCCAAAGGACAGCTTCTTGGGAGGCAATAGGGCTTTAAGAGATTCGAGGCTTAGGTTATTGGATGAGGAGGTTTTTGACACTATTATCCTCAGACATCACACTCGACGCAGCGATCTACACAGCTGGGGTTGGTGCTGCGTATGTTCCGCGGCTGACTGGCGTCAGCCTGCAGAGCCTCAGCCAACACAAAAACCTCGTGGACGCTCAGGAAACGCAAGGCACATGCAGCGCAAGGGATTCGGCAAAACTATTATAATACAATGATGCGAAGTGATTTTGAGAAATTTACTGCATTGTACACTCTCTTGATGTTGCTGTATTACACTCTTCCCTCCTTTGTCCCCAGACCCTTTTTGGGGGGGTTTTCGCGTGATGGGACTCTCGGGCCCACTTCAAACCCTCCTCTGTGGTGTTGCACCAAATTGACGGAGGACTTGGCTTCCCTTCGTCTGCGAGCCCCGCGTTGGGCCAGCCCGACCGGCGGGGCGTGCGAGCGTTTACAGATCCACAAATGCACACACACACACACACACACACATCCTCCTCCTCCTCCTCCTCCTCCTCCTCCTCCTCCTCCTCCTCCTCCTCCTCCTCCTCCTCCTCCTCCTCCTCCGCCTCCTCCTCCGCCTCCTCCTCCTCCTCCTCCTCCTCCTCCTCCTCCTCCTCCTCCTCCTCCTCCTCCTCCTCCTCCTCTCCTCCTCCTCCTCCTCCTCCTCCTCCTCCTCCTCTCCTCCTCCTCCTCCTCCTCCTCCTCCTCCTCCTCCTCCTCCTCCTCCTCCTCCCTCCTCCTCCTCCTCCTCCTCCTCCTCCTCCTCCTCCTCCCCTTCCTCCTCCTCCTCCTCCTCCTCCCTCCTCCTCCTCCTCCTCCTCCTCCTCCTCCTCCTCCTCCTCCTCCTCCTCCTCCTCCTCCTCCTCCTCCTCCTCCTCCTCCTCCTCCTCCTCCTCCTCCTCCTCCTCCTCCTCCTCTGCCTCTGTTTCTTCTTCTTCTTCTTTTTCTTATCCTGCGCGCGCAAGGCAGAGTCGCGGTGCATTGTCCCGGACTGAGCATCACTCCCGAAGTCACCTCCCTCTTGTTTGCTTGCTTGCAGCGACCATGGCCCGGGGAGGCCCCGGAGGGCCGCCCCAAGGAGCGTGCTTGAACTAGTCTATGGTCCGAGAGACTAGGAATGTGTGAAATGCCTCCCCTTGTTATATGACTCAGATAAATTCAATCACACTAGGATCACTTCCCTTGCATCCGAGGACATTGCCTCTGTACCCTGTTGGTCGTGATGTCGAGGTGCGTATCAGAGCAGTGGGCAGAAAAGAAGCTCTCTCTCTTTCTCTTCGTTTCTTTCGTGCTTTTGCTGCCCGGACACGGCTCACCCTTCTTCAACACGATTGGCTCGCCAGTGGCAGTCCTGCATCAGCTGCAAGCATTCAGCCGTTGACCCTTTGCGCTCTGGATGGAATTGGCTGTTTCAGGATTGGGAGAAATCAGTTTGCCACCTGCCTGATGCCCACCTGGGGCCTCTGTTGGGTTCTCTTATTCTGTTGTCCGCTGTCCTTGGCAGTTCAACGACTGCGTGCCAGGGGTGTGCCGGAAAGTACCAGTCGGTGTCCTGGGCTGGCCGGCAGCATGACCCCAAGCACTGCCTCAACGCCCAAGCCCGCCAACCCGGTTCTTGAATAATCGGACGACTCCCCAACCACGCTGCATCCAAGCATCAATCATCGCACTCAAGATACGGAAGCCTCACAAAAGCCACAGACCGGTCAAATGAACCTCAAACCCTAACTTCCCTGAATAGCCGTAGTTTCCTGAATCGGTTTCCTGAATAGCGGTAGTTCCCTGAATCCTCTATTCCTGAATCGCGAGTAGTTTCCGAAACGTGGTTCCTCTCGTGACAGAGTGCTTTCAACTTCTGAGAGTCCCGCGTCGCTTCAAATTGGGAACATCGCTCCTTGAGGATCTGCTTGTGTAGGGGCTTAGGGCCGAGGACCCCGTGGAGTTAGAAGGATTTGCTGGCATAGGATTTCTAGCTTCTCCGACTGAATGAAGACTTGCTGAGGCTGCGACATCAAGACGGCCCACCTCGTCTGCGCAAACATCAAAGGTTTAGATGGCTTGGGGCCGTGTAGGGTTTAAGCTGGGTTGTAACCATTGCTGCTTCCATCCCAGATCCGCGGGGACTTGCATCTGTTCAGCTTCTGAACAGGTTCCGAACTCTTGGAGAAGCTGGAGTTTTGAACGACATCTTGCAATCAAGGAGCCCTGGAGGAGTCTGCAGGTACAAGTACGTGGACACTTTGGCCTGATTCCTCAGCTGGGACAGCAGAGTTGGGACCATCTCCCGTGGCTCAAACTCTGGACGAGATCTGCAACTGCAGGCGGCAAGCCGTATCTCCGGATAAACTTGGGGAGAGATGCGGTGAGGCAGCACCTGACAATACCGCTACCGGTCGCTGACTGCTGCTACATCTGCCACCGCTGCCACCACCACCACCACCACCACCACCACCACGACGGCTACTACTACTCCTCCTCCTACGGCTGCTGCTACTGCTACTGCTACTGCTACTGCTACTGCTCCTGCTCCTGCTCCTGCTCCTGCTCCTGCTCCTGCTCCTGCTCCTGCTCCTGCTCCTGCTCCTCTGCTACTGCTGCTACTGCTACTGCTACTGCTACTGCTACTGCTACTGCTACTGCTACTGCTACTGCTACTGCTACTGCTACTGCTACTACTGCTGCTACAGCTGCTAGTACAGCTGCTACTGCAGCTGCTACTACAGCTTCTACTAGAGCTGCTCCTACAGCTGCTACTGCTACTACAGCTGCTGCTACTGCTGCTACTGCTGCTACTGCTGCTGCTGCCGCTGCACAATGACATGACAGGCAAAAAAGACTTCTCGGTTTTAACTTCCGTGCTCCGTGTTGGCCCACCCCAAGCAATACCGGTGGGAGAAATACCCTTGCCACGGCCACATGGTGAGACCCTAACGCCTGAGAAGACCAATTTAGCAGGAACCATCGGGTGGCTGCCTGCCTCAACAGCATCCCAGAAGCAAGCAGCAACCGAAACAAACACGCAACAAACCGCCCAGCCCCACAGCGCCCTGGGCTACGCGTTGAGGAGTTGCCTGCTCACGTTACTACAACTGTCACGTACTGCGATTCTTCAATCGCTCATACGAACTGTTATTCTAGCAAACAACAGAAAGCAGACCTCCTCTCTGCCCAAAAAATCCTTCTGCCTGATTCGGGTCCCACTGCCAGCAGTTGTCCTGGCGAAAACGAACGTGCAATTTCGTCGTCGTAGAAGAAATACACTGAGCGGACCGCTCCTGGTCGAAGGCTCCAATATCTCCGCGCTCCTGTCGAAGTATCAGAAAAAAGGACAGCAGTTCGAGCTGGTGAAGCTAGGTTTTCAGACGACTTTAAGCCATTTTTTGGGTTCTGACATGTTCTGGCTTCCAGAAGTCTAGGTGGCTGCAAGCCATCAAAGCTTTTGTACAAGGGCTCAACGTGGGTTCAACATCGACTTCCTCGAGATCTCCGCCGCCCACTTCCACCGAGCTGTGGATCTCCCAACCCTCCTTCGCGTGCAAAGGCAAATCTGCTTTGCGGTAGTCATGGGTTTAGGGTTTAGGGTTTCGGGATGTCCTTGCCAGGGTCAAACTGGATCTCAAAGGGATTGATAACATCCTTAGACATGTCGAGGACCATTGAGCCACAGTGCTTCGCCAAGTTAGTCTCCTTGGTTCGAACCAAGATGCCCAGCCGAATGCAGAGGCTGCCTCCCAGCTGAAAACAGCACTAGGATAGCAGAGGGTGCAGTCTGTGGGGAGCTTTTGGAGTATGGGATGCGCTACCTTTCGAACTTCTCTGAACCCTTTGGAGCTCAGGCTCCATGACACACGCAAACGTGCCAAAAGAGCAACCAGAGGCGCCACTCACATCCTACTCAGAGAGACTCAGAAAATCAAAGCCGGGCTTACCTGCATGGGTGGGCATTGCTCTGGCCATCCAGAGCCCGGCCGCCGCTCGACATAACTTCGCCGTGCAGGCACCTAAAACGCTACGGAGGAGGCAGCAGAAGCAAATGAGTGCTGCTGTACCGGCAAGCCCTGCAACTCTATCACCCCGAAGCACCATTCCACGCCAAACGCCTTGCTTGCCATGCTTCGGGCTTGCAGTTGCGTTGTAAAGCATGACACAGCTTAGCTCCACAAAAAAGCCTAAGAATGCACGTAGAGTGCGATTCGTACTCTGTTCTTGTTTGTGCTCACTCCGTTTGGCCATGTTCTGCCAGCGTGCGGGGTGTGGCAGCTCCGAGTGAAAGCGGAAGTAGCGCAGCACGCTGGGAACGGCGGTGGAGGCGGCAGTGCCGGTCGCGCGGGTGGCAACTTTGGCCTGGACATTGCAGTGGGCGGTTGGGGCTGTTTTGGGCAGCTTAGTTGCTGAGTTGCTTAGGGGCTTCAGATTAGCCCTGAAGGCCGGCAGCCCTTGCCTTTTCGAAGCTTGCACCCCCACAAAGTAAAAATGCAAAACCAACAAGCACCGATAACCCCGAAACCACCCTTAGCCCTCAAGCCTGGCTCCAAGGCTCCAGCCACCCGCATCAAAGCCAGCGTCCCCAATGCCGACTGGGCCAGGTTGAGGCCCGGCCCTCTTGCCTGGGGTTCGGGGTTGAGGGAAGGGGGCGGTTCAGGCCCTCGGGTTTATGGGAGGGGGGCTTTGGGTGCTTTCCGGGCACTTCGGGGACTTGAGGGTATTTTGGAAATTTAGGAGCTCTCCCTGGGCTAAGGGAACCACATGGTCGTCCCGCCTGCGGCTTCGCCCGTGCGGTCCCCCGTGCGGGACGGCTGGGCTGCAGCGGCACATTGGCATGCGCCGAACCACCTTGCGCGCGGAAGCGTGCAGACTTTAGCACTGCGCCGGGCGCCAGACAAGCAGGATCCTTGAGTGATCCTTGCACGGAGGCCTGGTGATCCAATCCGAAAGTAAACAATGCATTACGGAATGTTACTGCGCCAACCCGTTATTCGCGCCTGCACCGTGCAGGAGCATGTCGGCTCTGCCGTCTCTTTCGATGAATGTGCTCAAAGAGCTGGTGACGAGTTGGCTGAAGTAGTCAGTGCCCAGTTGACGGGCCAGCTGCACGCTTGCTGCTCAGTGCTGGGCATGGATCGTTCCATTCATGAACTGGGCTTTGAGTGCGTGAAGCGTGAAACTTGACGCATCACTTCAATGTTCTTGGGACGGGTCGCTAACAAGCATCAACGGACCCCAATCTGAACTCGGGTTGCCAGTCCTGGATGCTACTGGTGCAAAGGAGTCTCCCTCGGGCTGGGGGGCTCATAATTTCCCTGACACTGATGTGGCTATTGCGCAAGCCATCTTTTAAGCTGCGCGAAGGGGGCTGGAAGAGACAGCATGAGTGGAGAGCCACCCATCCTCGAAACAGCACAGAATGCCTATAGCTCCTTGAGGCATCGAGTTGTCTTGCCAGCTTGCGCTCAGGGTGTGTACTGTTGCAATTCGAACTGGGATGCCAAAAGGTCTATGCCCCAGCATCCTGACTGCTTCAGTCAGCAAGTTAGGCTAAATTACAAGCCTCGCCAGCACAAGTTTGCGGCACAGGCGAAACGCAGTAACGGCAACCTTCACCGAGGCTCCGAAGGGCGTGGATGAAGGTGTTCAAGGTGTTCATTGGCCATGTGGCCATCCACATCCTGGGGCATAGCTCACGTGCCCTTCCTCGGTCCTTCGTTAGGAGCCATGGCTGCCTAACTCAGAGGGGGAGCAGCCTCTTGCGGATGCCCACCCTGCAAGCCATCGAAGCCTCTCGGCTTCTGCAAACTGCTTGTTGAAGCATAAATCTCCCAGCATAAGGAGATCACGGTCGCACATGTGGGCTACTTGCTTGTGTAGCTTGCGGTGAATGCGCTTTTGGATGTACCCGGCTCGCCCGAGCTCCTCCAAAAGCTGCGCCTGGTCACCCAGGGTGCTGCGCTGTGGCATGTTTGAAGGCGGGCCAGCGGTCTTCCCCGAACTGGGGGGCGGTAAAGCCGGCACAGCCATGGTTGCCATGGTTGCGATGGCCTGCCTGTTTCCCTGTACAAGGTCTGTCTGGTTCACCACATGCGCGGGCGCGGGGCTGAGGAGCATGTCCAACTCCAGGACCTGCCTATCCTCCATGCGTGTCTTGAATGGCTCGTCCACTCCAACGGCACAATACTGGCGTTCTGCACCCACAGCTTCTCCCATCGGCGATGTCTCTTCAGCTGTGGGCAAATCCGAACTGCCCTCAGGCTCCAACCTCGGTGACAGGGCGCCTTTAACTCAATAACTCACAATGTGCCGCAATGTGTCTCCTATCAGCTCCCAAAGCTCATACATGTTACTCACATGCTGCCCCTCTGCCTGTTTGCGGATGTCCCTGCCCACGTGGTCGACTCGGTGGAAGATGCTGAGGCTGATTGTCGCAGCTCAGGTTGCTCAGGTTGCTCAGGCTCAAGCTGTTCCAGTGACTCAGGCTCTGCACCTTCTGCTCCACAGAGCTTTGCCAGTCTGGTCCAGTCAGTGGGGCGGCAACCGAGCAGAGCTCCAGCGATGAGATAGTGCTTGGCTTGACTTCTCTGCCCGAGCCGGCAAAGCTCCACTAGCAAGGCTTCCCACAGAAGCTGCGATGGCATTCCGTGTCCTTGGCGAATCCAGCGCATCCACATTTCACTTTCTTCGAGGATGCGTTGTGCCCAGTAGTCAACCAGTATAGACACGTGTTCCTCAGACTCACTGTCCACTGCCCACGAGATTGGGGAGCTTGGCGCGCTCTTCACAACCTCTCGCTCCAGCTGTAAGTGGACTCCACCAGGTAGGAACAAGCCCGAGTCAGGGTGCCTGCCTCTGGCTTCAAAGCTTTGGTCCAGGGGCCCCACCTCCCAATCAACATCGCAGTCCACACTTACAGAGCTTTGGCACAAAGACTCGCAGTCGCTGGCGATGTTGTAGCTCTCGAGCTTGTGTGACCTGAGCCATGACATTGAGATGCACTGCTCATTCCAAAAAGCCTTCCCTGAGAACGAGGCCGCATGAGACTGCTTGTACTCTCCGCATCATCTCCAATGAAGAAGTGCAGTGGTGAAGCACTTCCTGTGCATCACATGGAGTAAGCTCTGAGTTGTTGCAGGTACATACTGGAATTACATCCTGGAAACCGCCATCCCATGACCTGTATTTCCAAATTAGCTCTCCGGCTCTCGCTAGCTGGACATGCATTTGTAATCTGCACGCATGATTCTGTTTGGCTGCCTAGGAAAAGACTGCAGAAAACTTCGGCATGGGTACAGATTCGGAACAAAAGCAAAGGCCCCGAAACCCGCCCGGCACCTGCCGTCGTCGCCAAGCTCTCAGCCGCGCTCGCAGTTTCTGCGCTGGAAGGGAGCTCTGCACCTGGGATGTAGGGCTTTCGAGAAGGCGACTACGCACATCTGCCGTAAAGCTCAGCTGCGCTGCTCCGAGTTCTACGACAGCAACGCAAGCTGAAGGTGGCACATTCCCAGCAGCCATGAGCGCCGGCATCCCGATGCTGGTCCAAGAGCTCTAGAAAAGCCTTCGGCAAACACGAATAAATTGCAACACTGACCAGTATGACCAGTCCTCGTCCAATTGGACTTGATCTTGCAAGTGCCGGAGAAAACAGGCTGGGTGAGAAGTACTCTGAGATGCTTGCCTCATCAAGCGTGGTCGGTCCCAGAAGCTCCTCATGAGATCTTAACCACTCCATTCACATAGAACTGCTTTAGCTTCAAGTTCAAACTTGCTGGTTGTCGGTCTGCAGCACAAGGACGCAAGCCTGAACATCCGAAACCCTCAAACCCAGACACAAGGGGGCTGCAGAGGGCGCCTCCTCCTCCTCTTGCGGAAGCCAGTTCCACGTGCCAACGAAGCTGAGCTCCCTGTCCAACGGCTGCCACTTCATTGGCAGCTCTGGCCTGGTTCCATGGGCTTTGGGCTGAATGATTACTATTGCTACAACACACGATACTACTACCGTGAGTAGTAGTAGTAGTAGTAGTAGTAGTAGTAGTAGTAGTAGTAGTAGTAGTAGTAGTAGTAGTAGTAGTAGTAGTAGTAGTAGTAGTAGTAGTAAGTAGTAGTAAGTAGTAGTAAGTAGTAGTAAGTAGTAGTAGGTGTAAGTAGTAGTAGGTGTAGGTAGTAGTAGTAGTAAGTAGTAGTAAGTAGCAGTAAGTAGTAGTAGGTGTAAGTAGTAGTAGGTGTAGGTAGTAGTAGGTGTAGGTAGTAGTCGTAGTAGCAGTAGTAGTAGTAGTAGTAGTAGTAGTAGTAGTAGTAGTAGTAGTAGTAGTAGTAGTAGTAGTAGTAGTAGTAGTAGTAGTAGTAGTAGTAGTAGTAGTATAGTAGTAGTAGTAGTAGTAGTAGTAGTAGTAGTAGTAGTAGTAGTAGTAGTAGTAGTAGTAGTAGTAGTAGTAGTGGCAGTGGTAGTAGTAGTAGAAGTAGTAGTAGTAGTAGTAGTAGCAGTAGCAGTAGCAGTAGCAGTAGCAGCAGGCAAGAGTAGAAGTTCGATGTCGCAGTAGTCGTAGCAGTCGTCGTCGTACTATTTGACGTTATCTTACAAAATGTTGCTATCAATTAAAACCACCTCTCATACCAATGAGTACATAGTCCTCCAACAATTATTTTGTGCTACAGCTGCGGGGAACACGCTCGCGTCAAGCCCGTGGAGCCTGCAACTTAGTCGCTGGACAGCGACTGGAACTGCTACAAGGAGCCTATAGCTTTGCAGATCCGCCCACAAATCTACCCTCAAGCAAAACGAGCACCGCGCATGTCCATGGCAATTGCCAGCCTCGGCACAGAAGGCAAATGTGGCAAAAGAACGGTTTTAAAAAGAGAGTTTGCTTGCAGACTTGCTCGCACGAGACTGGAACCTGCTTGACGTGCTTGGGTCCCCCTTTTTGCTTCTAGCCTGACTCGTCTGCAAGCTTCAAGAACATCTGGACATTTATCAGTGGAGGGTGGTGAGCCCGCAGCTTGTTGTGGCAGTACCATCCACCGCTGAAGCAACGTTTGTTGGTGTTTCTTCCACCATCTGCCCAATAACAATCATCGACGGAATCGTGGCCCATGAAGAATCCTTAGCTTGAGGTGAACCAGGGCCGCATGCTGTCAACGCTGGGACGTTGCAACGCACCACAGGCCTCTTTTGAGCTTGACGTTTCCAGGTGCCGTAGTTTTACATTATCATATGACATGACATGTTTCTGTTGTTACAGTATCACGCTTGAACATCCTTTGACTGCTGCATTATCATTCTGATGCACTGCTACATCATGATGTCATTTGGTACAATAGCTACATTTTGAATGTCAAAACTTCTGCACAGTCTAAATTCCTGCGTTGCACCAATCACTCGTGTTGATCGCACAGGGAAGCCACCTTCTCCGGTGTCCCCTGTTTTATCCCGCAGGGCCGTATGAACATCCTCGCCCAATGTGAGACGAAAGTAAGCTAGTTGTATGAATTTATGGCCGTGTAGCGTGAAAAGGTTCCTGAATGCTGCAATGGGGGGGGGGGGCTTGGGAGGAGGGGGTGGGGGGGGCGGCGGTTGGGAGATTGGACCACCCTGAAAGGGCTCCAAACAATAGCTCGGGCTCTGTTGCAAGACTGTCGCCCTCCAAAGTGATAGGCGTCAAAGATGCCCATGTTCAGGTCCTGGCGGAAGTTTTGTCATCCTGAAATTATTGGAACCTTGGGCCGATCAAGTCCTTGTACCCGGTATCCAGGTTCTGCGGCATCCTGTCCCCAACAAACTGGTAGGCACCTTGGGAGTACCAGGCTTGAGCCCTGGGTTTGCGCTTCAGGGACCTGTAAAGGGACCTTCGGGACTTCCGCACAAAAAAAATGCCGCTGAGTCAAGCGCTGTATCGAGGGAAGTCGAAGTTTCTGCGTGTGTCCGTGTAGTTCCGGTCTCTCACGCGGAGGTAGTAAGCCAAATTTGCCTCCTGGAGGAAAGGAGATGAAAGGACTTACTGTTGGTTAGTAGGGAATGGGGGAAGAAAGTACCCTTTATAATCCCGACTAACCAACAGGAAGAGGAGTGCTTCCTGTGAGCTGCACCCCTAAACTTTCTCACGGCAGTTCTGTGGTGAGAATCAACGTCCGTCCTTCGCTGTCACTTTGAAAACATTGAAGAGATGCCCCGTGGACGGCCCCCGCAGCTTGTTGGCCATCATTATGTCGTTGATCCTTAGGTGCCAATCACGAAAGCATTTATCACTGGCAAATCGAAAATACCGGCTTCGACCTCCCAAAATCGGGGAACGTGGAAGGTTTTCAAGAGCGAGGCCTCAAACACTTGTGTGCAACCAAACCCGTCGTGCCAACAACGTCCTGCTCGCACATCCGCATTACCGTCCCGACATGCTCCGTCCCGCTTAATACAAGGCGCACATTGTCGTCCAGTTTACCGTCACCTGGACCACTGGTTCTCACTGTCCCATAGGCATTGCTCTGCCTGCAGGCAGCGCACTCTGTTCAGTTGAGTCACCATCAAGCCACTGTGTAGAAATTCTATCCTGCATCCAATGGGGCCAACTGAGCTTATTTACTGGCATCCTACCGGTCTGCTGCACAAGCCTCACACAGAGCTACCCAGCATGGTGTAAGAGTTGGAAGTAAGCCTGTCGGTGCAGATGTGAGGGAAATACATTTAAACACCAAGGAACCTCAAAAGGCAAGCCGGCGTGAACCCCAAAACCTCCAGGCCTTTGATCGTAACGCCCACTGTTGCACCAAAATCCCCTAGCACCTACACCCCTCAACCCAGCAAACGACTGCTAGCAAAGTTGACTTCCGCGTCCTGCCTTTCGTAAAAGCCTTGGGTCCACTGGTTTATCTTCAGCCACTGGCCATCGTCATCAATCAGGATGAAGCCAGGCAGCTGAAACAAGGCGGCGGCTTCAGAAAAATCGTCCGCAAGACATCTTTCTCAAACACATTCAGAGGGTACATGATATGCTTTGTTACGGCAGAAAACTCGCGGACTGCATCCACCACATTGTTTCCTGGTCATCCAAGGCACTGTGGTTGTTGTGGTTGTGTCGCAGAACACAGAGTGAAGGCATAGTTTTCCGTCAAGTCCACACCTGGGCACGCATCCCTGTTGAATCTCGAGCAGCAAGGCAAGATAAGGCAAGCACACAGTTCCCAAAACCTCACAGCATTGGGTCACAAAGCTCATTCTAATGGTGACAGTATTGAGTGACAACTTTTGCGACGCAACAGCCTTTGCCATCAATTGCAGATGCAGATTATAATGTTGCCAGGCGTCTGCATGTAAGCACCGCCCCCAGCAGCAGTGTAAGTGGTGGCACACTTGTCAGTTGTTACGTCCGGACACGACCAGGTCTCCTTCGCAGCGGAGGGGGAGGGAGCCGATACAGATGCTGCCATGTGGGCGAGGGTTCTCACAAGGTGTGGTATCTGGCCAGCCCCGGAACTTGCAACCCTTAACTAACCGAGTTCTAGATTCCAAATTCTTAACGTCCTAACTCAAGACACGTGACGCTTATGGCTTACGCCTCCTATTGAGGAGTACCATGATACAGACGGCTCTCGTAAACCCCGTTGTAACGGCAGGACATGCTCTTCCTGGATCTATGCCTCGAGCTACCTCGCCTCCTCCACGAGCCGGCCGGTGCAGATTTTGAACTGCTCTGGTGGATCCTGCTCATCCCGCGCCTGGCAGCACAAACGTGCGCAAGCCCAACTTCACTCTCAAGTGCTGTGGGGTATTGTACATGGGGCGCGGGTGGCCAAAATACGCAGAGCTCAAGACCCGCGTCCATCACCTGTGATGAACCACTAGCAATGTGCGAACCGCTCTTCACGTCAATCACCTCTATGAAGATGTTCACGGACCCAAGCCGCCAGCCCGAAAGCCCTGGCCCTAGCCTCCCTGCCATGTCTTTATGCACTTGCACACTACGAGAACAGCCGGGGATGGGATCCTGACAAGTGTAGAGCATCAATAAGCATGGTGCGGGACGCTAACCCTGTCAAACCCTCTGTGAACCCTTAAGAACCCTAAAGCCTCACCTTCGCATAGCACAGGCGTGTCAACAACTTTCTCCGCATGTCGGTCTACTGTCGCCACGTTGAAACCTTCAAACGCATCTGCCTGGAACGTGAATCTCAGGTCCTAGCACTACCAAATACAAGCTGACATTCAGCAGCGCTGCTAAGAATTGTTGCGGATGCATCACTGTCTTGCTGCCTGAACCAGAGCGCAGACCCCGCCAACGGCAAAGAGGGCTAAGCCAGTCCACATCAGATTCAGGGTCTCTGGCTTTCCTCGGTGGCAGATGTATCCGTCGTGAGAAGATGTGCTAGCGAGAACTGCATCTAGTCCAAGTGGCTTGTGTAGTGGTATCGGGATAGGACTGAGCAAACAGACGACTGCCATTTTTTCTTTGTCTTGAGCCAAACACGTCCGCAAGCAGCTTCTACGAAAAACCAAAAAAATCTGCAACGCAGGGATGTCGTGCCTCTGCCTGATATGCTGCGGCTACTATCATCTGCATCTGCACCCCTCGGTGCCACACGCCATGGGCAACGTGCCATTTGTGCCTCCTGATCCCGCTGCTGGAGCTAAGAAGACGCAGGATGACTAGATGCGACCTCTCTATCCATGCGGAAGATGATGTGCGAAACTAAACATGCTATGAATACGCTACTTGCACGACATGCCATGCCATGCCATGCCATGCCATGCCATGCCACACCCTGCATGCGCTTCCCCTATGAGCCTTAGGGCCTTGAGCCGACTCCGCAAACTCTGCCTCCCCAACGATGGCTTTTCAGCTCGGGCAGTGATGTGGCAATGTGGCACACCCTTTAAGGTTGTCCAAAAGTGCTTTGGGGTTCTGGGGTGGCCTAAGGGGGGAGGGGGGTACTTACAAGTGTAGTTCCTGAGTCGGTTGAGGCTTTAAAGCCTTTGAAGTCTCCTAGTGCCTGCAGTGGTGGCGTGGGATGACGCGAGTTTCGTCACAGCTCACTATCACAATACTTGTCTTGCCTGGGAATGATAATTACGAGGGTGGCCGGCGAGTGGGGAAAATGAGTGGAACGAAAGCAGGATGGGCCGAGTCCGAAAACCAAAACGACCGAGTCAGAAAACAAAGCAGCACGAGCCAGAAAACAAAACAGTGCGAGTCAGAAGACAGCGGGAAACCATCCAAAACCCCGAAACCTTTCCCCTGAAACCTTTAAGGCAAGAACACCTGACGCCCTTTCTGCCTTTACGACCCCAAACCTGATAGGCCCTAGAATCCTTTGTGCCCGAAGCAGGAGCACATTGCACGGGTTCTACAAACCCTGAAACCCTTAAAGCCCAAACCCTAAATCCAAAGCCCCACACTCTAAACACTAAAACCCTAACACCCCAAAACCCAAAAGCCCACAACCCTAAACCCTAAACCCTGAACCCCAAACCCGAGCAAATCCGATATCATAATCATGAGCTTTTAAGACTTCAGGGGTTTGTTTCCCTACACGTCAAGCGTAAGCTAAACCCTAAGTCCGTCGTACCCTACAAACCCAAAACCCTGAAACCCTGAAACACATCCGAGACCATGAGCTTTGAGGACTTCAGGGGTCTTCTTCGGGGAGGTCCTTTCTCCTTTCGACGGTCCGAGGCGTTTCTGACTCATGGCTTCTTGTTTTGCACCTTTCCTAACTTGATGGTCAATGGTACGTGTGCTGGGCCTGGCGTCTTTCTGTTCCTGTGTCCGGGGAAAAGAGATATGCTTGGATGTGAAGCCAAACCCAGACTGCAAGCTGGCGGACGGTGTCCATCAAGCGATTCCACTGTCAGTCCACGTTCGTCAGACTGAGAAAGCAGGTCTGAAGTCTGGAGGTTAAACCTAGTCGCGTTTTTTCTGGCTCTGCGTGCATCGAGCCTAGCTCTGAGGCATGCAGCGAGCTTGGCATGCTCGGACACCAACGGCGCCTGGCGATGTGCATGCAAGGCATCCGAGCTGAGCTTCGAGCGAGGCTTCAACAAATCCCATGCTTCCAAGTTGCCCAAAGCATGCGAACTGTTTCAAGCTGAGCTCGATCTAAGTTCCATGCCGGACTTGTGCCTATCCCAAGGGCGGCGAGTTTCCACCGCCCTTGGGTCTCCAAGGCGGCCGCAAGCCGCCTTAAAACGGAGGCAAAAGGAATCCCTGCAACCTCTGGCGCGAAGATTGAAAGATACATCGTGTTCACCATACCGGTCAGGTCTGAACTGAGCCCGTAGGTGTAGTAGGTGCACGCGGTTTTTCCAAAAACAATGACCTCGTTCTAGGATACTCTATAGGATCACTCATATCAAGGGGGCTCCTCGCACCGATGGATCGTCGCATGTTTTACTACATGCGGGGGCATCTCTTGAAAGACTAAATGCGCGCCTAACATTCCAGGGGGTTTGTAAGCTCTGGGACGGAGGGCTTCCGAAACTTGCTTCTAAGCGAAGCCCAGCTATGTGCTAGTAATAGTAGCTGCACGGCATGCGATGAACCACTCGTCAGGTGGTCTGAAGGTGTAGTTTGCATCGTTGGACACAATCTCAATGTAGTAGTTCACCCCCGAACCCTCCGGCTGCAGCTCGAAGGGCGTTATGTCTGAGTTCACTGACTGTGGATTGGTTGAGGGGCCCTGGGTCACCGTGCAAACAACATCCGATTCACCAACGCTGTCATCGTAGCCGCAAGTGCTGCCCACTGGCACTTCGATGCGGCCCTTTTGGTTCTGCGACACACTCCAAACAAAGCTGCAGTCCAAAGCCGAGGCAGCCGCTTGGTCCTCGATCTGCCCCTTCATCTTCCAAAGCAACCAATCCGGAAATCCCTTGTGACCTTCCTTGTGACTTGTGCTCGCGCGTGCTGGCTTTGTCTGCAGCTGGGAGTTATGATCTTCCATCTCCGAGGCTGAGCCAAGATGATTGCATCCCCCTGTCGCTGGAACCTAAGCGGGATCTCCCAAGATTTGGTCCGCTGTAGTTAGCTAAACATATAAAGCCTGAAAACCGCTCACTGACGGCAACGCTTCTTCACTGCTGCCTGGCCTCTGTCGCTGCAGCTGCACTCGCGGCACAGGCGACCAGACAGCACAACAAGGATGACATCTCACGAGCCATGGCGCGTGAATGGATCTCAAACAGGCCTTGAAACAAAACGGCTAGATTTGCAAGTCGGGTGCGTGCCGTCTACAACATTATCTAAGACGTTTGCTTTGCTAGCTCGTCATAGTTGACTGTCCATGCGTCGCATCAGCCTTACTCGTTTGATCGGGGATCAGCATTCTCACCCTTTTTCCCGGCGAACTGAAACAACGCAACGACAAACGTGTTCTTCGTTACTGCTTCAACATCTTCATCCTCTTCAAAACTAATTGGATAAGAGGATTGGCCAATGCATATCAGCGTGCCTCTGCAGCAGCAGCGGCCCCAGGCCGACCATCGCACCACGCTGGTAAAGCTCCGCAATGTCGGACCTGCTGGCATGTCTCACGCAGGGATGTGCGGCCACAGCGCAATGAAATCCGCACAGCTGCGCTGAGGAGAGTACAGCCCTGCAAGCGGGAAGTGCGCGCGCTACTCATCCCTTCCCTACGAGCAAAGAGTCCCTCGCTCATCGGGCGCAGACAAAGCAACGCCCCTCTTTGAGGAACGTTGCGATGAGCAATGCTGCAGTGTCTTCGAAGGCACACAACAATACGCCCACTTTTGAAGTCTCATCTGCTGGAGCGGCGATGCCTGCAACATGGCAGCATCTGCAAGAAATGAAGACAAGAACGACCAGCTAAGGCGGGCACCTGAAAGAAGCCAGCACGCGCAGGAATTCGTCAATGTCACGGGACGTGTTGTAAACATGTGGCGCTACGCGTAGAACTCCCGCCCGAGAGGACACGTGAATGCCTTGGAGGCGTGCTGCGCTCTTGATTGCTCTAGATGAACAGAAGGATAGGCCGGACATACCTGAATGCACTCCAAGCCACGGTGCTGCTTTAGATAGGCGGCAGCGGCATCAGCCCACCTCTCAGCTGCTTCGGATCGGCCCCGTGCAGTTGCCCCGCTCTCATGCAACTCACGGTCGACATCCTCCTTGGGCTGAAGTGGGTGGAACTGAAGGAAGAACTGCGCGCCAGACAGAACTTTCACGAAAACACAGGGTTGTGTGAGCGAAACTGATGTCTAATACGTTTAAAAAAAAGAGAGACGTTAAGTTGGAAAACAAAAAAACCGACTCTCTGAGAGCTGTGGGTCTGCACTCGGGCCGACTCCAAGAAAGTGCGGGGCGTGGGACGATGGCACCTGGAGGCCCATTCGGATCGCGCCTTCCGCGCAGCGCGCCCTGAGACATGCAGTCACTCGAAACACTCAGAGGAGTCACCCGCTAAGAGGGATCAGCCTCGAAGGGTACATGTTTATACGGCATGAGAGCACTCAGAAATCATATTCATATGACCTCAAGTTAAGAACCCAAGCACGGTTGAAACCAGAAAAGCCAGCACGAGGCACGTCAGGCCCGCGAGCGTGGCGCCAATGCGATCTGGGTGCCACTCGAGAACCTACCAGGCAGCTGCAAAGCAAAGCTTCCGTGCAGCTTCCAAAATGGTCACCGGGTCGCAGCCTGTTTTAAAGCTCCAGCAACCATCGGCATCAAGATGGGATTCACGCGGCCGCCCGCGTCGAACTTCTTGGCACCTTCCTGAAAGTCTTCCTCGGCAAGCGACGAATCAAAGAAAATGTCAAACCTGCAGACTTGCGACACTCCATGACACTCCTTTGACAAACGCCCTTTACTAATGTGCCCGGCAAGGCTCGGAGTAGCCAGGCCTCTCAAGGTCAAATGGCAGGCAAACGTCCCCGTCTGCTCCGAGGCGGTTGTGCTCATCATGGACGATGGGCTCCGTTGCCGGGTCCTGGCTCCATTCAGGCGCCACGTAGACCTGGATCGTGCGAGGGGTTTAGGGTTTAGGGCTTACGCCCTATGAGAAGAGGGTTTTTAAAAACCCTATCCTGTTTAGGGTTTGCATACTCAGCGGCCCCATGCCATGCACGCCCAAGGCACCAGGGACAGGCCATAGGGACCAAAGAGCCACTTGTGAACAGAGCAGGCCAACCAGTCGATGCCCCAAGACTGTGCATGGATGGGCACCACACCTGCACTGCTACATGGACAGGCCACGGCAGGCCATCTCTACAAAAGAAACTTGGGCACTGGGGCGTTCCTTCACTTACCGCGCCTAAAGACTGCGTCGCATCCACAACAAAGACCGTTCGAGGACCCTGCGCAACTTCATCCAGCACCTCATGCGCAGAATTCTTGTTCACTCTGCATCATGCTCTGTAGTTCCCTGTTTCTGTGATGTGCTGCTTCGTGCTGCTTCGTGCTGCTTCGTGCTGCTTCGGGGCCGATCGCAGCCGGTGCAGGTTGATCGGCCCGGAGCCGTCCGTCCACAAGAAGTGGGGCACGGCCAGAACGGCGATCCGAGAGCGCTGGGCATGGAGCCGAATGGCTGTCTCTAGAGCCTCGTCCCATGGAGACAGGATCGACATCGAGGCATCTGTTCCTTGCCCAGTCCACGCAAAGCAGCAAAGCATGCGCTCCAAATTCCGCCATACTCCGCCCCCCAAACCTCCCAAACCTCCCAAACACTAAGCCTTTATGAAGCCTGCTGTTTAGGTGCTCTGGCGCTTTGGCCGACGCTCCACAGCTTCCTCGTGCTGCGGCTCTGGGATGGCCACCAGGCGGGCTCCACACTCGCGACAGAGACGCTGCCATGCATAGACGTTGGAGCTCATCTGATTCTGCAGCAATAGAACCACGTCGCCTGCAGCTTGGTCTACGAGGCATCGCACAGATTTCAAGGGAGCACAACTTTGCTAACTGAAGACTAAGTCGTGTTGTGGGTTTAACTTAGACGTAGCACTCCAAGCCTGCGCGCACTCTTCCGGACCTCCAAATGTTGTGAGCCGCTTGCGAAATGGCGTAGGAAGTGGAAGGCGCCAGGGCGACGTTGTCCGGGCTCGCTGCGACCAGCTGCGCGAACAACGCCCGCACTTGCGCGGCGGTTCCATTGTCGGTGATCAGCCACGGACGGTTTTTCACGGACACCGCCTCATGTCCCAGCTGCTCAACCTTGGGGTGCAAGGACAGTTCGGCGTCAGCCACGCATGGAGTTTCAAAGACCCTGCATCCATCCTACCACCACAGCTTCTAGGCCGAGGACTGAGCGAAGCATTGGCGAACGTGAGGCGCAGTTTAAATAGATCACACCTTGCAGCCATGCTGCGGAAGTATCGCGAAATCGGAAAGACCGAATAGTAAGTCACAGTATGTCGCTGTATGTCTGTGCAGAGCCCGAACAGTCGGGGGCAAACCGACCCGAGCGGGTCCAGTTGCAGGGTGTAGAAAGTTGACGAGGTTGAGAGCCTATAGCCAGAAGGCTTCTAGTCCGTCTAGAGATTAGCTGGGTGTTCATTTGAACCCATTTCGGTTACTGCGAGGGGAAAACGCGGAAGTGATCCAGGTCATGAGCCTTGCCTTCAGGAAGCGAAAAAAGATGCTTCTGAGAGGTCAGATGGCCGCTCGGACATGGACTGCCACTTTGGGCTGGTCTGTGCACCTTGGCATCGCACGATTGCAAGCCTGTGCTTGATCAACCGAGGTTGTTTTACCGCCACAGCCCAGAACTGGAACCAAGCTCGGCGCAGCACTCCCCATCGCGTGCTAGGCCACTTTGAGGCAACGGCGTGGTTCGGAGTACGAGCTGCACTTCACTTTGTGGGCATGCTGGTTGCAATCATGAGGCAGCCTTCATGCATCTACATCTAGATGACACAACCGGAATGCTGTCAAACATAAGGCAGCTGCGGCACCCATGTCATGGTGTGTCGGGGCGTGTCGTGGTGTGTCATGGCATGTCATGGCGTGCCACACGTTGATCGGACGCTTGTCTCCTCGTGACGTATCAAGGCAACTTCGCAGCCAGCGCGGTCGAACCAAGCAGCCCAAGCAACCTCCAAGCACCCTCCGAGCACCCTCCAAGCACCCTCCAAGCACCAGCTTGTCGATGTCGCGATTGCCCGTGGCACAAAGCCACAGACCAACGGGCTTATGCAGAATGAAGTTGCTGCCCAGGAGGCCCAGCAAGTGGACAGATGAAGGGTCTGCTCTCCCCCGGCACAAATTCGGAAGTTCGCCGGATCGCCCGCTCTCTTTCGTCGACCTGCTCGTTTCACATCCACCTCTCGCAGCTGGTCTGATGTCTGGCCCACTGCAGGCATAGTTCACTTTGATGCGGCACCTAACTGAGCGTCACTCAGTCAGCATCAGCAGGCATGTAGTGCCACCAAATACCGGCACATTCCTGCCAGGGCTACCATAGACCAACAAAAACACGGAGCTTGGAAGAGGAGAGCGACTGCCAGGTAGAGACTAACATCACGGTGCCACACTTGTATCGGGGGTCTGATGGGGCATCGACTGGCCAGAGGACCCACTTCCAACAGAAATGGGAAGACCCTAGAAAAGCCAGGAGAAAGTCCATACGACGTGCATGCACAACGCACAAGATTCGGCATTGAGGTGCACCTTAGCAATCCAAACTCTTAACATCTCTTAACCCTCCCGAGCTTCAAGTCCTGCAAGCAACCAGATCCACAGCTGCAAAGCGGCCGTTGTTCTCGCGCTGCGCGCTCCTCCTGCGGGGGCGGAGCTGTCAGTTTGCAAGACCTCTTCCTTGACTCGGTGGGTCTCAGCTTCTGCGAAGTGGGAGTGCGCGATTTCAGGGCTCCGAGTTCTGGCATTGTGGGCAAATACAGTGTGTGAAGGCCATGTGCTCTCCATGTTGCCATGTCTTTACCAAGGATGTTTGGGCACGAGAAAAGCCCATGTAAGACCTCGCATACCTTGCCAGTCGGGTCTGGTTGAAAGCTGTTTGTTGCTTTGCCTTGATGGCCCTCCGGGCGACTACGGTTATTGGCATTTGTGAATTGCCGCTTCCTTTCCTTTGAGCACGGCATGCACGTGGGACGCAGACAGCGCGATCACTCCGGAGGAAGCCAAGAACATGTGTTTCACCATGAAACCCGTAACCGATCGGGTCGACGGCAGCGACGCACGCGCACCCAACCGGACCTTACTCTTCACGGGGACCCCATAGTGCTGGGTATGATGTGCTGTTTCGTGCTCTTGGTGTCATGGGAATACATGCTGCAGCGTGCACGACTGGGTCACCTTCGTGCCCCAAGGCTCTGGCCTAGAGGTTCATGACTGCAGCGACACCCATACAAAGCAGTGCCGTGTCAAGCAAAGAAGATCGAAGAAGCTCCGATCCACTCACGCCTTGCCTCACCGAGCTGCCGGGTTGGTGGCTTCACCGGATCGCGGCTGCGGCGGCCCTTGTGGGAGGGCTTCAGCCGGCCGTTGAAGTGCAGGATCTTGGCCTCTCGGCTCTCGGCTCTCGGCTATGGCCGCCAGAGGTCTACTCCCCACATCTCCCCACTTGAGGGATTATCTGGATTATCGGTATCTGCCCGCGTACCGCGAAGCCGAAGCCAAAACGGGCACGTAAGGGCACACCGAAGCCGCAGGCCTGGTGCGCCAGCGGGGAGATGTGAGGTGACAGCGCCCAGCCCTTGCAGCCTGGCAATGCGAAAGAGTCTAGGAAAAAATGCCCTGCAAAGTACGAAGCCTAGCGGTCGCAGATCTGGGTTCGTCGGCTATACTAGATGTGAGTAATTCCAAGGTGGGGAGTGGTCCTATTGGTCCGACCTGGGCAGCAATGGAACTTGCACTTCAGCAGGAATCCATCGAAGTAGCTGCTCCATTTCTTGTGCTTCTTGTAGAAGTCCACTTCCTCAGGCGCAATGTCACCCCGCCCCAAGCCACGGACGTTGAACTCGGCACCCAGATCATGGTACCTCCCGGCAACGGCGAGGAGGAACGGTGGTTGGGAGACGCCGGCCCTCCAGAGGGGTCCCAGGCCCTTGGCAAGGTGCATGCGCACCAGCGCCTCGATGGCGCTTGTGATGTTGCTTGCTGCCCAGTTGGAGACATCTACCAGCACCACGCCACGGTTCACCACGCAGGTCTTCTTCGTGGCATACAATGGCATCGGCATCTTGCTCTCCACACCCTTCGCCTTCATGCGGCCGATGTCCACATATTTGCCCAGTCTTTGTGAGCAATCTTCGGCTGCTGCCGCTGGGTGGCCGTGCAGATTGACACCAATAAGGTCGGTCAAGTCGGAGGTGACTACAACATCCGTGTCCAGGTACAACACCCGCCCAGCTTCTGGCAGGGCCTCATGCAAGTAGAACGCTGCGAAATTCAGCTCGTCGAAGAGCTCCTTCCTGCTTGACGACTTGCCGCCTAGCAGTTGACGGACCCTGGGGGCCCAGGGATCAAAGTTCACTGCGGACACGTCCGGCTGGAGCTTTGCCAGCTTTTGGCTCACCTGAGCGATGAGCGGGCCTGCATCCTGGCTGGTGGTCAGAATGCGGAACTTCAACCTCGAGGGATCTTTGGCGTTGGAGAGCGCCGAGTTCATCACCACAAGTACGCCGTCGAGCTGATTGCTCTTGGCAGCTAGGGCCACGGTCAGCGTCTGCGTCGTGGGCCCCAGGACCGGAGGCCCCGCTGGCTGTGCAGGCTGTGCAGGCTGTGTAGGCTGTGCAGGCTGTGCAAATGCTTGGAAAGGCTCTTCGTGCACCTCTTCCTGGGGCTCCTTTTCCATTGAGCTGGGCTCCTTAGAGGCAGAACAGGAACCTGCAACAAACAGGCAGCAAGTCATCGCAAGTGTGCAACCATCGGCCGAGGAGCCTCAGACTCTGCCTCTGCTGCAGGGAGGCCGTCTTCGGCCATCTTGACAGTCTTGATGGCGTCCTTTGCTCAGCCACCCGCCCTAAAAGTTGCGGAGTCGAGGGAGCGGATTGCTGCAGAATGCAGGCGAGTGTCAGCGAACTTTGACGCAGAGGCATCGGCCTCGCTGCCGATGCCGGGGAACTTACTCTCCTCCACCAGGTGCTTGCTTTGCGTATGACTGTCGCCGTCGCCATCGCTGCTTGATGCCCCATTTGGGGCTTGCAGCAACTCCGTGTGAAAGGCCAAGAACCCCAAGGCGTAAGCGACCGTTCCCAGGAAGCAAAGGAGCTGAAACGCGTTCTTGGTCCAGCCGATTTTTCGCTTCGCCATGCATGGCGGCCCAGAAGTTATTAAGATCAGATGAAAAAATTCAGGGCGTTTGCTAGGCCTGTACTGCCTTAAACAAAAGTGATCATTCAGGAGAGCCAAATTTGCAATGCAACTTGTGCTGGGCCTACGCCAAACCGCCACCACAGCGCCATCCAACCGAATTCCGCATCAGCAGACTTTTCTAGGCTCGAGGTTACGCTGCACAGGTTTAATGGCTACAGCCGGTGCACTCGCAGTGTCCACACGCCGTGGAAGTGGGAACCATTCTTTGCAACTCCCCATCTGTGGCTTAGGTGATTTTAGGTAGGCCTGGGTAGCGGTAGAAGTTGGAAAGTTGGGCGTTGGACCAGGCAGGCACTGCTTGGAACACAACATTCGTCGACACTGTGCTTGGAGAGACGGCGAAAGACGTCTCCTCTGGGAGGGATGGGGGTGCAGATGGGTGCAGGCCAGGGCTGGCCACATTTTGAGCCACGCTTCAAACTACTTTTGTGGCATCTTCTGCTCGCGCTCGGAAAGAGGAATTTGGGGTTTCAGGCTAAGGGGCCCAGGGCGGGGCAGATTGTGCGGTGAGAAATCGTGATCGACTCTTTGGCCCAGAGGCACTCGGCGCACGAGTCCAGGCCCCTTTTCAGAGGAAACACTGCTACAGCTGTTGGAGGCCTCAAGGCTGCCTGGATTCTACGGGTACTGATGAAGTCTTTGATGCAAATCGTATAAGCATTGCTCAAGGACCCTACTGTAAACCCGAGTAGAATTCAAACTCGTAACTTCGTGCTAAAACCCTGAAACCCCAAAGACGACATGCGAATCACGTGATCAGCTCCCTAAATTGTGGTCCAGGGCCCCATGCTAGAATACGATTCCAGGGCCGCCATGGGACCATAATTTAGAGACCCAACTCCACGCGTTCTGGGGGCGAAGGTGTGAAACGTCTACTCCTCCTCTTCGCTCGAAGGGGTCAAATGGAGGCAAAACTGTACCCGGGTCGAGGTGCTGGTTGATCTCAACTTTGAGGTTTCTGGGGATCGGGCCCATTGGGGGGTTCGGGTTTACGTCTCAAATGGAGGCGCGAGCAAACCTCGACCCGGGCATCGGAGCACTGAAACTGGGAAACGTCACTGTACCTCTCTACCCAAGCATCCAAGGCCTGGGGCTCCGGCCACAGGAGGCGCAGTTTGCAGTGGGAAAGAGGGGAGAGGTTGTTGGAAGTTCGGGTCCCTTTGAGAGGGGGAAGGGAGGGGGAGGGAGGGGCTCTCTGAGGTACAAAAAAGGGGACGGACTCAGGTACCAAACAAGGGTGGACCCTAGTTCCGAATTAACCCCCTATAGGGCTCTAGGCTGAGGCCACTGCTCGCGAAACTGACGGTTCCAGAGAGCCCCACCTGCGGGCCAACTCCATTGACTCCACGCCCGACGGTCCCTCTTCTCACCTTGTGGCTGTGACAGACCGTGCCTTTCGGTACTCCTTCCCAAGTAGGCAACAAGTCATCCTCACCTGGTCGCCGCTACCCGCTAACTGATCTGATACTTGCAGCGGCCACACTTTGCCAATGCTCAAGGGGGGCACTTCGGAGGTCGTCTTCCATTTCCTCCTCGCCCTCTTCTTCCGTCTCCTTCATGCTTCATAGTCTGGCGATGTCTGGCGGCCGCAAGGCGCCACATGTGGGCATAGGTATCATAAGTGGCCTCCTGCATGTTCTCATGATCTTCTTCACCTCGGTGTCCCCAAAAAAAGCGCAGCACGAGTGAGCCAGAAGTGACTTCGAGAAAGGCATTGAAGCCTTGGGCTCCTGGCAAGTGTCCGTCATCTCGCGTTGGAAGGCGGAATTGTCTAGGAACCTTGGCAATAACTCGTCTCTGAACGGCGCGCTTCTGTAGTTCCGGGCTTTTCATACGCACTGGAATCTGGAGTCTCAACAACGGTGTATAGGGATATGCAGGGGTTGACTCTTGCACTGGGCAGGTGGCGAGTTGAAAAGCGGGATCCAGCACGAGGTCAACGTGGCGTAGTTGGCATAACCTGAGCCCACCCCATACCTTCCCCGACTTAGAGATTTTATCAGCTCGATCTCAGGAAAGCATGGGGAGCCATGGAAACCATCGATGTTGGACTAAGTCTCGCGACCGCCCTTGAACTCGTCGTACAGCTCCTGCTCCTCCTGTAGATCGTTCAGGATTTGTTGGTTTGAGGGTCTGACTCTACTCCAAAATCAGCCTTACTATGAAGAGGATGCATCGTCCCATCAGAAACACTTGACTTTCAGCAGTGTGCTCAGGTCTTAGGTCTGCGTGGCGTGTCCACACATCCGGCCTCCAAGGCGACGTACAGCAACGATGCCCAGAGCACGAAGCCAACGACCAGAGCCATGATGGGATTGCACAAGGCAACCTTCCAGAAACTAAAGCCTTTTTTTGCATGCTGCGACTTCTACAGGTCATGGCCCCACCTCGATGCCAAGACCCCAGAGCATTGCACCCAAGTACGCTGGGTGCCTCTCGTACTGGTAGACTCCCTCCTTGACAGGGTCACCAGATTCCCCTAATACAAACATGCATATGTATATCTCATAATATCTTTTGGCTTTTGTATTTTCTACCTATTAGGAAGCCCCCTCCGTTTGATCTACCCTTTCTTTTCGATTTCTTCATTTTCATTGTCTCGATCAGGCACAGAGACTTTGTCCAGCAAGCCTACTACGGAGTCCATCATCCAGAACCACAGGGTTTAAAGGTTGAGTTTGCAGACTTAAAATCGAATTTCCATTTTTGAAGATCGACGATTGAAGACTGAAGATATGGTTGAATATACTTGCCGCTCAACAAACATTTGACTCTGCAACGAAGAATCGAAAAAATGAAAAAACATCAAAATTTGGCCTTTTCCGAAACCGAAGATTGAGGATTGAAGTTCCCACGGAAGGTGCACCCAAATAATGCAGCGATCTACAGCTTGAACTTGGCTCAATGAACATACCGTTGTTACGAAAGCGGCCGTTCGGATGTTCAAACATGTTGTTTAAAAGCCATGAAGCTATCAAAGGCGTCTCATGGTTTAATTCTACTCAACATGCATATTGCAAAGGGGCTCGTGTGTTCATGTAACAAGGGCTAGTGATATTCATTGCAAAGACATAACAAACCGATGTCAAACCAAAGCATATTCCCCGGCATTACATTAGCGGAACTCATCGAAGCACACTCTGCACATGAATATTCTTACGAAAGCCTCTCGAGACGCAGCGGTTGGCTTCCCGTTTTGACCCATTCTGCGTTTCAAGGCCACCGGGCTCTGTATATAATTCATGATCGTTTTAGCTGATAAATATCCTCAAATTAGGGGAACCAACGTAGTCCTAAAATTGGTGCTGTAAATTGTCTTCGTTTAGTCCATGAAATACCATGTCTGATCTACGAGAAACTGCCCCAAAATACCATAAATGTCTCGCGCCTGACTATGCTGCATAATTAAGTTGAAGTCAAATGTGAGTCAACGTTTGAGCCATGCGTTTTTTTTGTCAGATAGTTGACCCCTAGTTGCGAAGTTTGTGTCCTGTCACAATCCAAAATCCAAATATCCAGAAGTTTGTTTTACGATTGTTAGCAGAATGCGTTTGAATCATCTAAAATCAGAAACATTCACTAAGCGCATCTTCATAAGATTGAAGCCGAAAACGGTCGACCCATGGCCCATGGGAGGGGGGGGGAAGCATTCATATTGAAACAGCAGCAGTCGCTGACTTTTGCAGCCACGCACTCCAAGTCGGTGTGATCCTTCGTGCTGTTGTACACGTACAAGCACCACTTCATAGGTAGCGGTCAAATGTTTCTGCTGGATGGATATATATATATATGTATGTATATGTATAGCATACTTCTTTATACACTATTATTGTTGATATTTGAGTATTTCGCGAGTACTATAAGAGACATCCACTGTACTATATCTTAGCATATCTAGAGACAAATATCTATGCATCAATATAAGAGGTCTTAGGTTCTCCCCGCGACCCACTCCCACAGGGCAGGACACGGTGACTGCCATAAATTTGCTGCCTAAGCCGATTCTAGACTGTTGCTTGGCAGAGGGATCCGAACTTCAGAAAAAAATGAAAAGCAGAGACGGGCAAGCACATCGAGAGGCCTGAACTATTCGTCGATCTGGGATTTCCAAGCCCACGAAATCCTCTGGCCGCTCCTCCTGTCAGTGCCAAACGAGTTCAGAGTCCGTGTTGGCCACCCTGCCGCAAGCTTCATGGACTCGAGCTTTGGGCCTCTTCTGGCATGTTGCGGCCTCAAAGGCAACTCGGCTAGAGCAGATTCTCGCACGTTGCTGGGAAGCTCCGGGAAGACTGAGCACAGAAAGTCTGGGCTTGCGGCAGCTTGCCCAGTAGTTGCGGTCGGCGGTGCGCGAGGCGATCGCAATCAGCGCCTAGCCACCAAACAGCAGGATAGCAGCCCCTAACCGGCAACAGTGGGTCGAGTGTTGTTAAACTTGTTGACACACCGTTTCACAGCTGAACTCCATATGTGGTGATGTCGGGGGGATCAGACAGTAGGCTGCCAAGCGTACCTGCGTGTGGGAACCCACATGCACACTCATCTCACACTTTTCGAAGTCTCCCTGAACATGTAAAAATCGCTCTGCAACGTCAAGCCCAGGCACGCTCGTGTTTGTAGTTACGTTGACATCACCGGACTGTCAGGCTCTGCGTTGGCCACCCCCTAACAGCGGGTGGGGCGGGCCCCTGCAAATAACTCAAATGACCCTCCGGGTTTGCACCCGTGCAAGCACGACACACACACACACACACACTCTCTCTCTATAGTGCTGCAGGGACATCAGTGCCCATGTCAACCACACTCGATGGGACGTGCGGGAAAGTATCAGGCCTGGCCGGCAGCACACATCGCTACCTGATGACCAGTTCAAGGCTCTGATTTCCGACGCCAAGTTTGGGTAAGATCTTCTGTAGGGCCTTCAATAAGCGACACTCTGGACATGACGCCACATTCAACCAACATATTGCAGTTACAAAGATGTTGCTGCACACGTTTGTACTAAAGAGGCTCTGTTCCGGTGAGAACAAAGACACACACACACACACTCACACACACACACACACACACACAGACAGACAGACAGAGACACACTGTCGTAAGGTTCCAATACCCGTGCAGCTACCGAACCCCAGTCTACAGTCCAAATACAAGACTTGGAACCTTGATGAACCTTGAACCCCACCTTTGCAACATACTATCCTCTCCACTTCAGGCATGACCATCAACTTTTCCCATGCGCCATCCTTGTAGCTTGTAAACATAGTCAAGCAGCTCCAAGCACAGCGAGAGACGGCCAGAGCTTGTAGTCTGGGAACCATCTGTCAGCATTGGCAAACAAGCGCAGCCTACGCCTACATGACCCCCTGCAAGCAAGGAGCCTCCATTCAAGGAAGAGCTCAAGGCAACTACATGCAACGGCCGCGTTAAACCTGGGAGCAACAGACACTCTCCAGCATTGGGGTGCACCAGCCGATATGGATGTACAAGACTTCTGCCCAACTCTCGGCCCTCATGCCGTGTGACATCCAAGGCCATAAGTGCCACACGCGGGAAACATGGGGAAAAACAGCGAAATGCCTGAGCACATTTAGGGTAAGTGAAACAACCGACTCGATCAAGTTGACCACCTCTGCTGCACATCCAACACACATGCTAGTGCTGCAAGGCTGCTAGTGATGTAATCTGGTGGCAGCACCGTGGATTCCATCCAGAAGGACTCAGCAGGGGCACAACACGCAAGTGATCGGGCACGGCCGCTCCCGCCAGAATGGCATTGGAACTGAGATGCAAATGGCAGAACATGGCAGAAGAATCAGAATTTGGGCGCAGCGCGTGAAAGTACAATATACCTCAGATGCTGGGGTCGGAAGGGACCAGGCAGGACAAGGCTTGCTCAGGGCTCGCACTCTTATTGCCAGGTCTGCCCTGTGTAGAACAACAGCCACATCTTATGTTTCCGCCAAGAGGCAACAAAAGAAAACCAAGATAGACCAGGGACCGACAGAGTCAGAACCGTCCTGGTCCAGCATCCTGCAATAACTTCGAAGGTCAGGCCAACTCGCGCTGAGCAGTACAGTGGTACTTTTGGATAGTAAGACTGACGTGGATAGCCACGCGGTGCCCCCCCCCCCCACCGCAACATGGTTCAAGGCCTCACGTTGATTTTGAACAGGGGCCTTGGACACGCCTTTACATACAATCACACAACTAAGATTATGGATTATGGCGACTCTAGAGGGCATCGCGAAATGAGCAAGGTTTTGTTCAGTCTCACTGGCATGGGAATAAACTGCTTAACGTGAAACTACGTCCTAAATACGAAACCCTTGAACCTTTGGGCACTTCATTCATGCAACATACCTCCTACTCCATAGCCACGCCAAGTCTGGGCATGTTCATTTGGGAGGGTTGTTCAATGTTCCTGAAAACCACCCAACCACAGTGCTTGCGCAGGCACAGCAAAAGGCACTTTTGTCGATTCTCTTCCCCGGGTCCAGAGGGCAAACTCGCTGAGCGCAAAGCCAGCATGGAGCCTGGGTGCCAAACGAAGCATTCTGCTCAACCACCCCTAAACCCGCCCCCCTGAAAACTCTTTCTTGTATACCCCATGGTTCACAGGATTACACAGGGCCCCCCACCCAAAGGTTGCGCAAAGTGCCAGGAGCCCGCTTTGGCCGGCGTAGTCAGTGAGGAAGGCCACCCCAACGAGGTGAACCTGGGCTCAGCGACTTGAGGGGGCTCTAAAGGGCTGGGGCACACAAGATGTTGAAACGGCCTTGCGAAACTGGGCCAGCGGCCAAGAGGAACGTCCACACAAACCAGGTTGCAGGAAACAAGTCAGCCTCTTCAGGGCCACATGGCAGGCGCAAGATCACCAAAATTCAAGGCAAGAGAATGACAGATCCGCTGCGCATTCCAGGCCAACAACAAAATTGTCGGATCCCGATGGCCCCAGAACGGACTCGTGTCGGACACTCTGGCCTGTGAAGCTATAAGGCCACAAAGGATTGAACCCGCGAAGACCCTGCCATGGGCTCAGCTGCACGTACACTAATCTTTTCACTTGCAATGCAGCCGAGTGCAGCGGACATGTGGTGAGTTGCAGCCCAACTCCTGCAACCCCCGCAACTCCCCGACCTTCCGGCTTGATATGCCCTGGTCGGGTCAGGATACTCATGCTCATCTGTGTACCTGGCATGGCCACGATAAGCAATTTCCCGAAAAGGTAGCCTGTGGAAAGCCTTTGCAACACAGGTGGTGTGCACATGGGCTTGCTCGCTTTGGCCGGCAGCAACTGCGCGACAGGCCTGATGCAGGCTTTCCTGAGACCGAGTCTGCCTGCTGAGTAATAGATCACCGGCGCTCTTCGCGCTTCCACATCTACCCCTCCTCGAACTGCTTAAAAGCTGCAAGATGAAGAGGAAAAAGTAAAGCAAGGTTTGAGCACCGCCTCTGTGGCAGCACTGGTGGCGGTCCCGGGCGAGGGGCGATGGGCGGCCGCGGCTCGATCTGTGCAGTGGGTTTCAGGATGTTTGAAGGGTTTTGTCTAACAGTAGTGACCACTATGCTGAGCTTTAGGGTCACTTGGCTTTCCGTCCTGTCCGAACACTTGGGTTCAGGGCCTGGAGAAGGTGGTCACAGGATGCGTGGCAGCAGTTTGCACAAGCAAGATGTCCTCATAATCTGGGATGGTTTGAGCTTTCCGTTCTCGGTTTTGGGGTTCTGCGCTTAGGTTCAGGGAGTTGGTGGGGTCATTCTTTGTTTGACCTTGAAAATGTCAAAGCAAACTTAGGAGAGCTCAGCTCCGGGAAGCTGATCCTGATCCTCAGCCCTAGGCCATAATTAAGACCGAATCACAGCAAACTGTCCCACTTTACTGGGCTCAGGCCAGTACCTTCGCCTCGCTGGCCACCTTCTCCCTGGGCGGATCACTGCTTGCGCATCATGTCCCTCTAGCTTATGTAGCCTCTGTTCCCGTTCCACGTTCAACGCACCGCCTCGGCTGCTTCGGCGGCAGCGGGTGATGCTGTTCCTGCTGCACGAAACCCATGTATGGGGCAGATTCCGAGTAACTAGATGTCTCTTGCACGCGGAACCAGCAGGTTTTGGGCAGCGCATGACAAGGCGCAAGGTGGTCTTGAAATGGCCCTCCGGCCCTCCCCGCGAGCCAACGACGCGGTCCCGCGGCAGGGGCGGCGGTCTGAGGCCCTCCGGCGCCTTGGAGGCACCTCGCACATGCACAACCCCTGACCTTCACAAGCAAAGCCCTGCAAAGCCCTGCAAACCTGCGATGGGCAGGCTCTTGGCGTCTTCATCTTCACTTGAACAGCACAGAACCCTATATGTTTCTCGAGGGCCAGCAGCACAAACCCTACCCTCAAACACCCACAGCGACGAGAGAACTTCTCCGGGTGCCTGGAGGCTTCGGGCCGAGCACCGGCCTCTCCTCTTGGGCTTTCCTTGCCCTCTCTGCCGCCTTCTCTGCCGCCTTCTCTGCCGCTGCGGCTGCAGCATCTTGGTAACATCAAGAAAATGGTCAAGGGCAGCAGACACAAAGGAAAAGGACTGGAGAATGGGGTGAATTCTCTTGAACACACACATTGCGAGTCCATCGGAACCCTGCGAGAATGGGCGGGCAACGCCCGAATCGGCAGGGCGAGGGGAAGGCACCAGAATCCCACGAAGGAACCTTGGGCACTGACTGGCCGCCGCTGCGGCCCGCTGCTTTGCGCGCGCCTCCGGTGTCAGACTGGCTACAGTGCGGGGCCCATCTCAAGAACCTCCCAAAGCAAAGGTGTCGGTCCTCATTCATCTCGTCAATGTCTTTGAGCTTCCGGATAAGCTCAGCCTCAGACAGTAGACAGTAGAAGTGACCACACAGCTTCCCAGCACAATCCCGCTAAACCGCTAAACCACTTGCAAGCCGTGAGCACCCACAAAAAGCTCACAAATCTACAGAGCCTGAGGCTAATGGCACAGAGCCCAGAGCCCCAAAAGCTCAGCTCTGCGCAAGCATCCGCTGGTACAGGCTTTTATCCTCTTCTGCCATGCATAACACTCTAAAAACTTGAGGCTTGGCGTGAATCAACACAGATTCAGACTTCCAGACTTCGCGGATTTCGGTCGATTGGGGGATGAAGGCGTCATCACTTCCATAGCCACACAAACCTCCCAGATCGGCGCCTCGCCGCACTCCTCCGCGGCCTTGATCTGCTCTACCACCTGGAACTTTGCTTCTGAACCACCCCCGGCCCCCCTACGCAGCACCAGTGAGCCAGGGTGGGGAACGAAAGATAGTTACAACTGGCCAAGTCTCACGATGTATGTAAAGGGCCATACTATTACCTGGACCCAAACAGGACAAAGGCTCAGCGGCTTAGGCCAGAGTTCATCCTGTGATGCATGCAAAAACAATGCACGAAAACCAGCCCACATCTGGGCTCTGCCGGCCTGTGCCAGCTGCGCTTCCAGCATCGCCCGCTCAGAACCATTGTCCTAGGGCGCCACCGAAAGCTTTGGGCTGTTTCAATCCTGGTGGTGTTCTGCCCCCAAGGATTTGCACATATTTGAAGGGAAAGCACGGCTTGCCCTGCCCAGCCTCGTCAAGACGGCGGAGGTTCGCAGGACGCACCTCAGATTCGGCAGCTTCTGGCACCTTCTTGTTTCATTCAATGTGCAAGTGGTCGCGACCTGATGCAGCTGCATGCATGAAGTGCCGATGAAACAAGTTTGCTTCTCCCTGGCTTTACAATGCGACAAATTTCTGAGCCGTCCATGGCCAGGTCTCCCCGACGTGCATCTGATCTCGTTTGAACTGTGCCCGGTGAGTCCGAGAAACAGGCTCCATGAGCTCGAGGGAGTAGCTAACAGAAGAAGACCGAAAAACGCACTCCGTTGTTAGGAGCTGCCAATTTTGTGGTCTTCAGGATCGAAACTCGAGACTGAGGTGTGTGATGGCGCTTTTGCAAGTTCCATGTTGTCTTCCTCAAGTGGCTTGGATCTGGGCTGCGGAAGGCCTAAGTTAAAAACGAGATACAGAGCCCACACAGATTCGCTCATTAAGTAAAAGAATGCGCCCAAGCGCGTCGTAACCATCAACACCAACTGCTCAGGTGTAGAGCACACGATGTTTCACGATGCCTCAAGCCACGAGACGGTGTTCTCATGAGCTGTTCGTGTAAGGAGTGGGTTGAAAACTCATCCAAACTCCAAAGAAAAGACTTTACGAGGGGCTGATGCATGGTAGAGTCCAAGCTCCACATCCTGCCAGGCTGGGAATCGAGCTGCCTTGTTTTCCAACTCACCGTCCAGTTTCACCCCAAACCTCGGAACGCCAGAGTTGACTCGCTCAGCTGCTGGCTGACTGCAGGATCAGGAGCAGTTCAGACTAATTACGATGTGTACCCTAACCCGACCTGCGACAGCACGAGGTGGTGTGCGGGAATTGGTCGCGCATGGTTGTAGTCCCTGCTGTCTTACAGCACCGAGGACCAGAAGCGGATCCATTGTAGAGAATGAATTAATTTGTTTGGCTGCAGTAGGGGAACCGAAAAATGTCAGTACCTCCACCACCCCGTCTCAGGGCATCACGGTCCGGACCCGAGGCGCCAACCGCTGGGTTTCCTCAACAAAGGCGACAATGCGCCCCGTTCGGCCGTTCAATTCTTTGGCACCTGTGAGGCGGCTCCGCCAGGGAGAAGAGGAGACTCAAAAAGGGTTTAGGGCCAGTACCAAGATGCTTGTGTTAGGGTTGTAAGTTAAGTGATTCGGTGTTGCTAATTTTGGGTTTGGGTGTTTAGCATTTAGCGCTTGGATACTGGACTGACGTGGCACCTTGCAACCCGTGGATCTCCACTTCGTCCCCGATTTGAAAATCCTCATCATCGCTCCTGACTCGCAGTTCTTGAGCCAAGCAGGCCTTCAGCTCCAAAGTGACGGACAAGAGCACAAGCAGACAGCAAACAAGACATGACAAAACATAACAAAACGAACAAAACGAACAAGCATCCAGTCCTTCCGTCGTAGGCTTTTTTCTTCTTCACCATGCCGGCTCCTTTGTGTTCAGGGTTTTTTGGGAAGCTTGGGAAGCTTGGGAAGCTTGGGGCGGTCCTTCGGAGGCCTAGGACCAAGGAATCCGCAAACTCTCGGGATCCACTGAGGCCCCGACGCTGCTACGCCTGTAAAGCGCTGCGCGGCCAGCTCAGCCCCCCCGAACCCTCCCATATGCCCAGCTCTCCATACAAAATTGTGCCTTCAAGGCCCGGAAGCGAGACACTTTCGGAGAAGCTACGCCTTTGACGATACTATGTGGCTCCCTACTCAGCCAAGCTCCTCTGACATCTTCTGATTGATTCTGAGTGACACGACGACTTCGCGTGACTCATGTTCTGTCCCAGAAAGTCCCTGCATGCCCATGCTCTCTGACTTTGTCTTTTTGCTCACAGCAGTGAAGCAATCTATCTTGCCAGCGGATCCAGCTCCTCGGAACCTGACAGTATGTGTTGAGTCTTCAACGCACGAAATCTGTTCTCTAACCCTCAAACTCTCCAAACTCTGCCGAGCCACGTGGTTTGTCAGCTGTGCATCGGAGGACCTGAGACCTCACAGCCAAATGGAGCGAAAGCGCCGCAAGCATCGAATCTAAAGCCTGATCTCAGAGCCGATCCACCACGTACTTCCTTGCCTCCGTCTGGCAAGAAAGGAGCTCTTCCTTCAGGCCACACACACACGATAGCTGCATTTATGCGCAGAAGATACAGACATCGTGTCTCGCAAGATGTCGGCCTTTCGTCATCACTGACTTGGAAGACAGTTAGTAGCACAGGAAGGAGTTGCTCAAACGCCTAGCTCAGGGCATCATTCGACTGCAAGACTTGGGGAAATATGCGAGCTTGGGAGACGAACCACAGACCAACCATGCCGGAGGAACACTGTTCCCATGCGGGCTGTGCGCGACAAGCTTCAGCGCTACACACCTCCGCAGCGGAGACGTTTTAAGGTCCGAAATATCGAGACGGGCTTGGACAAGGTACGACAGCCCGACCCTGCTGAGATGCGTGGTGCTGTTAAACACTGCATTCAAGGCTGCCCTGCCTTCCGTACTGCCACTGAGGCTCACTGGGTCGGCCATCGCAGGGATCCGACACATCCTTCCACTGAGACTATTCAGCCTATTTCAGCTTCACTCCACCATCAAGTCGACGGGTGCAGGCACAAGGAGATGGGGAAGCCCATGTTGGGGCGCTGGCCCAGGAATGCCAATAAGACGAATGAACTTTCGTGGGGGGTTGGGGGCAAACTGCGCTGCGCGGCTCTGGCCTCCAATGGGGCGGCGTCGGCCACCTGAGTGGGTAGCTTTTATTGGTGGGCCTGGGCTGTTCCTTCCCGACATTGACAAATGACCGACGCACAAAAAACAAAGGGCATCTTCTTGCAGTGGCCAGTCAACCCTTTCCCTCTCAATGCACCCCACCTCGGTGGGCGCATCATCCAGCTGCTCCAAGCAGAAAGTCTGCACCTTGTCAATACTGATGGGGAACTTGCGAGATCCTGCTCGGCCGCCAACCAAACCCTTGATGGTTCAGGTTCGCAGACGTGCGAGAGCTGCAGCATGCTGCAGCATGCTGCAGCTTTTTTCCCCCCTCAACTGCGCCTCTGCACCGCGCGAACCTGCCGAAGTCTTCCTCGGCACACGCCTGGCCACGCAGTCGGGTTGAAGGCTGAGGCAAGGCATGGCAAGGCTATGTCCCATCTTGTGGAACTGCGGAGGCCCCAACTCAGCTCAGAGGCGCCTGTCTCCCAGGCGCGAGCCGGAGGAGCCCTTTCTGGCCACACCTGCGGTCAGGACGCGCTGTCACTATTCTATACTATTCTTGTTGCCTGTTTGATGTGTATTATTGTGTATTCGTCTGAGTAATTCCTCTTGTTCATCTTCTGCTGGCTCTTCTTCTGCTGCTTCCTCGCGGTCTGCTCAGGAGAGTTGGATGGTCTGGGACAAGGCCGCATCGTTTAACCTACAATCCCCCTAAACCCTGTACACTCCGTTAACCCCACACCCCGACAGAGACGGCTTCACATGCTTCTGGGGCCTGGGGAGGCCCAAGGATCGCTGTACCAGTCATCCAGCGCCTGGATCTGGAGGTTTAGGATTCTGGGGCTTAGGATTTAGGGATACTTAGGTGTTAGGGCTCTGCTTTCTTCACGCGACTGGCACGAGTTACCTCACCTGGTCTTGGCTAGGGGTCCTAAAGACTATCTCGAGATGCGAGACGTGATGCGAGTGGATGTCCCAAACGCGCTCCGCACTGCGCATCCTGGATTCACTGGGCCCCGGGCATCTTGGCCAGACCTCGGGCAGCATGTCATTCTAAAGTGGACAGAAACACCGACCTCCTCATAAAGGCCGCCAGCATCCCCATCAGGGCCCGAAAACATTCCCGAAACCACTTTGCACAACTGTCTTGGGGTCTTGGGCCACGGGCATGGGCTCCGTCGGCCCTCCCTCGGTCGCCTCTCTGCACATGAACCGACAAGCTACAGGCTGGCCATGCTGCAGGAAATCGCTTTGGGCATTTCTGCACAACATTTCTCCTCAGACATGTGGTTGCCTCGCTTCCGCCCCCATTCAATTTGAAGGAGGTTGCTGCCATTGACGCAGCATCTGGTCGTGGGAAGTGCGTTCCTTCCCTGAGCGATGTCGCTATGTACTCCCATCGCCATCAGCTGCTTGCTGAGCCAGCTGCCCTGTCCATGCAGCCCGCACAGTCGTTGCTCCGTGCACTTGCTCTGGTGAGCACTTCGCCAGATTCATGAAGACGGCCGAAGACTGCTGGCAGCTGCGGTATCTTCGCTGCCATGTCGCGACGGGCTCAGAGGCGAGGGTTTGCAAGGCTGCAAGGAGCCGCGGCGCAAATCAGTCCTCTCCAGCAACAGACTCGCAGTCGTAAAAGCTCGCCTCTCCATCATCTTCCCTGACAGAAGACGACTCCACCGGAATCTCCAACAGGCGAACGGCCGACAGTGTCGGCAGTGGCCCTGACGAGGGCTGCGGCGACGAGGTGTTGTGAGAGCCATGTCCATTCACAGCTTGTAGTGGCTCTCGTTCACTTTCCTCCTGCACATCAAAGTACTCAATCAGCAACAGAAGGAGCTCACAGTACAGACAGTGCGATCCTCGATGGGTGCCTTAGCAGCCACGGGGGCTGCCTAGGTAAGAGCAGACTGGCAAGTAGGTCAAGGTGGGGGAGTAAGCTTTTGCCAATTGGCAACGTGCTGCTTGCTGATTCCCGGCAAACCAGGAGGCACAAAACTCAGCAAGACGAAAAACACCGAAACTCAGCAGCCCACAAATAGCCCACCCAGGCTTTTGCTTTTGCCGCTCGGCTCCGCAGTGTCGCGCACGGGCATGGCATCTGCCTGCTGGCGCAAGCTCTGCTTCGTGCCGTGCACCGTGGCAAAATCAAGGTTCTGTCGGGCCTGGTTGAGGTCAGATCTTGTGTGGCTCGCTCCAGATAAGGGCTCTGCAAGCTCAAGCTGACTGTCGATTGCATACTGCACCTCGGCTCCGAAGGCAAGAACCCAAAACCAAGTCTTTCACTCCAACATACTCCAACTGGCATGAACTTCAGGGCTGATTCTGGTATGTGCTGCTGTCAGGGCATCCCGACGATACATGTGCAGGCTTGCACATGTAGCTTGGGATGCCCCATGATGCCCACATGTCATGTTCTGGATCTCTGCACGGCTTCTGCAGCTTGGACACCGAGCGCTGCCCTGGTCCTTCAGCGAGCTCGTGGAAGGGTGACTCAGGCGGATCTGAGGTCCTCGAGGAGTCGCGAGCCATTGCGAGCCCCAAGACATCCAATGACATGCCCTACCCGCCCCCGGCACCACCCAAAAAATTCGCCAAAGCCAACAACTTCGGGGGGGTAGCTCCATGCGGCTCTACATGTTCAGGATGTGCAGGGATGGGATGGGCTGAGGAGCCGGGGAGGAAGGCACAGGGAAACTTGAGCGGAGGGAACTTCCAGCAGCTCTGAAAATCCAAAGCTCAACCCGCTGTCTGCCAGGAGCAGCTGCCGCGTCGACTCGTAGAAGCAGTAGGCCTGGGCACAAGCACGCCGCCCTCAACACATCTGAGGCCACATCTGGGGGGCCATCTGAGGGCCCGGGCGAAGCGCAGGGTCTGCAGCACCAGCACCGTGAGCAGTGCCATGGAGAGATCACCCGCCAGGCCCCAGTTCACATCGGTGCAGGCTCGGCAGGCCTTGCGGCACTTGGCCATCCTGAGAGAACTTCGAGGCAAACTTGCATGGCCTTTTACGGAGAGGCAAACCACTCTGGCAAGATGAGACTGCTTGCAAGTCTTGCAGCATGTAGTCGAAGTACCTCAAGCTGAGCATGAGCCCAGAAGTGTGAAGAGAGGTGGCTCACGCACTCATGTGTCAGATGCTGCAAACAGTGCTGAGGCAAGCTGCTTGCTCTCGGTCTGGCAGTCGCCCCGCGCAGCCAGGGCGGCGCACTCATCAACCGTATTCTTGCAGCTTGTCCAGGTCCCATGCACCTTCAGCAAACCGGACACCCTAAAGTCGCATTTGTGGATGGTATCACAAGCCCTCCACACCGCACATCAGCAATTTTCCAGCGCCTCCAACAGTCTGCCGGACCAAGCCTTGGACGAACTCGAGATTCAACACACGTCAGGGCGTCGTACTCTATCAGAGGAGAGCGGATGAGAAGCCCCCGTAGAAGGGCCCTTGCGGTTTTGACCCAAAAGCTGTGTCAATGTCTGAATGACCCTGTTGGGCCTCATCTGCCCGTGCTCGGCCACGCTGGTGGATCTTTGGTCCCAACCACAGAAGTCTCCGGATCTCATCAACCCCCCGACTCCAGCATACCCCTGGTGTCATTGTTAAGCACCCCCGAGGTTTTCCCAAAATTTGTGCAGCCTGATTCAAGTTAGCTTTCTTGAGCATCGATGCAGGGGTGGGGTATGTTTTTGACTAGGGATTCAAGGTGCCACGCAGCCCGCGTTTCCACGCATCTGATGCGTTAAATGAGATTGATCGAAACTGCGATCAGCTATTCACTCCCACTCTGAGCCCTGGGCAGCAAAGATGAAGAGGGATCCACACGCGGCCACTGCAAGGTTCCACCGGGCCAGGCGGGCGCGGGCGGACAGGTTCATCAGCCTGGTCGTCTCATCGGTCCAAGGATGTCCAAGGTCAGCTCGTGTTGGGACATACAGGGGCATACATGCTCTCAGCAGGACCTCTCCCCGTAGATGGGTGCATCCATACTGCTGAAGTGTTCTAAGTGGAAGACTCGTTTCAAGCTTGAAAACGACCGATTCCTAATGGCACCATACAGCCCGAAGATGGTACCTCGGGCTCAGCATGAAAACGATCCATGTGTCCCTCATTCAAACCGACCGAGGCATGTGAAAAGCAATTCGGGGCAGACAGTATTAGTGCTACGTTCCAGGAAATGCAAAAGGAGCACATCACAGAACCACCCGCGGACGAACAGCCCTCCATAAACTCGAGTCACTATGAAAGACTAGCTTAATCTGATCCTGCCCACCGACACGTCTACAAGGCCATTCCAGGCATGGTCCATGCCACTTCTTCTGTCAGTTGTGTGCGAGCAAGCGTGTTCAAGATCTTTCTGTTTGAATCCGGGAAGGAATACTCATGACTCAGCCTGTCCATAGTCATTGCGATCCACAATTTCGCTTATTGCAGCCAACAAAGTGCAATGCATGTCAGAAACGAGCGCTGAATTTCAGGTCGATCTTATTGATCAGATAGATGTACGGCAACTTGCTTTGCCTCCAGGAACTTGCAAAGACCGGCGTGGTGGAACTTGCGAACTGGTTGCGGGCGGCTGAACACTGAAATGTGAGATAGTGCAGCCAACTGGATGGTCGGACGAGTGGTCGAGTGGGTGGTCGAACGGTGGTCGAACTTGCGACTTTTCGAATGCCTCTTTTTTACCACTCGAAAGTTCAACCCCAGCTCCACGACCCAAAACCAGTTCAACCACCAGTTCCACCACCGGTTCGAGGGTCGAACATCCAGCAAGCAAAGTATTGTGTTTTTGTATTGTGTGGTCTTTCTTGTGTAGGGCTGCACTGGGCGACGGAGGCAGAAGCAGTGTTCGTGTGAAACCATCTTGGTACCACTTTCCTTCCCTTGCTCTTGCAGTCGTAACTCTGCGTTCTTTCAACATACAACCTGTTGTAATTTGGGTGCAATTTTCCTTGCCACTACCTCTCTGGTTTCACAGATTGTGTGTACCCTCATCAGAGTTCAAGGGATAGCCTGCATGGTCAGAATCTTGAGACAGAAGCCTTCAAGCACGTAACCCTGAACGCCACTCCCAAAACCCTGGAAGCCCAAAACACAAAAACGCTCAAACATCCAGAAAAATCCCAGAAACACCTCATGAAACACCTCTTTCCATATCTGTTTCCATATCTCTCGGGCGGCTCTGCGGGACCGCGCGGCCAGGCCAGGAGCGTGCAAAGTGCCAGAGGCGGACTCGGAGCGAAGGCCAGGAAGGGTCCCTGGCTTGCACTTGGGGCTTTGGACATAGGGATGTTTGGGAGTTTAGAATGCTGTGTCTTAGAGCCTAGAGAGCCTAGAGAGTTTAGAGAGTTTAGAGTCTAGGGCCGGGCTTAGGGTTTACTAGGGCATCTTCTTGGCATGTAGGCCTCCAATTTACAAGGAGCCAGCCGTCACATGAGTGCAGCCTTACCGAGCACTTTCGGTGTAAGGAACGGAAAAACAAACTTGGCAGTCGCCAGCTCCCTTTTACGGCATGGGGTAGGGGACAACAAACGCCCCCCATTTTCGACAGAAATGAGAGTGACCTCTGCGTTTTGGTGCTCGTCCCTACAATGTTTGGAGAGGGAGCCCAGCCCTGTACCTATAGATTATGCTGCTGCTTGACTTCGGACAAGGGTTTGGTAAAGGTTGCTCACCGCATCTTTGCCAAAGTCCTGCAAGGTTCTGTCAGCAACTCACAACCCATGACACATCGTCAACGCTTCCCCGACCGCACCCAAGACTCGAGATGACTCGAGCACCCTAAACCCTAAACCCTAACCCCTAAACCCTAACCCCTACAGTAAACCCCAAAAGGGCCCCGGCCAGCGTAGGCGAAAGCGCTCTGGCCAGCTTCGGGTGGAGCGCAGCATACAGCCCAGCGACGAGGGAGCCGCCAAGCGCTGCCAGCAAGGTCACCTCACTTCAGGTTCACGCAGCTTACGCGAACTGCGGCTTTTCGTCGCCTGGGACCATTGGAAGGTTAAGAAGGTGTGCTCAGCATCGTTGACGGGTTATGGGAATCTATCACAAGACAGGGCAGCAAAGATCCGCTTTGCGTTGAGGTTGCCAGGATCAAGACAACCCTCAAACAAACCCGGCAACTCAACTGAAAAAGACCAAGCCCAAGCTACTGCCCTTTTGTTTTGACAAACTCGTTACCTTGATGCAGGCGCGGATGGACAGCGAGATGCAACAAACCTTTGCGACCGTGCAGGCTGGCAGTTTACTTTGATTTTACATGGTGGCTGAAGGAATTCATGAAGGCTGAAGGACTGCAAGAACTCAGGTCGACAGGAAGATTGGGCCTGTCTGTTGCTCCCTCCTTGCCCCTGCGCCACCTCTAGGCTTTCTAACAGTTTCAAGTACCATGTTACAAGTTGTTCCAAGGAACATGTTCGAACAGGTTCCAACGTTCAGGAGTCCCGAAGCCCGCACGATCTTAACACCCTGGCAGTGCTGGGTACGAGGCTGGTGCGGGAGACTTCGCATCAAGGTCCAACCAGGCAGCTGCTCCAACCTCTCACTCTGTTGAATCCGTTCAAGACCCTATTCAATCTTCACTTTGCTGGCCTGACTTGGCATTTCGCACGAGTACTTAGACTTGGCACCTCAACCCAGCAGTGCGACAGGGTGCCCGGCGATGGGGTGCTTGTAGAGAAGCAAGGTTATTGAAGGCGCAGGTGGAGATTTAAGAGTTCAATCCGGCCCAGCCTCCCAGCCAGAACGGAAGGAACAGACCTAGCCATCCACAGCTCTGGGCATTCAAAGCAAAGCAAACACATGACACATGACTCCTCCCCACTCCCACTGAGCTTTCGGGAGGTTTACAAAACCCAGGCCAGGCTGCGTGGGCAGGAAGATGTACAAGGCCATCGATGAGTACTGCCACCAAGGCAATGAACACGGGAAGGCCGACGGCCAGTGCAACGATGCCATTGCTGAGGCCAACGAAATACAGCAAGGAGATCAACACCTCCACACGCACTGCTGTCCAAACTCTTTACACGAGGAATTCTGTGTCACGCTGGGGGAGGTCTCCCAACAACAGAACCCTTATGACAGAGCATGGGGCACGCGACGACCACGACGATGCTGAAAACTTCCCTTGCTATTTCTTTCTCCTACCGTACCACTTCCACAACTTCTGTCACTGTGTAACCAATGCTGCTTCACTTCACCACGACCACCATCATCACCACCACAGCTACTATGTCGACAACCACTACCACGACTGCCCCGACCACCATGAGCCACCACCACCACCACAACCACCACCACCACCACCACCACCACCACCACCACCACCACCACCACCACCACGCGATTGAAGCCACACGCGCTTGAAGCCACACGCGCTTGAAGCCACACGCGTCTACTACTTGTTATCACTTCGTCGTGCGGGGGACCTATTCCTGAGATGCCTGGATGAGCAGATACAAGCTCTTTTGCTGTGAGGCGATTCGATTCATCTCTTTATGCTAACACCATGCGACACCATGCGCCATTGTCGGTATCATGGCTATGATTAAAGAATTGTTTCTGCACTACGACTACGGTTAGTACCTCCAGTGCGACAAACCCTCACACGCCAGCCCTCCCGAAACTATCAAATATGTTGCATCTCCGGCACATGCCCGTCGAGAAGAGACAAGATGGCCCCGGCATTGGCGAGGATCCCAACGCTCACGCAGCACCGCTTGAACTCTCCTGATCTGCTTACGGACAAAGCAGAAACCTTCAACCACACTGCTTCAGTGCAGCCATGCCGCTTCTAGAGAAGGGGAATGTGGCCAGCAAGGCCAGAAGCGCAAATACAGAACCCAGAGTCTGCAGCAGGGCCAAGTTCGGGGCGGCATCTTGCAGATTCAGGCCAGCCGCCACTCCCAACACAACAGCGGCAGCGGAAAGTGAGATCCGAATCCGAAGGAGCACCCTCGTCCGGGATACTCTCTGGTGACCATGGTGGCTCGGTGAGTGCATCTTCCACGCCCATTCTCAGAGCCGCAGGGTGGGCACGGGTCCTATCGCTAAACAAATTAGCAAGTAAGCGCTGCGATCAGCTTCCGAGGGGGCACTGGGGATCTCTTCGCGTCTGCCCTTGCCACATCATCACATCACATCTTGAGCTGAAAGGCTCCGCTACTCAGCAGCGCAAGATTTCTGCTTTCAATGCTGGCTTAGCATTCGCCAAAATCTGCGCTCGAAAGAACTTGCGAAGCGTAATTCCTAGCCTCCAGCTCCTGGCACCGGTGGGCCACCTTGTCATGCGTCATGCTGAAAAGGAAGCAGTGCTCCGGTTCGTGCCCATCTGAATGTCCTGCCTGGTCCAGAAAGGTTCGCAACATCGCCTCCCAATCGAAACTTGCAATAAAGACTTGGGAAAAACTGCAAGCGGCAGATCAACGCTCAAGACGAGTCGCACAAGCAGGAAGGCAGCACCTGTCCCCGAACCTGCAAAAAGCACCGAAACACAAATCTCACCTGGGCGGTCCGCAGCTCCCAGGACATGGCAGCCTGGACCCACTGGATGAAGTGTCACGAACCCACAAAAGTTCATCACTAGTTACTGTACTTTGCTACCTTCGTCTGGAATTGACCTTTGATTTCTGCGGGCATTCCTCCATCCCGGGCGTTGTGCAGAGATGGCAGCTCCAAGGAGACTGGTTCTTCCAATGCGGGCCATGCATGTCTTGTCAAAGCGCTTCTTTCTGCTTGCGCACACACACACACACACACACACCATGGCCGGTCATGTTTAACGCATACTGTCTCCATCTGAACCCAAAACCCAAATCCAGAACAGCGCAAATGCAACACTGGAGGAACATAAACTTACCCATAAACCCTCAACCAATCCGAACCCCACAACTGTGCAAGTTGAGGACCCTAAACGGGGAAGTTGTTTTGTTGTTTCCCTTTTCTCTTGCTTTTTTTCTCCTAGGAAACCCTGAATTTCCTCGAGGCTACAATGTGAAGCCTCTTTCCTTCTAGGTACTATTCTTTTCGGACATCTTGTGTTCCTCGTGGATTTTCATGAGAGCCGCTCGTCGGGCGTGGAAAAGACTCACGATAGGTCGCCTGGAGTGGGTACATGGCGTGAAAATCCTTGAAACAAGCTTGCACGGCTTAAAACCGTCCGCGTGAATGTTGGCGGCCAATTGAGCCCTCGCGATGGCTGCCTCGTCCTGAAGTTTCCCCCAATCTTCTGAGTTACTCACTTCCATCGTCTGAATCGTGATGAAGCTTTCGGATGAAAGGCACAAGGGCCAGACCGAGAGAGAGAGAGAGAGACAGAGAGACACGGAGCCCCATGAATAGCAGGCAGGTCCAGCTGCCCTCCTAAACCCTTACCCCAAAGCATCACAACAGCCTAAACCCTTAACATTGGACCTTGGGCCTCGAACCTCAGCTTCTCAACTGTTCAGATTTCATAGATTTCAGACTCCATGCACACCTCCAAGGCACGCTCCACCTGGCCGAGGGCCTCCTTGGCTGTCCACGGATTCAGGGATGGCTTGGGGCTCGTACTTCTACGGTGTAGAACTACTAGGTGCGCGGCGTGTTCACGCCCCTACAACGGGAAGCATGTTCTGGGGAAGGGGGGTTCAGGAAACACTGGCAGGCGTGGGTTATTCATGAAGTAGAGTCATTTCGGTGATTTGGAGGAGTGCCCTCTCACACTACTGGGTAAGTTTTGTAAGATAGGAGTTTGATGGCAGCAACAGGATTATGATGGCAGGGCGGCTTGCGGAGGGGCATGTCCGGAAGTCATCAGGGCAGTGGCTTTTTTTTGAAAACACTGTAAATACCAGTGTTTTGGGCATGGTCGCCAAAGGCAAGGACACTTGTGAATGCTTTTCTTGTTGCACATCCTTCCGCAGTATGTTGTACAAGCGGCGGAAATGCTGTAAATACCAGTGTTTTGGGCGTAAACACCAGTGTTTTGGGCATGGTCGCAAAAGGCATGGACGCTAGTGACAACGTGTCTTGTTCCACAACCTTGCACGGTACGTTGTACAAACTGGAAAAACGCTGTAAATACCAGTGTTTTGGGCGTGGATGCAATATGAATATGTTCTTATCCCCCCCCCCCACCCCCCCCCCCCCCCCACCCCCCCCCCCCCCTCCCACCCCCCCACCCCCCCCCCCCCCCCCCCCCCCGCCCCCCCCCCCCCCCCCCACCCCCCCCCCCCCCCCCCCCCCCCCCCCCCCCCACCCCCACCCCCCACCCCCACCCCCCCCCCCACCCCCCCCCCCCCCCCACCCCCCCACCCCCCCCCCCCCCAAACCCGCAAGGAAGAGGAAATGCCTGAGCAAGTGCTGAAAAACGTAGGGGCGGGAACGCGCCGCGTTCCAACTACTAGGGTTCTGTCGGGCGCTACCTGGCTTGTTCTCGGAAGTCTTAACATAATATAAGATACCAAAATTCTCTACAGCCAGTTTCGGGTGTTCCAAAAAAAGGGCGCGTTTCCAGTGAGAGGGTCTTGCGGTCGTTTGGCACCCACATCCGACAACCTCGAAGGAGGTTTTGGCTCAGTGCTGGGTCGGGCCGCTCAGTGCGTCAGCTCCTGAAAAAAACAAGTTTTCCGATGACACGTCGTGCTCTGTGTTCGTGTCCTCCGCGCTCGTGCCCTCCGCCAGACTATAGCATCGTCTGGTCTTGGTCGACTGCTTCCGGGCTCCGCTCAAGAGACGCAGGGCACCAGCTTTAAGACGCGAGGTAGTCAACGCTGCGGGTCGCCAAACAGAGTGCATATGCATGTGCTAACGACCAACCGGACCATGCGGATGTTCGCAACAAGAAATCAACGTCAGCGCCCTACGGGTTTAGGCTTCACGCTTCCTAGGGCTTCGTGACAGGTTTACAAGGCTTTGACGTTTTCACAGAGACGAAAGAGGATTGCTCCCCAATGTACTCTGATACATGGATTCTCATGCTAGAAGTACAGATCAGTAGAGGAGGCCTTTGGGCCAGCTGTGTTCACGTGGCTTGCTTGCTCGTAGAAGCTCAATGTGATGATCCACCGCGGAATCTTGAACAAAGAATCGAGAACAAAAGCGATTTCCGTCGAGCTGCCCCGACACTCTGCAGAGCCTCCGAGGGCCGCGGTGCCGTCATTGCTCTGCACAAGGTCTCCAGTTGTTCACTGCCGTGATTCCGAAGCACTACTCTGTTGCGCGACTTGAAGGTGGCGATGGCCGACAGCCTCCACTCTCCCGGTCTCAAAATGTCGAATCATGCAGGGTTCACAGAGATACCGATAGAATGGAATGTGATCCGGTCATCAGCAACGTGCCTACATGAATGTGGGTAGAATGCTGCAGACTGCACGCTTTGAGCCTGCGATGCCTGCACGACCGGGGTCGCCCATCGCCAATCGTCCTTCTTAGAAGGAAACACGTCGTGGTTACAGCCAGCCGCCAAGCATGCAACCGAGTCCAGCAGAAGCCTTGCACGCCATCTCAGATCCGCTGCTTCTGCATGAAGTGACCGTATTCATTTTCGAACAACTGGTCAAGCTCGGGGCAATTACTTCTCGCCAAAAAGAAGGAAGGACCGCCAAAGATACTTTGGCAAGCCTTGTCCTCCAAAGCGCGCTGCCAGCTTGTGTGGCCGTAGCTATAGGTGCCATGGAAGGCACAAGCAACGAATCAAATTGACTCGCAGACTTCAGGTCTTTGCCTGGAAAAAACTGACCTAAATGTGCCGTGCTGAGGCCTCGGTCATATTTAGTTGCCGGTAAGGCCAAGGCAGCCTTGTGCCAAACCCGCCTTCGACAACACTCCAGCTCATCCTTCCCGGTTCGTATGATTCGTATGATTCGTATGACGCTCTAAGAAGGTACAGTGGGGAGTAAGGGCGTCCTACCTTTGAACCTTTGGGCCTGTGGAGGTCAAGCGATGTCTTGCAAACAAGGTGATCAATGCTGCATTGCCAGCTCACCTCTGAATGTTGTTGAGAAGTCGAAACGATGTCCTTGCTGCAACGGTCATTCGCGAAGTTCGGCTTCTACAAGAAGATCTCGTACTTTAAGGAATGCATGCTGCGGCCAGTGGAACACGCTTCAAGTCGCTCATGCTTGCTGCAACAAAAACAACAGCATGACAGCACCCTGGACATTCTGTAGAAGACGCTTGGAAATCATGGCGGTGCAGCTGACCCTGAATCTGAAGCTCAGCCATGCATCAGCTGCACTGACTTGAAAATGCCAAAGCAGATCGCCACCACGGCGATTGCAGTGTAAGGCTGGTCCTGGCCCCCGTGCCGACTGATACGACTCAACAGACATGATCTGGGCAACAGCCCTTTCTCTGCCTTGCATTGTATCAAATGGCTCGAAACACAACTCAAGTTGATAGCCACAGCTGCTTGTGCTAGTGCAAGAGCTACGATCTGCGAAGACAGAACGTCTAGAACCTGCTACGATTGCAGCCTTGTACTCAGACAGCTGGATCACATTCTCGTAGCCTGAGGCTGAGCCATGCTGCGTGTCTGGCAATCCTGGGATAGTTGCCGACCAAGCTGCCTTGTACGAGGTTTTCTTCGTCCGCATATGTGTGCCTGACCACCACCAGCAGTCGTACAAACTTGCCGTTCTAGGTTCAACCATTAGCAAGGAGGAGCAACGAAACTTAGCGAAGTCAAAGGATAAAGACAACACTTGTAAGCGAGGGGCTTCGCAGCATACACCATTTGTTGGATGCTGTAGGCCACCGGAGAGATATCGATGGCCCATCCTGATGCCACACACTTCATCTGCATCCGTCCCTCGTGCGCTTGCACCACATCGGATCACATCGGAAGGCATTCAGCACGACACTCAGTGTAGACGGTTGCACCAAAGGCTCGCATCCACGGGACGACAGATGATCTAGTTGCAGTGAAGCCGTTGAACAGCAAGAACAGCATCCTCAGATCCATAAATGAACAGCACAGCATCAACCACCCCACTGACATGCTTGGCCAAGGATCATAAAAGGAGAAGAGAAAACGATGGCAGTGGTGGCATCTTTGGCAATCGCTGCCACCATAAGATAGAGCGCATTCATGGTGGCCTTGGCACACGCCCTTCCCACCAAAACCTGACAGCCTACACTGCCCGTTGAAGGCACCAGCCACACATGCACATTGCTGCTCTGCCGATATCTGCCCGGTGGCAGCTAGCAGCGTTGACCAAAGATAAACATCACCGTACATTTGCCATCTCCTCTGCTGGACAAGGCTGACCCGATGCGCTCGTGCGTAGCAAGAGCAAGAACCACATACCCCTACGCCCATGCTTATGCTTGCCACGGGGCAGGCCACTCATTGCAAACAGGACAGTGATGAAAATGCCTGGGCGCAACATTGTACGAGAAGGCTTCCAACTCAAGCTGCGAAGCTGCTGCTTGAGTCGGAAACTTGTCTGAAACCAACCCAGCTGCTGTGGACCAGCAGCATCTGAAGGGTGTTCAACACACCGAAGGAGAGAATGTATGCCTGGGCATGCAAACCACGAGTGCAAGCCACAGTTCACAACACGGCTTGCAATGTGTGCTGCTGATGCGTTGATGTGGAGGCTCCTATGTCCCATGTCCATGTCATGGCGTGCTCAGATTCCTGAAAAGGAGCACTAGAGCAAGTCTCAACTGCTGCGCACCTCCACACAATGCCCCGAGTCCTAAACATCAAAGGCATCAAGTTCGGGCCCCTATGGATGTACCTCTAAGAGAATCTTGAGCAGCTAGGAGCTTGCTGCAGATTCGTGAAATGTTCACCCTTAATGGTGCATGACCCTACCCAACTAACCTTCTGATGCACTCATGCAATATTCCCGTAGAGGATCGTTTAAAAAGGGTCCCCAAACCCAAGGGTACAACCTTAGGGACCCAAGGCAGAGTCCCATGAAAACATCCCGACACAACAGCCATAAGCTAAGGACCCACTCGCTGTAAAGTACCTGGCAATGGAAGCAACAGCAGGAGAGTGGGAGTCTGCTCTAAGCTGTTACAGTCGGGTTAATCGTATACCTGACATCTACCGGATGCATAGCAATAAGTTGCCATAGGGCCTCCGAAGCCTCCATCTTCACGATGCTGCGCTCGCCAATAATGGCGGGCATGCTCCTCCGGCGTCGGGCGTTGCACCATGCATCGGAAAGGCACGGAGGGGGGAGGGGGGGGGGGGGGGCTGTAGTGCACCCTGATTATACTATAATATTACTATAATTGGGGTTTTTAATATTAGGGGGTAGGGGGGGGGGTTGAATATTGGGGGGAGGGGATTAGTGCACCCTGATTCACAATGTTCTGGCTTGGCTAAGGCTCATGGATCAGCATGCCTGTCTGAACAACAGCGGATGTGACTGACTGAGGCTGTCGCTTAAGGCCATCGATAGCGCAAGTCATGCAAAGCCTGGCGGGCGGCCAACAAAACGCGAATAGCAGCATGTGTAGGCTGTGCCGTCTGAGCTTAGTCAAGAGGCATGAAGAAGAATGCCGTCTGCTGGGCAGCGCCCAGCTCGCCCGTTCTCATGTAGACAACGCCGACCACGACAGCCTTTCCAGGCAGTTGGGGGCAGCGGGAGACGTGCGGACCAGCTGCAAGACCGACCACCCAGCCTTTGCCAAGCCACCAAGCCTCATCTTAACAAACTGAAAGCTGCTTTGGTAGGTTTCTGCCCTCTTCTCTATGCGTCCCTGGAACCACACTCTTGCTGCCACAGGCAAAGTTCAAGCAGCAGCCAGTCCGATCACAGCCTAAGAAGTGCTTGCAGCTGCACACCTCTTAGGGCCGAGCAGGTCGGCCAGGAAGCCCCGCTTGTCCCGCGAACGGAGGATCAACTGCCAGCAGTCAGGAATGCAGCTTCTCAGTGCAAAGCAGGGGTATGCCGGTGCAGATCCCTTATCTTGCACGCGCATCTTTCATGTCCGGATGCCAGCCTGACGTTTGAACACCAGCCACAGCTGGGAGCGAAAACGTCTGGCGTAGACACCTTGGATGCAGCATGGGGCAGCCACTCCAAGCGGAGCCCCTCCAAGCAGAAAAACTCCAAGCAAAATGCTCGTGCTACACACAGGACACCCAATCCTCAGCCCGGCAACTGTTCCGCAGTGGGTTCATGCTGCCCCACCTCAAATTCTGTGGAGTCATCACGGAGAGCTGACAGTGGAGGGCATCTGCCGCAGCAGTCTCTGGGCCCCGTGACTTCTGAGCCTGATGGTGCACCTCCTCGAGCAGCCTCAGTCTGCTGTGAGTGGCACCCCTTGCCTTTCTTGTTTCAAATTCTGTGTTTCCCACAGAAGCCATTCCCGACCACAAACACCGCACACACAAATGCACTTTCAGCATCCACAAGCCCCGAAACTTAGGGCCGATTGGGCCCCTTGCCCCCTCAAGGGCCCCCCTTTGTGACTCCCTTCAGCGCATTTTGAAACAAGAGAGAATGACCTGCAATGCTCCGCAAAGCCTTGGGGCCAGGTAGCTGGAAGGCTCCGGGAAGCTCCACCTGAAGCCCAGCCTCTACGCGCGAGGCGACCTCTCGAGAACTGCATCAGCTGATCCCTAGACTCTCGAGGTATCGCGAGGGTAACCAAAAGAGCAAGAGAAAGGGCGGTTTAGGTTTCGCGCACTGTGTGAGTGAGGGTGGAGCAAATGGACCACCCCACAGGTTGTGCTGTTGGACCCGCTCTGGTCTGAGCCCTCTCAGTTTGTCCGGTCCGGAGGGATCCACTACAAAAACAAGTCTTTCAGGTGTCGTAAGGATATTTTGATGTCGCTATTTCGTGCGGCGGCGCGCCGTAAAATTCAGGGTCTAAATCGGCTTCGACTGTTCTGGGGATGGGGATGGGGCGGATACTAAAGAGGGTGCGACATGGCGCAACATTGCCTATCACAGCCAGATGAGGGGCAACCGCTAAGGCTCAGAAGCCCACCTGGTGCTCTGCATTCTGGCCTCGGTCAGAGAACACAGGCCCCCCTCACACCTTCGCCTTCACTGTGCTGAATGACTAAAGAGCCACGAGTGCACTCCGGGAAGTGCAGCCTGGCAGCGGTAGTGCTGCACAAATGTGTCTACTCGGGCATCGGATCGTTCGGGCGTAACCAGGTCCATGAAGAAGTCCAGCGGGTTGGCATGCACCGGAACCTTGTCTCTCTCACTGCCCGGACAGCACTGCCATGCACCGTCTGAACTTGTACGGTTCTGCTTCAGGGGAGACCTCGAAGCCCACGTTGTGCAGATAGCCAATGACATCCTGCGCCGCTCGCGCTTCTCTATGAAACTCTTTGGCCCGTACACCTGCAAACACCAAAAACCCTGCAAGCCCAAGACTCCCCGGTACGTATGCATGCTAATACTGTCTTATCCTAGGCACAGTTCCCCAGCGAAAGCACAACACTCTTTAAACTCGCCCCCGCCCCCTCCTCCATTCTGCCGTTGTAAACGGCACGTCCAGGACCCGATGTCATGAGCAACAGCTCATCAAACAATTTGGCCACCTCGATTCTGGGTTGATGTATCACCTGGGATCGGCGTTGCTGCTGCGTGTGGGAAGCAAAAGCCGTCCCAGTCCAACGACAAACAGTCATATCCGAAGATTCAATCCAGCCACTACGAACACGAGAATGTTGTAATACCCGCACATATGCTTCATGTACCTGCCAGCACGAGCATTGCAGCACCCTCAGACTCAGCGTAAGGCAACCACCGTGCCTGACGGCTGCTTCAGCATCAGTGGCTGAGAGTCCAGAAGTGGGCTCGTCGCAGAAAAACACCTGGCAGTCGACATGTGCTTTCAATAGCCCTTGAAGCAAAGAAACACGTTGGAGTCTGAAGAGAAGAGCCGGGGCTCCGTCAACCCAACCCCAACCGAATGCAGTTGCATGCAGCACCGCCCGTGCAGAGACCCGGCACATGCTGTCGCTAAGCAAGACTGCGACATACTGCGACCGCCGACCCACGCGGCCCGTGTTTGGACCCCAAAGTAAAATAGCCATTCTCGTGCATCCATGTAAATCCCGCAAACCTGAACCACAGCTCCAAAACCCAGGGTCGCACACGCGCACCACTGGCCAGACGCTTGGCGAGGGAGAGTCGCCTCGGCACGTCGCTTGGATGTTCGTCCCAAGTTTATGTCTGAGTAGAGGGCTCACTAGGGCTTTCTAGGGTTTAGGGTCTAGGGCGAATGCTGCTGGAGGAGATCGGGGTCGGGACCCGATCATTTGGGCTTGCTGCTGGCTGGCAAAAAATTTGTAACAACTTACGTCCGCTTCGTGCAGGAAGGACTACCACGAGCTTGACTTGCTGGGCCTCTTCTGACCACCAGAGATCCCCCGCAACGAGGTGCCGTCGCCGATGTAATGGTCCTGCAAAAGCCAGTACTCAGCACTCCACTCCCTGCACCCATGTTGCGCGTGAATCCCAATCCCCGCCCGCACTGCGGGCTTACAATTCGGTGGTGACATGACCTGACCACACCTGCCCAGAAGCTAAAGCATCCCAAAGCCCAACACCCTTGAGAGCCCCTCTACCCTAACCCGAAACCCAAGTCATCCCTCGCGAAGCCTCAAAGCCCGATCTTGCCTTCACCTTCTCCAGTCCAAGAACCGCAAGGCGCCGCTCCAGCCACATCCGCTGCATCTTCCAAGTCATGCGGCTCGGCCTTCCCAAGAGCGGTTCTTTGGGCTTTTGGATGGCTTTTGGATGGCTTTTGGATGGCTTTTGGATGGCCTCTTGGACGGCTTTGGCTTCCGAGAGCCAGGGTTAAGTTTTTAGCTTGGCCCTTAGGGGTTTTGTGCCTTCTCGGTTAACCAGGAAGTGGACTGGTCGGTTACAGTTCAGGATGATAGGGCTGTCCGGGTCGCAGCATCGCAAGCTGCTACTTGATGGATCTCCAAACCCTGCCTTTCAATCTTGAGGTTGCTGTTGAACTCCATGGCCTCAGGGCACAGCGGCGCCTCCTTTACCACACTTTACCACCGAATGGCTTTTCTTGCAGTACTTGAAAGCGAGAAACGGCTCTCTGTGAACCCGCCTCCATGACAGTCAAACACTTCGGCATCGCCTCCTCTTGCGGCACGTATGCAGATACGCGCTGAAACAGGTGGTCTCGGGGGCGGCCGTTAAAGTGGATCGTGCCGGAATAGCCGCCCGACTTCCTTGATTGTTCGCACTGGCTCAAAAAGCTACACTCAGCCCTGACAAAAAACTTCGATTGCCAGCGGCTTCAGAATCTTTGATGCCAAGAATCTTGGCGGCCAGAATGTCCTTACTTCTAGCAGGGTTGCTTCAAGTTGCTTCTACATCTTCTTCCCAGATCCGCAGCACATGCACCCCGCCAAACTTTGCCTGCACTATCCATTATGACGCCCGACGGCCCGCGCGGAGGGAGCTTGTGGAACTGCGCCGAGGCTCCAGAAGGGTAGACTTTCCACAGCCAGAGGGGCCCATGATGGCCACCAAGTTCCCAGACTCATAGTGGCCAGATGTGGGCGCCTCACAGCGGAAAGCGAAGTGCTACGCATGTCCACTTAGTGGGCCCTAAACCCTAAACCCCAAACCCTAAACCCCAAACCCCAAACCCTAAACCGTAAACCCCAAACCCTAAACCCTAAACCCTAAACCGAGCCCCTCTTACTCGTCCAAGCTTCCAAGATCTGCTTCGTCTCCCCACTGCGAAGGCGCACATCGAAGGAGACCTCCTTGAAGGTCAACGAGGCGTCCGATAACCTGAGAAAGGTCCACGCTGGATCGCACCCGGATTAGCAGCCTTTGGGGTGCACTCAGATACAGTATAGATGCACTCTCACGGGCTTAGCAAGAAATTGATCCCTGCTCCAGGGCTTGGGGCCAGTCGCAATGCACTGTAACACGGATGCTACTTCGTTCACCCTGTCAGGGGTGCCGGGCACAGTTGTACAGCCTATCCCTGAGCTCAAAAACTTTCAAACGGCATATCCACGACCACATGTGCTCGGAGATGAAGCCCGCCCAGCCTGTCGGAGGATTGGCTCCGCACAGAGTCCGAGCTGACATCTGGACGTTTGTCAAGGCCGTCCAATGCCTCGGATTGCACACGGAGTTTCCCCGAAGAGTTTGCAAAGGTGGACTGCAGGACAAGACCTGAGGCGGACTGGGACTGGACATAACTGGACTGTCGGACCGTCGGGCCTCTGCACTCATTCGCATCTTGGATTTCCATCTCTGCCAGATGGCACCATCGGATTTATCGCTTGCTTTCGCACCTTGACCAGCTACGAAGCTCCACGAAATCATGGACACAGGTTGCAGGCAAAAGCACAACCAGACTGCGGCTGCTTTGCCCCCAACCTACACTTCTGCTCGTTCTCTCTCCCGCCGGGTCCTCGCCGTCATCACAAGGGACCACCATCAGCAAGAAAGCATGGCAGAGCTTGACAGAAGCCGTGCAAACGGATGCGAAAAAACCATGAACAAAATTCAAGGCATGCCGGGTCCCGAAAGTTCCCCAGGAGCCATGCTGGCGGAAAGGAGCCCGATCGCCGGGTGTGTAGCACCTGTTGTGAGAGTGGGGCTGACTTGCGAATGCAGACATGTGCTATCGGACCCATGGCATCCTATGGCTCCACCGCTCAGAATCAAAAGTCTGCGCACGATTGCAGGGCTTCCAGAAGCGCAACATGGCCCGCATGCCCTTCACTGACTCGAAACCAGTCCCAACGGCACCTTGCTGGACTGCTCCTGTGTCGCGAATGTCTCGACACCGGCAATGGGATCTTCGGGATCTTCGTCCATCCGATCGCCGGGGTGTCCACTCATCATGATATTTCCGGTTTGCCACTGGCCAATGGCTTTTGTCATATACTACATAGTAGTACGTATAACTACGTCGTACTATAGGTAGACTATACTTAAGCAGAAGGCTTCAAGGGGGTGCGATCCAGGCTTGAGGCGTTAAGGCGGTTCGGCAATGGGCCCGTCCCTCCAGAGTGTGCGTGCGCTCGCGTGCGCCCACCCAAGCGGCTCAGGACATGTAAAGTGGCGCACGTCCCTTGTTTTCACAGCCACAAGCGCTGCTTGCCCACTCCACCCCTGAGTAGAGGCACCGCAAAACTCTCTACACCCATGGTTGACTCAAGTACATATTAAAAACAAGAAACCATCAGACCAAGCAAACATTCAGGTCCCATTGTGGGTTTTTGGGTGTCCTTCGAGCTTTGCACCCCCAGCTGTGCACAGATTGATCAACATGCTTGAACAGGCTACATCACTGCTCAAGTAGCATGCCTTGCAAAAGCAAGTCGAACTCATACCTTCAAAATTTTCTGAACAATGCCTTTCAGCTGGTTGGCTGATCAGGCTGGAATGCTGCTTGTGCACATATCAAGAAGCGCGCTTCGTTCACAGTCTAGATCTGCCTATCGACACATGAAAATACGACTTAATGTTTCAGGCATGCTTTTGCAACGTTGCACGGAGCGCATCCGAAGCTTGCCATTTCTGCATTCGGGAGGTCAACCCTTTCCATTCGGAGGGTTGCACTTCAATGAATATTGGGCGCTCGCCACAACCATCGCGTGCTGGCAATCCAAACAGCGGAATGCTCACCAGATGGGAGGCAGGCCCTTTCATTCGGGTGTCAACGATGAGCTGTGGGAAAGCGAATTCGGGTCGTGCCGAATCAGATCCTGGTTAGGAGCCTTAGCCATCAAACCAGCTGCGAACATTTTTGGCCCATCTTGGTGGGGAAGCACCAGGCAGCAGACTGGCAAAAGGAGGATCGGCACCAGACCAGCTCCGTCGTGCCGGCCTCCCGCAAACGCTTCTCCCTTCTGTTGACCAGTCGCGCTTAGTGCAGTGCAGAAGATCGCACGCGTTCCTTCACTCCTACACTTTTGGCAGGGTTGCATCTTCCAGGCCGTGGCAGGCTCTGAGGAGTTTTAACGGAAGCCGACCTCTGGGCCACCGATGAGATCGCCATCTTCGGGCCTGATGTTTGCAGCACTTTTGGGGGCATCCGTCCTGTAGTGCCTAGGGGCTCTGACACAAATAAGGGATCCTGATTTTGAACAACCCTGCTCAGAATTGAAGGCCAACTTTGTGCATGAAACTGCCTACACAGTGAGCCCAACCCTTGCATGTTGGCGGCTAATGGCGAGCTTGGCCACGGGCTCGGAGCAGGACGACCACGGGTCGTCGGAGTCCTCGGCATCCTCCTGTGCCAGATCCACGACTTGTGAAGTTTCGGTAATTCGACTTTAAGCAATCAAAGGTTCTTGTTTCTATTGTAGCTACCACATAAGCTTTCTGATGACCCAAGGAGTCCTCCCCGGCAGTGTACACCCGAATTGGAAACTCGGCACTGTCCAAGGGCTGCGTCAGAAGGGACCTGAAGCCGCTGCAATGGTTGGAAACTCAGCTGCCTATCCGAGATCTCGTAGCAGGCTTGCACTTTGCACAGTAAGGGAGTCATGGCCGAAGAAATCGGTCAGGCAGCACACATCAACACACAAACATACAAGCAAACCGTCGAACATTGTCTGACTGCTGCTTGAGGCATCCGTGGCCCTGACCAACTCATCGAACTTCTGTGGGAAGCGCAGGCGGGCTGCCTACGACGCACTCGCGGCTAGGCTAGTAGCGGCTAGCAAAATCCGCTAGTCGATGTCCAACCTGCAGGCACTCCTACTTTCCAAAGGTGCAAACAAGGCACCCCAGCAACTGCGACACAGGAGCGTCTTCCGGGTCGACAAGCGTGCTCAAAAGAACTTCGTCGTCGCTTTCCAAGCCTGACAACGTGCGGCAAACCTGCCTCCATCGAGAAAATTACAGCTGTCAGTCCAGAGTCCCACCTGCGGGCCCGGCTTTCTTGGGGTCTGCCTTCTCAGCAACGAGCATGACAATTTGCGATGCCGACTGACCGTATCTGCGTGGATTTCTTCTCGCATTCCTAGATGAGCAAAACAATCCTGCTGTTGAATTGCAAGGCTGCCGAACGACTCTGCTCAGCAGCGAGTGACATCAGACTATCAGGCAGATGTGAAGTGCCTTTGGGTCTTTGGTAGAGGCCGAAGCATCAGGTCCCGATGAAATCCTCGGCTCAAACTAGCATTGAAGGGTGTGCTTCCTTTCAGGGCTCCGTCAGCCCACTCACAGTCGAGGTGCCCCAGGGGTGCGGAAGGCTCCCTTGGAGGCTTCTTGCCGGCTGCATCCTCGCCGGCAAGTATGAGGCGCATCGGCCGGTCCGGCAGGCCACGATCTGAGGTGGCGGTGCCCTGCATTTGCAGTACGGGACTGCTGACTGTTGGACACAAAGACTTCGACGCTTCACTGTGCGACTCGGTAGGCTCCTGAACTTGCTGGCGTGGAGCTGCGTCATCCTTGCAGGACATCTGGGACGAAATGCGCCCTGCACATGTACGAAAAAGCCAAAGCGTAGCCTGGACTGTTCGCTCTACTTTCCGACGCTTCCGTAGTCCCTGCATCGTAGGTGCACAGCTCAAAGCAGAATGGGCCATGTAGCTGCACATGAAATCTCATGAAGATGCGCTCTGCCCAGTTCATGCCTGCATCGTTCCGGACGACTTTCGGGTCATCTTTTCTGCAACCGCCTTTGGCCAATGAGAGCATCGCTGGTGTGATGTGTCTGAGACGCCGTGCCCCAGCGAAAGATAACCCTTGCTACCACCACTGCTCCGTGTGCGTACGCTGCTATACCTCAGGATGCTTCGTCGGTAAGCCTTCGACTCCATGTTCTGCCCCTGAAGCCCTAAACGGCCCTCTGAGATGCACTGCCCGATGGTGCAAGGATGCGCAAGGTGCAAGTTTTTAGAACCTGGGATATGAACCTGGGAGTTAAAAATCGCGAAGATCAAAACCCCCACTGGCCGCCTTGGCAAAGGTGAAGGTGCTCTTATGCAGTGGCTTGGGTGCCTCCAGTCTTGGTCCATGCCGAGACAAAGCGTCTCATGAGGACACCATCATGCGTCGGAAGCCATGCATCCCACAAACCAGACTGATTAAAACCCACAGGCGGCAAGAGCTCTTTGCCTCCTGCTCCAGAGGCCTTGAAGATGGCTTCCGCCGGAGGCGGAGTCTGTCGGAAAGGAACCACTGGTGCTGATGGGCGTGGACATCGGTCACCAGAAAGCCCAGGCTCGGCCTAGTCCGGTTTTCGGGGCACAGCTGGCCACGCTGACCTGCACAGTGCTGGCACAAGGCAAGGCCACCTCTTTAAGCATGTCCCCAAACCGAGCAGAAGCTTCAGACTTCAGACCGCCAAGTGACTCGAGATGCTTTCAAAGGAGATCTTCGAAAGCTCCGCCAACCTTACCAGCTCGATGCATTCCCCTCACTGTCGACTCAAGCTCGAATGTAAGGTTGCGGCATTGTTGCCTCCTCACCAAGCTCCGGCACCTCGACCCCCTGTGCAATGCATGTTAGAAGCTTGCGCTCAGCTTGTGCTACGCATGTGCTGCACATGTGGAGAATAGCTTAGGAGGCCTCGGCCTCAGAATGTTCCACCTGTGCTCCTGGACCTGAGTCTTGCAATCTCTCGAAGCTTTCCTCCGCTGTGGGAAAGACCAGTATGAAGCGATTTGGATAGCTTGAAGACACCGCTGAGTGGGTGGACTGGGGATCTGCGAGGGCGGCGACGCCGAACTCCTCTTTCCACTGAAGCGTTTTGTAGCTTTCAGATCTCAGATGGTGTCAGATGATCTCAGCAACGAGGCTTCAAGTTTTTGTATATGTATGTGCACTATATACTTGTGTGTACTGACGAAAGATACTCGATTTGTATGTATATGCGGCATATGTCGGTTTGTCGATTGGCGTTTTCCATATATCATTCATACAGTTCCTGCCTTGCCGTGCCAGGGGAGCAAAGCTCAGAAATCGACGACTCCTGAGTGCAGCGCAATCCGATGGGTTTGGAGCTTGGGGCCCTGGAACCCTGAACCTCGACAGCCCTTCAGGTGTATCTGGCACTTCGGCGCCGCGGGCCTCGCCATGCTCCTTGCGCACTCGGCACATTGGCACCGGACCTAGGCGACAGCTGCAGTTTCGCGAAATGGCAGCGAGGATGTGCGCGGGTTAGGCTTTCGACTGTTGGGCTGTTGTAGGCTTTGTGCCCTTGAACAGATCGAAACCTTTGTGGCACGCTGTGAGAACTAACTTATACTAACTTTCTGAGTCCCAGGAACCCAATAGCACAAAGATCTTAATCCACCTAATACTATACGCAGGAAATCGCTCCGAAGACGTTTTGCAGACCGAAACTCCAACTCTTAAAAAACGCACAGGGCGCGAACTGAAGAACAAGCGAGGGCGAGTTGAGACTGACCTCTGTGTGGATGGCAAATGGATGAACAGAATGAAACAGAACCTAACAGCTTTTGAGCTCACCTCGGAGGAGTGGCTGAGGGCTCCTCAATGCCATCCCATGCGAATGCTGTGCCGATTGCTGAAAGACATGTCACCACAAGAGCCCTTGGCTTCCTTCTGAAGCTACATCCGGAACCCGTCCTGCGCCGCTGCTTCTGCCGGTCTTCGCATGGGCGCAGGACCTCAACGTACAAGCATCCATAAAGAGCGACTAGGGTCAGACTTTGGTTGAAGGCAGGTGTCGGCCGCTGATCTGAGAATGCCAGCTAAAGAAGAGGCGCGACCGATTGGCTGTCAAGGATGCCGCTGACCTCAATCTCCAGGATGCTTCTGCCATGTCTGAGCACTTGTCTTGAGTGGCATAAACCTTGCGGAGTCCTGCCTACTCTCTTTGGTCACCACTTCTTCAGTTACTTGTATCGGACATACACCAGAAAGCCGAGACGGACGCAGACGCAGGCGCAGACGCAGGCGCAGACGCAGGCGCAGACGCAGGAGCAGACGCAGGCGCAGACGCAGACAGCAGCCGCCGCAGCAGCCGCCGCAGCAGCCACCGCAGCAGCAGCCGCCGCAGCAGCCGCCGCCGCAGCAGCTGCCGCAGCAGCCGCCGCAGCGACAGGGGCGAAGATGAGCTTTCAAGAGAGTGGTTATTCCGCTGGAGCACACAGCCTAGCTTTCAGAACTCTTACACTTTGCCTTGCTGACGCCCTGTAACACCCCTGCCATCCTGTCTAGCATCGTCTGATCCCGACTGGTGCCTTGAGGACGGTGGGGACAACAGCTTGCCCGCTGCCTGGGACACGTCCAAAGGACACAGCCACACAAAGCACACGAAACCGGCACGTGGAGAACCAGGGCTATAGACCAAGGCATGTTAAGGCAAGTCTGCATGCGAGCATCAGGGCCTTCTATTTCATCTCTCCGTACTAGCACACTGAAGAAGACGGCAGCGGAAGCAAACGGTGAACGACCCACGAGAGGCGCACCTCCTCTGCTGGCCTCCGCATGGGCACCGGGCCTCACCACGCCAAGCCGAAGTGGCAGGCTAAACTGCTTTTCTCAACTCCTACACCTCCAAAGAAATCAGTTGCACCAGCTTGTACATAAGAAGTTGGTACATCAACCACCTTTACACCGCTCTACAAATCTTGGCTGATGAGCCGTGCTAAGTTCTACTGGCTTCTTTGATGTTGTGTTGCCGCGTTTTACTTGTGAGAACTGGGTGTCTGCTTGTGCAGGTATGCATCGGTTTGGAACGTGCTTGTACTCACTATGACAATGTTCTTAGGATAAGCTCGAATCTAGATCAGCAATCTTAGCCAGCCAGCCAGCCAGCCGAAAAGCATTTATGCCAAATGAAATGGCTTTTCCAAGCTTGATCTCGCATTGGATTTGAAAGTCTTACAGTTTGGGACCAAAGTCAAATCTGTGTGTGTGGCTCCTGGCGGAGCTGGGGCACACTGCAGCAACTGTGCTCTCTCCTGTCCTCTAGCTTTCTGTCGCTTTGACCAATTGGAGAGCCAAACCCTCTGCATTCGCGAATGGTAAGGCTGGTAAGGCAAACCTGCATCATCCAAGCGGAGAGCAATGAAGCCCACATAAATGAAGTCACACAAGTTCCGAAAACAGTGCGGAAGCTAGTGCACACTCCCTGGTCGTTGACCCAGCATGCCTGTTGAAGCCTTACTACAGGTACGCACCGAAACTCCGCTTTGACAGCAAACACACCGCTGAGCACGGTAAGACACGAACTGAAGAGACTTGCGGGGCTTCTTTGCAGCACGGATGGCTGCCTCGACGGGCTCAACAGGGCACAAGAAGGCAATCTGTGCTGCAGCAGGCCGCATTCTGCAACTTCATGCCAGAGTAACTCCGGCGAGTGGGCATCACTTCTTGCAATATAGGGCAACTCACGCAGAAGTGTCATGGTCTGCAACCCAATTTCTCACCTGCCCACGTGCTCACGAGCATCAGCTCCAGCATCCTCAGGCTTCCACTTAGCGGCTGGGAGCCAAGAAAGGGTGATGTGAAAGCAGTGAAAGCAGGCAATCCTTCCCGTGGCGCATTGGCACATTGTCCCGGCTCGCCTGGCGTGGATCACGTAAAAATCCTAGCCATGCGGAGCACATGCGAAGCCCATGCGTAGCCTGTGCACGGGGCCACCCTACATGGGCCCTCACACCAACAAGCTCGAGCTCCATCGCAGCGATCTCAAGGCTCGAAGATGCTAGAAGACGTCCCAACCGCTGTCCCGAGACATGACCAACGTAAACGAATTTGGCAACATTGAGACATTTTGGGCATCTGGACCGTCCTGGCATCTTGCCGCCGAGCCTTGACTGCCGCTTTCGAGCTTGCTCTCGTGGTCAGCACCTCATGCCAAGCCGGATGCGCAGGCAGGCGCAGTACCATAATTCGCCCTTGGCCTCCGGCCGACAGACGTCTGGAACAAGCAGACCCTGATCTGGTCTCTTTCCCTCCTTCCTCCGTTCTCGAGCCCTTTAGAACCCGACACCCCCCCCTGCAACCCCACCCGACACCCCCTCCTGCAACCCCACCCAAACCTCTCTGGGATGTTTGCCAACCATCCGCACTGCTGGGAACCCCCTGCGATACTGAAGACACATGGGGAGCCCCCCCACCCCCACAGAGAAACGCACAGAAACTTATGCCCCGACTGCACATCCTGGCGGCGCACGCAAGCGTCTACAGTGATACTTCAAGATGGCGGGAACCTCCACGTCCGAGTCGTCATCCGAGATGCCCAAATCCTAAGAATCACAAGCTGAGATTCGTAATGAAGGGGCAGGAGGGGCAGGACTTTCTTCAGAGTGCCCAAAAGACTGCATCTGATCTTCGATGGGGCTGCCTGAGGTCCATGCCTCACCGACCTCACCTGTGGCCTGCAAACAGCTGGAGCTAAAAAACGACAAGTGATTCATAGTGCTTCTGGGTCAAGCAGAGAGCTGCCCTTCCAACTTCCAAACCTTTTCTCCAAGCTCAGATTTGTACATTGGCTGCAGCCCCTCCGGCTGGGAGAAAGCGATAACCGATGCTCTTAGAGCAGGCCAGTGGAGCCGATGGTGGGCAGGGCACAGCCCGGCACAGCCGGGCACAGCTGATCTCAGACGGCCTTTTGGGGACTTTCGGAAAGGAGGCATTTGTTGGGTGGGCCCAGTGGGCCCTGTGTCTTCTTGCCCTGCAACAGACCGTTCCGGTCAACGTGTGTGCAATTGAGTTGAAGCCCTGTCACTTGCTTGGTTTGGGTTCCAGCATGTTCAAACGTAAGAGTCAAGGTGTTTTTCGCTGCGCTCTTCGGAAAGGTACGGCAGCTGCGCTCAAATCCAAGCAAGCATCCGGAGCATGAAGCACAGCTCAACTTGATTGCACAAGTGCACCGCAGTTACCACCCAAGAACTTCTGCTACAGCAAAGGTTATAACAGGCCTGGCGCTAAGACCCTGCATGAGCAGAGACTTTGCTTACAGCGGGAGAGAAGCTGTGACGGTCTAGTGTGTAAGCAAATGGGGCGCGATCTTAGCACGATGGTGCATGATGCTGCCGGTGCTCTCAGGCAGACCCCGGGCGCTCCGAAGTCATGAAGCCTTTGCAGCCTGATGAGCGGATTGTGGAAGGGCACTCCAGGAGGGCAGCCGAAGGGACCTATGCTGCTTTGGCTGTGGCTGGGATGGAATCAGACCCTGCTGTGCTCAAACCGGGGAGCATATAGCAGCGTGATCTCACGCCTGTCCGCCCTGGGCAAACTCCTCACACCTTACGCAATTGAATTCACAGATATTCGCAGCATAGCTGTCGGAGGAAGGAGCAAGAAGCCAATGCAAGGCGAGCACAGCAGATGTGAGCAGGGTTCGGGTGCCGGTTCGGGTGCCAGGTAAATCCAGGAGCAGGAGAGTGCAGAAGGGGCTGCAGGTCTGGGCACCTACCCACTCTGGATGCTTCTGGCTTCGCCACTTCACTGAAAAATGTCAACTGTGTCCACTCCAGCCCATGACTTCGCGCCAAGATGCATATCTAATATCTTGGTTGGTATGACCTTGGCTTTCGGTTGGCACGTGACATCCTGCTGAGGAAACCTGCAAAATGTTTCATTGCGCTGCCAAGACACTGGGGATTGTAGCCTGCCAGTGTATGCATGTTTTGAGAACTTGGCCTAGGGAGCCTTGCGGCCATTCTCACTTCCCCCTCTGCGGCCTTGGTAGCTGCTCTGCGGCTGGTAGCTCCTGAGCTGCAAAAAAAACTTTAAGCCTTAAGCTTCGCAGATCTTGGCGGCGCTTCGGCGAATGTATGTAGTTCGTGTGTACATATGAAGAAGATACACATGTATAAATAAGCATATATATATATATATATGTGTGTGTGTATGTATGTATGTATGTATGTATGTATGTATGTATGTATGTATGTATGTATGTATGTATGTATGTATGTATGTATGTATGTATGTGTGTATAAATGTAAATACAGGCAAGTGTATCTATGTAACGGATATACGAGTACATGCACTCAACGTACGTATATATATATATATGTATCCATGTCGCATTGGCAAAGGACACCTCGAGGCTACACGACATGTGCAGACAGGCTGCGAAGATGGACCTGCAGGGCCAAATTGTAGCAGAGCCTTTCTTCCCATGTGCAGCAAATGTGAAAACTCCGCGCCTGAATACGAGCCGGAGCTCTGGTGGTAGCTCGGTTGGTAGGGCGGCGTTTGCTGGTAGCCATTGCCCGAAGCCGATGGCCCGTACTCCCTGAGATTGACATGTCCAGAAGAAGATCATTGCCCCTAATGCAAAAAAAATCATCCGCCCACTGCTTGACGCTCGACCTGTAGGCCTAGGCTGCGCCGCACTTTTGCTTCGTCCCTTCCCGTCCGAGCAGCGAGTCGAAGTCCTGCACATCCTGCAGGGTCTTCTCAGAATGACAGAAGACTTAACACAGCTGTCCACTGCTGGCGTGTTCAAGAATGCTTGCCCCCAGGTTCAGCCGGCCCCACATTGCAGCGAGGAAGATTTCAAGCAGAAATCGCCCGGGACTTGTTTGGACACCCTGCCATCCTTCAGCGACACGGACATGTCCGAGTCTTGCACTGAGATCCCTCTGCCGGAGGCGAACAGACCTGACAGGCAACTCTGCCGGAGCGGTTCCACCCCAGAGTTTTTCTGAGGTCCGGACGCTTATCGTCTGACCCCTGATCTTCGTTCATTCTGTGGATGATGACGCCTTCCATTCAACACGTCGGAACTTTCAGCCCGACTCTGAGAAGCTGCAACCCACGGTAGACTCACACATGCTTCACGATGCTCTGGCAACTCCATGCTCGGGTCAGCCTCCAGCAATCAACGCCTGCACCGTCAAGCGTGCAAGAGGAAGATGGGCAAACAAAGAAGGCTAACAACAAACAGCAAACAGAAAACAGACAACAAATAACGGCAAACAGCAAACACCACGCATCCAACAGGAAACAACAGCGGTAGCCCATAAGGAACCAGGCGTATGCAGGCCACACTTGGGGAAGATAGGCAACCGCCCTACCTTACGCTACCCTGGTTCCATTTGAATACCGCCAATGTTTAAGGTCGGGGCAGCACGGCCGTGCCACTGGCCGCTAGGTTGAAAATAAGAAACAACGCCGCAGAAAAAAACTAACCAGCTTTTCAATTGGAGCATGTAGGGGCTTGATTTGGTGTCGTCGTGGGACACTCTCTGGACTGCAGGAAAGTTCACCAATGAAGAAACAAAAGCAAGAAGGTCTGGGAGAGGGTGCGTGGAAGCCGTTCATTCATGCGGCACCACGTTCACATATACTCTACAATTCGTTGCACCTTCAACTGGCAAGTGCACGATCCTGGTTCAATACAGGAAGAGCACATGGTTCCACATAGAAACTGCACACTCCACAAACGAAACCCCAAACTTTGAAAGGCATGTTGAGCAGTTTGGTACACTTGACGAACTCAGTTGCTTCTCATGACCGGTCACATGCATGCAATCTCCACCAATGTTCCAGAACATCTAAGATGATCTTGCTTCACGGACTTCTAAGCTACTGAGCTGCTGAGTTGTACACGTTGTACCGTAGTTGAGCAAAAACCAGGTTTGCAAAGTCTGCTGCCGCGGGCTTAACTTTCGGCATTGAGCCACAGCAGTCGCAAGTGCGCACCAACAAACATCCATTCAGCCCACTTCAAGCCCAGCCACGATAAGCGCCAGCACCAGGAGCAGAGGCCACCACTGCGAGAAGAAGCCAGGCTCTTCCTTCGGCCCTTTCAGCGGATGCTCCTCCCGCTCAGGCGTAGAGCTTCGAAGGTTCACTGAGCTCGCTGCTTGTGGGGTGGCACGCTTGAGCTGTTGGCGTAGTGCTTCCACACGTTTGGGGGAAGACTTCCACGATTCCACCCCACTGCAGACCTTTCCATTCAGGACCCCGTTCTTGCCTTGGTTCCGACCTCTGGCTCGCCGATTTGCAGGGGACCTTCAGGTGCAGGAAGCCCAAAGCTCGGATCTCCATGAGATCATGAGATCATATTTGGGGTCGGAGGAGATCATAAGAGGGTCATGTGAGATCATGATCCTGGCAAATCGCCCTCCCTGGCCTTTGAAAGCATATGCCGGCAAGGCCGCGCCGCTGGTCGCGGTCTTCAAGTTGGACACCAGGCCTGGCACCTTCAATAACTGAAGGGCGCATGTTTCGGAATCATCTTCAAATCTTCAGAGCATACTCTACATTGCTCATGGTTCCTATTCTTGGCCTACTTTGAGCGTGGAAGCTCCGCAGATGGACTTGGGCTGAAACTCCCGAGCCTTCAGCTTTTGCTGCAGCTTTGCTGGGTCCGGGCCTTACAGCACACGATCTGGACACAAATTCCTGCGACGTTGCGCTTTTGGCGGCGCATAGCCATGGCGACATACACACTGCTGAATTTTGCAGCAAGACACTTCCGACGGGCTCATTCAAAGTGAAAGCCTCACAAATTCAGCGACACATGCGAGAGAACGCCAGCACTCAAAAGCAAGGAATCGCTCTGTAAAGCAGAGGGTCTGTGAGCATCGATCCACCAGCCATTGGCGTCAGCTTCACCTGATCGCCCATGTCTATTCGAAGGAGCGAATCCCCAGATGCACTTATTGCCGAATCTGTCAGCAGCCCAGGACCGGGCCTGGGCCTTCAAGTCGTTCGGACCCGGTCCTGATACTCTTGGGGTTTCTCAGGATCAGAAGAATTTTTACCAGACTTATGGGGCTTTATAAGGCAAATTGCCAGCTCATCGGCAAGCGTACCGGAAGAACCTTGAAAACCCACCAGTCCTTCTTGTATCTGATCCACAGGAATACCCAAGGTCTGCGAGATTGCTTCCGCATACCTGGGGTCTCTGGCATGCCCAGCTCTGTGAATTCGTTGGCCAAGGGTCGCGCCCCGGACTGATCTTTCTGACGCATCTCGGGTCTAGAGGAAGACATTCGGGTGAGGGAACAATATTCTTTAGGATCAAGAAACCTTTTCCTATTTCGAGGCAAAGAGAGTCCAAAACAAACCTTGCATGCATTAACTGAACAGCAATAAAGTAATTACTGGGGACTCAGAAGGCAGTTGGAGAATTCCTCTCTTCTTCTTTGCAGCGCGCTTGAGATGCGAACTTCCTGCGCTCCAGTGTGCCCGTGGTTCCGGGCTGTGTCTGCGAGGACGGTTGCGTCGGGCATTCCAGACTAAGCAGCTTAAAGACTCTGTTCCAATACAAGTGGGGTCGAAACCTCTCTTCCTTCCAGATCCGGCCAAAGGTCCGCGCTTGCAGCAGGTGCACTTCCTCGGCTCATCTGCAAAACACTCGCCCTGATTCCATGTCCAACGCAGGGAGGAGGCTCGGTGGACGGGACTCTACGACTCTGTCAAAAAGCCAAGTCTCGGGTTCTGACAGGGACCCGACATCCAAGTTGTGAACAGGGATCCTTAGCAGAAACGATGTCTTCTGATGCAGTCTAACCAGTCTAGCCGACTCTGCAGATTACGGCGAGGCTACGTGACAATGGCAATGCCCTTCCACATGCGATCAAGAATCCCGATCTCGGCCAGGTGAGCCATGTTCGGTGACTCGGGCGTTAGTGAGCCGTCGTCGAGCCCGGGTCCGGGTGCCGAAGCTCCTAAAGCACGCTCAAAACTGCTCCGAAGCCCGCATAGAGCCCACGTCTGCAACGCAAAAATCCGCAATGACATTTGGGAAGGACCCACCTGGACGCAGAGGAACCGATATCGTGGTGGTCGCCCAATCTTCCAGGTTTGTTGTCGTCACGTAGGCTTTGGAGCAATCCGTTGGGCCTCAACAGAACGGGGTCGGCTCTGCATGACCCCGAGATGTTCGGAGCTCCCAAAGCAAATCGACAGCTGCACAACAGGCGATCCTGAGATGGTCTCGTAGTTTTCCGATGGCACCCTATGAGCATCGCCACCAGCAACATGGCAGCCACCGTCGGGCCAGTATGCAAAGAAGTTGCCTTAAAAGAACAAAAGGGCGCTTGCTTTTGCGGGGTGCGGGGGGGGACATGGTGAATATTGCAACTTCTGCTCTCTAAGCGGCAATAGACCGTGAGCTTACACCGCTCGCGGCACGCCTCATAATTTGGCTCTGTGGTCCTGGCACAGGGGGACTCAAACTGGGCTCGCACTTGTAGAGGCACGCCAAGAGCGGAAAAAGAGCCCGAAATCTGGCACCTGAAGCTGAGGAACATATCAGGTGGCTCATATCGGAAGCCACGCTCTGCGCAGTCAGTCAGGTTGAGCGGTTGCTCTGCCTCCTTCCGGCTCACAGAGCCCGCCTCAAACAGAAACCGACAAGAGTGCGGCGTGCCATCACAAGCTCCACAAGCTCTCTCGGCTCTTGACTCCATGAAAGGATGACGAACGCGTGAGGAATGGAATGGATGACGAATGGATGACGAATGGATGAGAACCAAGGCCAGGAGATGGGCCGAGCTGCTGGGCAGAAGTGCTGGATGTACTCGCCCGCCACACAGTCTTGGGCGAACTGCGTGTCTCGGCGAGCTGCATCCAGTGTCAAGGGGAAGGGTGGCCCGTACTCCTGCAAACGTGCACAGCGCCCTCATGATGCTGCCCCTCCTGCCGATTTACTACGGAGAAAAGCGCCTGCCTGCGACGCATCCTCAATCCAGCAGCCGTAGTTCGGAGCATATGTCCAGTACTGACATCTAAAGTCGGAGTAGCACATGTGCTTGCAAAAGGAGATCGCATCCTGTACATTCCTTGGCGACTCAAACTTAAGTCTCACATCAAGATCAACAAAGTGAACCCAACAAAGGAAACGCCACTGCCACCATGTTTCTGAAAGAAGCCTTCGTCATTGTCGAAGCCTTTCCACAAACCTCACATGATAAGCCCTCTGCCTACAGTACATGCGCTGATGCGTTCTGCAGGTTTAGAAAAGTTGCAGCAAAGCTGCCAACTATCTGCATGCCCGTCAGGTCCTTCAGCACTCGCACGGATCCATGCTGAAGCCGTTGAGCTTCCTTCGGCACGAAGTTGCCGCGGACGAAGCAGTCCTGTGCGGCACTGTGCGGCGTCAGAAGCCGATGACTTTCAAGTGTCTGCCTTTGCCCGATCCGTCTCCTTGCCAATACCCTGCCAGCAGCTGTTGTAAACAGTCTTCTGCCACGATTGGCACTCGGGGTGTTCTCGACAGTTCTGGCCTCGAGGCTCAGGTCTCAGATGGTCGCAGATGGCCAGAATATGCCAAAATCAAATGCTACGTCTATTGAGGGCAGAACCACATTCGGCCCCGCTGATTTGCTTCATCTCCTCAGGCGCCAGAAGAAGCTGAGTTCACTGCCATACTTGCGAGGCGCGCAAATTTACGAACGAGGTGCTACAAGACCAACGCACTTTCCCGGCCACCCATTTTTCGTGTCGTCAAGCACTTCAACCTGCGGCGACGCGAGTCCGTACAGTCAGGCTGTAAGTTATGGCAGGTGAAGGCACGGAGTGAGCAAAGCATGTGATCCGCTCCGTGCCGCAGAGCAGCAGTCTGCGAGAGACCCTACGATCGGAACGATTCGGCCCGGCCTGCGTGCAAGGAAGGGGCGCACCATCCCAACTCTTCGGCCAACATTCAAGGCCGTAGGGCTGCTTGCCACCTCGGCAGTCATGCAATGTCTGCCACGGTGGGCTGTTGTGTGTGTTGGCTTCGCTAGAAACGGTATTTATTTGCATTGACCTGCTTTCGCTCGTCCCGCCATGTCCCGCCTGGCCAAGCAAGGTTTGAAGCTTCGGCAGTTTGTCCCGGGAAGCCGTTCCCTGGCACCTCGGAACTGCACCTGACAGAAATCTGGCAGTATCGGTTGAGGATAGCCAGGCTTCAGTTCTAAGCAACCTTGTCGCAGTAAATCCTAACCTTGTCCAGCCTGGCAGGCAGATGCATGCCTTGCTCATCACAGGTTCTGTAGCCTGCAGGTTCAACACAAGACACCACTGTGTCCACGGGCTTGTCTCACAATGACTCTCACACATGGATCGCACCCTGCCTGCGATCAGGTATGGACTGTCCACAGGAACTTCGACTGCGTTAATGTCCTGGAAACTTCGCATCGCATGCAGCAGGTGACTGCGCCGTGTGAAAGTGATGTTCTTGGCAGTGCTATGCAGTGCTCTGTGCGACTGAGAGAAAGGCGGCGAACCAACATTCTCCCCAGAAAGCCCTGTAGGAAAACTTGACGCAGCCATCAACGTATCGGCAGTGCTCTTGACAAAGCCTTGGCTGCTTTCATGCCATGGTTGGCAAGTCATATCGGAGCTGTCTGAGGTGTTCATCAATCCCTCGACCTTTTGAACCGGACGTCTTCCGATAATGCCATGCCAGGAAACTTGAGACTGGTCGTGTTGATGTTCTTGTTCGGTATAAACCGATCAAATTTAAAGCCTCCCCCAGGGCCAAACTGCATTTGGACACTGCACTGCAGCTTCGGGAGGCTCACCAGACTGCGCACTCGTCTCTTTCTGCTCACAAAAACTCTAAAGCTGACGGTCACTCCCGGGTTCTCCCGGTCACTCCCGGGGCTCTCCCGGGGCTCTCCCGGACATTTTCGAAGTCCCCGGAGTGGACTTACACAGACTTGCTCAGCGAACCCGGCTCTGTCAGAGCAGGATAGTCTCCTCATTTGCACCCCCGACTATCGCATTCCTGCGCTACTACCTTTGGCATCTGAAGACTCCGCGAGTCCGTGTCCAGCACCCAATTCCTGTGTGAGCCGTAGCAGGCGTGCAATGTCAGCGTGCCTAGGTGCGGGCTTCCCTCCGGTGTTGCAAGTACTACAATGCTCCGACATCGCGAGAATAGCGAGACTGTACCTTCTAAGCATGCGATATCCACTCATCCAGACTACATGAATCTACATGAGATGATGAAAGGTGAGCATCTACCGCAGACGCTCCATGGCAGGGGAAACAAAGGATCTTGCACACGTCAGTCTACGAAAAAAAAGAAGCCCTTGAATGCAAAACGCTCCCCCGTGTGGCAAGGAGAGCCGTCAAGGCAGTGGGCGTCCAGCGCACGGCACGGCTGGCCTCTGACAAAGCAGCCCAAGGGGCTACTTCGCATGAAGTCCACATCCTCATTGGTCTGGGCGTGCAGCAGGGGCGCCTGTGAGGTGCCACTTTGTTGAAGGCTTTCCAAGTCATCAAGCGTCCAAGCCCCCTCCTGAACTTTGCGGATTCTGACCACCATGTTTCTCGAAGCTCAGTTGCGCATAGATGCGCCATGCGCAACGTGCAATGCGGGCGCAAGTCCCCGCCTGCAACACGACCAGGAGAAGCACCCGGGCCATGGGGGCTGCCCCCTTGCACACCTTCCAAACAGACCAGAATAGACCAAAGGCGGAGAGGCAAGAGGAGGGCAGTTTCTGGCACAAAATGGCACAAACTCGAAGCATCTTCAATGTCAAGCAGACAGCTAGCGGCCACGGCCTCCAAACCAACGCTACTGCCAGTGTCCAGATTTACCTAACATTAAAGCAAAAGCTTGAGCCGACAACGTGCCCCGGCCGCCACCAGATATAATGGTCAGATATGGCCACCCAGTCCTTATACCTGGGCTACAAAAAGGCTCCTTTCCAGAGCCTCCGAGCGCCACCTTGCCACTACGTAGATCAGCAGATGCGCTAAGCCGCTAAGCGTCTCATCCCTCCCCACACGCGAGCCGTTTAGCAGCAAGGACAGCCCTGGTCAACATAAAACGCACGACGCGCGGCCTGCTTCGCACAAGAGGATGGCCTGACATCAAGGCCAGGTTGGAGGCAAAAGCACACGTGGCACACATGAGCATGGCTCACCTCATCGAAGAAGCAAGGCACGGAGAAACCTAGGCGTCATCAGAGGGTCGTAACAAGCCAATGATGGCCAGGCCGTGGAAGAAGAGCTGATGGCTTGAGGCCCTGCACTGCTGCTTCGTCAGCTCTGAAAAGCAAGCTTGGGGACACGCTGCGACCATTTGGAGAACAGGCCTCAGCATACATCAAATCCTGGCTGCCCGAACCCTCACACTCTCGGCAAGGGTGCGTGCACCGGCCAAACTCGAGGCAAGCACGGCGAAGACTCCTGAACGTGTAGTGAAGTGCAGCGGTGCAAAATTTAGCGATGGCAAGTAAGTAATTGTTCAGCCGTTCAGCCATGCCCTGGAATGTCTTGGAAGACCTACCCTGTCGCCCCTCGCCTCCAATATGGCAAGCTCTTCGTCATCGCTTATGTTGCAGGAACCTAGGCAGGATGGCGTCTCAGGCTGTTGACGAAGCCACAGGCACTTGTTGCACATCAATGCCTCACCGTTGCACGCACACTACGCACAAGAACTACCACCAGGCACCCGACCATCCAGCAGGCGTGTGCTTGAGCTGCCTGTGTATGTAGAGGATGGTGTGGCGGGCGTAGCTGGAAGAGCCGTCTCTGCATCACAATCGACGGGAGAATCAAGGGTCTTCAGCCCGCAGGATGCTTCCATGAGATCCCCAGAGCTCGCAAAGTCCACATAGCGATCCTCGGCTTCATGGACACATCCTTTGAGAAAGAGAAATCCTTTGAGAAAGAGAAAGAGAAAGAGAAAGAGAAAGAGAAAGAGAAAGAGAAAGAGAAAGAGGAAGAGGAAAGAGAAAGAGAAGCGTTGCCCTTCTTGGTTCTAGCTTGTGCAACTCTTAGGGCATCCCAGCATCGGCAGATGGCGCTTCGGCTTCTGGCATGACCTGCGACCTCAGCTCCACTGACACCAATGAAAGCCACCTCCCTCAAGCTTGCCGGCCAGGCTCCCCACAAAGAGTGCAGGCTGCCAGCTTAAACCTACATGGTTCCTGAGATTTGAGATGAAATGCCAAAGGCGGACACACAATTCCAGGTCGCACGGCTTTCCCTGCACGGGACTAGAGTAATGGAGTACTGCTGGGTACTGTACCAACATGAGAACCAGAGGGCATAGAATCACCCTATATCACCCTTTCACCTACGTCCCACGGTCTGTGTCTCTGTTCCTGCACACCTGCGACAAGGCATCATGGCGACTAGCACAATGCGCATGCAAGGGTTCATTTGGTACCACGCCAGCGGCGACAGACTACTCACCAGCCTGCACAGATGCCATACTCGGCAGAGCCCAAAAGACCCCGTCTCCGTATGAGCTGCTGACTCTGGGAACTCTACTGGCCTTAGGCCAGGAAGCCTCGATGATTGAAAGTCGCATCCATCTGTTGCAGATGGTGGCTCCTAAGCACTCGATCCCCATGTCTCGCCGACATGGAGCTTAGACCAGACGCTGCACATGCGAAGCGTCGGCAAGAAAGGGAACCTTGAATTTTCTGCACTCTCAGCGATGTTAATCGCTCTAGCGATGTTAATCGCTCTAGCGATGTTAATCGCTCTGCCTTGACGATACGGGCATTGGCCCCAAAGCAAGGGCATGGTACCATCATCTTCTTAGAGATCCGTTGGTTTTGTCCTGTTCAGGTGCATCCGGCGCATTCTGCTGCGAACCCATGAGTACAAGCGAGGGCACTGCGAGGACAAGGTTCTTCTGGCCTTGATCATGGCAAAGTTACAGTCTAGCAGTTTCCTCAGAAGCAACAGGAAGTCCGGGAAGTCCGCCTGAAAAGGACGTGTGGCATGGAATACAAGCACAGGCTCTGCTCCAGGCAATGAAAGTCTGGACCCGCAGCCTCTGTCTGCTTCTTGCAGACCTGCACACATTTTTGAGGACGGTCGTTCAGAAGTCTTTCTGGTCAAACCTGTTGGGCTTGTATGGGTTTGGATGGTGCCTCAGCAAAGATCTCCTCCAGCTGTGAGGTGAGAACGTCACCCAAGGGCGTGATTCCGTGAATCATGGCCCGGAACTGGCGAGCAGCTGCAGCAGAACACCCCCAGCAGTGCCATGTCGCCCCGGATGCAAGGGACCTCCTCAAAGCCCAGCTCTTGCGAGTCGTTCAGCGAATTCAAGAAGAGCTCGCGAAACCTCGGCCACCGGATCCACTTGCCAGCAGCCTTGCACGACTTTGGCTTTTGAGATCCGCTAGAAGGCTCCTGACAACGACGGCATGCTGGAAACTGGAAAACTGGAAACTGTGCATCGGGCTCAGCCACCTCCTGGTTTGTGAAGCCGGCATCCTCGCAAATCTCGCAATTCGCAAGATCTCGCAACAAACTGCCATCGGTTTCCGAGCCTTCATGGCCTGCTGCTCTTTCCTCAGCCGCTCCTTGTCCTGAGTTAGGAATTTGGGAAGGTGTGGCTTGGCTTTGACTTGACCAGCTGCGGCGTGCCTTGAAGGCGCGGAACAGACCCATGAGCTTCAAAAAGCTGGCGAAGGACAAGCCTTAAGTAAACTCCGCACACAAACTCCATAACACCAGTTCTTCCAACTCTGCCCGCGGCTGCCAGTGCATTCCTGATCCACCTTCCCAGCTTGCAGACTCTACATTAAAAGCGTTCAGTTTTGTGCAGACGGTGCGATGAGCCGTGCCCTCGAATCTCTCGTTCTCACTGCTCACGAAGAACGACCGACTGCAAACTCTACACGATGAAAGTTCGCTGGCCTCCCGCATTAAAGCCTTGAGCTGCGGCCGCTTCGACCTTCCAAACATGTTCACGAGTTCCATGCTTGGGGGTTCCTTTCCTTCCCGAGGTGTCCTCAAATCTTCAAGAAGTGCGGGTGTTTTGGAAAGCCCCCTGCTTGATTCCATCCCAAGTGTGAAACCTTTAAACCGACGGTGTGGGCGGTGCTTGTCCACGTCGTCGCCAAAGTGCTATTGAATGCCGCATTAGTTTAGACATAGGTATGTACATATATATATATATATGTATATGTTATGTGTATACGTAGAAAGTGGGAGTCCTTTCCCGCTCCTTTTGACTCGTATCTTGGTAAAGAAGCGGAGCAGGTGGTCGCCGTGGGTGGTCAGCGCAAGCAGGCAAAGAGAGCGTGCAAGAAAAAGATGTGACCGGCGACAAGTCAATGAAGACTGGTGGGAAGGTTCTTAACATTGGGTTTAGAAGTTTAGGGTTTAGGCGGTTTAGGGCTTAGGGCTTAGGGTTTAGGGGCAACTTGAAGACTGCCCCTGACGATCAAAAAAGTGCCGACGGCAGGGTATTGCAGGATGGGGAAGCTGTGCCGGCTGCGCCTTGCTTTGGCCAACTCTGGAACGACGTCTTCCACCAGGTGAATGAGCCTCGAGCTGTCAGATGTCGGGCTTTAAGATTTGGGGCCTGGGCCGGGATGGCTGGGTTTCAAGAGTGTTTCAGGTGGGGCTTCTCAAGGGGAAGCATACGGTTTTTGGGATGCAGAGGCGTTCTCAGGGTCTGACTCGGTCTTGGTCACTCGCCCTGACCTGTCCACATCGTAGCGCCTGAAGATGAAGCGTAGCTCTTCCACCTGGCCCAGACTAAAGCTGACTCAAGCCAACCAAGCTACAGTCTCAGCTGCAACCGCAACTGCTTCAACCTAAGGAGGCTTTCTCTGCAACTGTCTTGCCACGAGCTTGCACATGCGTCATGTGCCACCAAACCTCCGGGTCCGTCCATCCACCGTTTCGCTTGATGGTCTGTCAGGGCGAGAAGCTGAAATATGCCCACGGTCACAGTGACTGCATCTGAAACGGATGCGCTTTGCCAGCGCAAGCAAACTCCAAAACAGCCTCGCGAGTCTTGCGAGCATGCTTCTGACAGGCACCTGGCCAGCATGAGCGGCAAGGTGCTCGAGAAGAGTGAACTCGTCACAACAGACACGACTGGCGTGCCACGATCAAAAGTAGCCAGCGGCGCGCACGAACCCGTCACGGTGGACCTCATTTTCATTGGAAGCGAGGTCTAGAGCGACATTGCTGCATTGAGAGGCCCTAAACCCAAAGCTAAAGGCAACCTTCCCCCCTCCTCGGGTGCTTTGACTACTGATAGGCACAGAAGCAGAACACACCATCACACAGCTTCTTGGCAAATGCACTGGGAGCCTCCGTTACCAGGCAGAAGCTCACATCCCCTTCTCCCCCGAAAGCCAAACGGCCAAGAAAAGCTTCGACCGAGCTGCAAAGAAACCGACAAGTCCAGGCAGGACCACCTCCACCTTGCGAAGCTCCTCCTTTACCAGACGAGGCTTGGGGAAGCCGAGGCTCTATAGGAGGAACTCCGAAGGAGTTTCGGCTTCTTCTGGGGCTTTTGGAAAGCCTCGGTCCAGGGCAGGGTTCGGGGGCTTTCGGGGGGCAGAACATAAGCTTCCGGGTGGAAGAATCTGAAGGCATCTTGCTATTGGGGGGTTAGGGGTTGGGGGGGCTCCAACTCGAAAGCTTCTCTTAGACAGCCCAAGTGTGGGAAGATGTCCTCTCACCACTACGCATTGGGCTAAATGTTGCGAACACTTCACCTTTTGTCGTGCTTAGGATTTCGGAAGATGCCTCATTCAGAACACAGAAGAACCTCATATCACTGCGCGCAGGAGGAGATGCATCCTTGTCTGCCCCATAGCCGAGACTCGCAAAGGCCTGCATCCACCCCAGCTTGAGCACATCAAAAGCAGGACTCGCCAAGAACGATTAAATAAAGCATAATAAAGCATAGCCTTGGAAGCATCCGCCGCACTGATGACCTGGCTGATACTTCGGTTCCCATTTGCCCCTGCGTTTGCGACGATCAGTTGGAGCATGCTTCTGCGCTGCCTTCAATGCACAAGGATCGTACTCGTCGAAAACCTGCACAAGTCTGTAGAGCCCTTGGGTATAATGACAATGAATGACAACCGCTTGCGCGGCTTCAACTTGTCAACACTGTTTGATGCACGGTGCATCACACTGGCCTGCTGGAAGCAGAACATGTCACGTTCCTCTCACAACTTCACATAATTTTGGTTTCTTATGTGCATCGCCAGTCGCATGTAGGCTCATGTCATTCACGCCATTATTTGCCCATCAAGACCTGCAGCATGCGGACCATCTTGCGAAATTGTCGCCTCAGCAGACAACGTTGCATGCACAGCCCTCGATGATGCCATGGCATTGCTAGAAAGTCACGGCCTGCTGAGTGCAGGTCGGTTCTAAGCGATGAGAGTCATCCACATCAACCTGACAAGCATCAACATGATGATTCGTTTGAAAGCAAATGACCAGGAAAGCCGAAGAATAGGTTCATCATCAGCATCGATAGCTTCAGGCAACTGACAGTGTCAAAACTCGACTTGTTGGCTCTGCTGGCTGGACTGCGACATGTTTGCAAGATGCCGTGACAAGCCAGAATCTACGTCATGCATCGGCAAACCTGCAGTCAGATGCCACGATCGCCCTGTACTCCTTACAGACCTGCCTGCCGCAGGACGCTCTGCATGGCCTGAGGGGGTACGGAACCACCCCAATTTTAATACCGCCATCCATTTCCCGAGTTGTGACCTGCGCTTGACTTCCGGACCCTGACCGACATGACTATCAAACAAACAAAGCGGCTCGAACCCCAACAGTCCAGAACGGCTCTTGCCTAATTCCGACGCCCGTGTGAATGGAGGCCCCAGAAAGAGACAGGACGACTCGATAGAACCATTGAAGATAGAGTACACTGCACCATAGAGCCAGAAGTGTGGGCCCAGCTTGTGAAGCAAGACGCAGCCCTCGTACTGCGACCAGTGTTTGACAGAAGGCAAGGAAGGTCTTCTGTAGTTGCAACCAACGGCAAGGAGAGCCGTAATTATGCCGCAATTCCGAAGATTTGGAGGCATCTTTGCGGCAGTCTGGCGTGGTCGGAGCCGCACGGCAAAGCTCACTCCCGCCTCAAAGCTGACCTTGTATCCCAGCTCGCGAACAGCGGAGGGCACCTGTCGTGTCAGAGCATGAACTGCCAACAATGAAAGCATGGGCCGATTCTACGCTCGGGAGACTATTGAACTGCGCTGTTGCGCTGCCAATGCTCTCTGAACGATCTTAGGCCAACAGTTTGCTTGAGCTGCCCCACACATCCCCACACACACTCACCGAGCCATTCCAGCCTCGAGGGAGTTCAGTTCTCCCGAGCCATCCTCGCTGGGCTTCAGGCTCTGGATTCTGGACGTTTCTGGGTTCCAAGTCGTACCTGTCCCTGACACTCACATTCGGGAGCTTCTCGCTCTTCTTTTTTCTGTTGTTGGCTCCTGGTCTTCCCGACGGAAGGCTGCATCGATGCTCTGCAGCTCCTCGTTCCGCATCCCCTGGCACACCGGAAAACAAAGCGTCACTAATGAGGAAGCCTAAGCAGGGGCACACCGGGATCATGGTGCTGGAGAACTGTACAGATATGTCCAGAGAGGTACAGAAATCTACAGAAATCTATTCAGAAGACCATTCGGAGAACCCTTCTCCAAGAATTGGGGGGCCCATGGCCCTTCATCCAAGCTTGGGCCTCTCGCTGACGGTACACCAACAAGAGCCGCCAAAGCGCGCTGAGGTCCAACCTCGCCGAACATGCAATGTACCATCATGGCACTCCTAGTTTTAGGGTTTAGGGTTTAGGGTTTAGGGTTTAGGGTTTAGGGTTTAGGGTTCTCCTTACATGTGCCACAAGGCCTCCAAGAACCAAAGAAAGCCAGAGGCCCTAAGCTGTTGGCGTGCTCATTCCCTGGAGCCCAGCTTCCTCGGCTGCCTGGAAGAGGGCTCTCGCTCTGCATCGCGCAATGGAAAAAACCGTGCACCCTGATGCCCCCATAGCTACAGCAGGGCGCCTCGCTGATGGCCTGGTGATCCCACATGTCATAGCCCAGCTGCTTCAATACGACCGGTACATCCTCTGGCGTCACACCATCTACATCGATCCGCATGATTTGCGAGCACAGGCTCCACACAACTGTCTTTTGCCACACGATGCTAAAATCCAGCTGCAGAGGAAGGCACAGACTTGTGGAGGGAGAGGGTGCCGCCAGCATTTTGCCCTGAAACGGTGGATTCCATCACCCGACGGACCTGGCACGCCATCCCACAACAGAATGTTGGCATAAGTGTTGGCGGAACTGTTGATCACAATATGTCAGTCCCAAAACTGCACAGGACTGACAGCCGCACCTCCTGCAGCTCGTGTTCCCGGACCTTTCGCAGGCCTCAGCTCCCAAGCCGGACAACTCAGCTGCCCTGTTTTCTGGAGGCAATGCCGCAGTAATATGTTGCTAGTTATTCTGCCAGCTCCTCTTTTTTCTCATCTTGAGCACCGGCTCGTCTGTGTCGGCTGCTCACGATCTCACTATCACTCTGAAAGTCTCGGAGTTTAGGCGAACAAAAGGGAATCGCAAAGGACACTGCAACTCCTGTTGCGACAGTCATGCGTGCTCTTGCTGGCCAGGCACACATCAAGTACTCGCGGTGGTTCATGAGACCCGTCAGCTTGACATCCGAGTCTCGCATGATCGGTATGAGATCCTCCACTGTCATGGCATAGCCCAACCTTCGCAGCAGCAGCAGCAGCAGCAGCAGCAGCAGCAGCAGCAGCAGCAGCAGCAGCAGCAGCTGTGTGTGAACTCGGCTCGAGCGACTTCGCACAAGGAACTGCAACGGAGCAGCCAATTCAAGACCGCATGGAACTCCTGAGCATCTATCTTGCCGCAGTTGTCCCTGTCAAATCTGGCCTGAAACATTCGTGGTTTACTTGATCGCACAACAAATGATCAGCATCAGAGATGCGGTGATTCTGCTCGTAGCCACGCTGCAAACATCTCCATGAACTGGTCGTACTCGCTGCTGGTAAAGCCCTCGCGAAGGATGAGCAAGTCCATCAAGTGCTTGAACTCCTTGTAGACCAGTTCCCCATGGCCCTCCTGGATTCACAGCATGACTTGGATGTGAACTGTGTCTTGCACTCACCGCAGTGCAGCGCAAAACGACTCGGGGCTCGCCTCGTCCACCTCCTGAATGACTTCATCCAGCACATGGGTCCTGGCTGGGCCGACCCTTAATCTGCAACCCGTTCACCTGGCTTAGTGCCTCCAGTTTCGGAATCTGCCCGCCGGTCGCTGCTGCTCACGAATAACTGAGGTCTAGGCATGGGCTCAATTTGCAACTGCTTCAGCACCTGTTGGAACTTCCGAGGTCATGACATTCATGGCAGAGCAAAAGGCGAACCAAGTTTTGCCAAGTTGCAGTTGTGCCTTTCTTTATGTCATGTAGAGTTGGGCATATCATCTGGTATCCCTAGTTGCCGCCCGCAAATTTGGTGCTGCTCGGCAGGACATTGCAAAAGATTGTCTACAGAGACAACGCAAGCAGGAACAGCAACGCAGAAATTGGAACACGTATTTACGAACAAGCAGAAAGGGGAGTCGCAAACCGGGTTTGGGAAACTGCAAACATGGACTTGGGAAACTGCAAATGACGTGGATACCGACATTCGGGAAACTAGCTGCAAACCGCGAATTCGCAGCTTCCGCTGATCCCGAAAACTGGAAACGCAAACTCCAAAAGCGCAATTCGCAAAGAGGAACCAGCGACTGGGAAACGGCGGATTTGGAAACCGCGGATTCCAGCTTCCTGAGTCCGGCAGTTTCTTGAATCGCGAAGTTCCCTGAATGGCGTCACTTGCGGGGTTGTGGTAGTGGTTGTGGCAGTGGGAGCGGGAGCGGGAGTGGGAGTAGTATGGAGTAGTAGCTGTAGTCGTCGTAGTATTGCGACAAAGAAGACGACGAGGAGGACGACGACCACTACTAGCACTACTACCGCTGCAGCAGTTGTGCGTAAGGGTTTTCAACTTAAAGCTACAAGGCTGAGCCACTGCACAGTCGGCCTCGGCAAGCTCAGCAGACTCCACCGTGCCAGACCGGTCTAGGTCTGCCTCCTCGAAAGCCTCCTCGGTGCTGGAAATGTCTTTGAGGGTTCTTACTCACAGGGCTTAGGGTTTAGGGTTTAGGGTTTAGGGTTTAGGGTTTAGGGTTTAGGGTTTAGGGTTTAGGGTTTAGGGTTTAGGGTTTTGGATTCAGGGTTTAGGGTTGAGGGTTTAGGGTTTAGGGTTTAGGGTTTCTTACATCTCTGAGCTAGTTTGAGTATGGGATTCGTCTTTGAGCTGCCACCGACCAGCGCTGGGAAGCCAATGGAAGGTATCAACTTGAAGGGTAAGCCGAGGCCAACGACAGCTAGCCAATATCCGAGGGGAGGCCCACACCACAAACCTCAATACCCCAAACCCCAATTGCCTTAAACCCTCGATGCGCTGAGAACCCAAATACTCCAAACCCTTAAGACCCCAAATACCCCAAACCCACGAAACCCTGAAACCTTAACTACCATGAAGCCCTAAATACCATCAACACCCTAAGCCCTAAATTCGCTAAACCCCCAGTACCCTGAACCCCGAAATAACCTATACCCTGAATACCCTTAACAGTAAACCGCGAATACCCTCAATCAAGACCCCAAAACCGATTTTCCCGAAAACCCTGCATACTCTAAACCCTCAATACCTAACTCTAAACACGTGTGTACGCTGCTGCTGTTTTCTTGCTTCTTGCGGTTGGAACTCATATTGATTTGGTCACTACTGACAAAAAAACAAAACTGACCCCAACGAATGAAATTTAGAGGATGCCCTGTGAACCATTCAAGTGTTGCAGAGACACGGCGACTCACGGCTATATACGTCGATTTCTTAGAGCTGTTGTGCTGCGTCACAGCAAGCTGGATCAGGTGCGCTCCTTGTAGGCTCTCTCCTGGAGAGACTCGTAGCCTCGCACGAACTCAAGGAATTCCTCCAGCTCCAGTGTGGAGTACTTGGTCACTGAGTCCTTAGAGGCATGTAAAGATCCTCTCGAGTCTCACATGCGCAAGATTGCACGAAATCCTGCATCCTGCATCCAGTCATAGTCCAAGCGGCACACACTGACTGAACCCATTCCTTCTTAATGCCCACGAAGCCACACAACTCCAAGCCACGAGGAAGCTCGTCACAATGCACCTCTCCATGTTCCTGCAGCTTGCCGAAGACATCTGCCTGTGCAGGGCAAGTTCTGCCATCCAATACCGACCCTGGCAGTCACCCAGACAGAACATGATACATGATTTCGCCAAGCGAGTGGCCCTCACATCCTCTGTGGTAATCATGGAGGCACGCGCTGTTGACGAGGCACCTGCGGGAGGCCTCGAAGCACCGATGGTAACGAGATGCTTCAGACTTGTCGAGTCGAACCTAGCCACGTCGAAAGACCGCGAAAGACACCACAAATGTCTCTGCAGCTGCTGTCGAGCTGCCGTTTGTGTCCACACCTTCGGCAGCTCTCTCCATCTGCGGCTGCTGGAGCACCACAGCCCGTGCCTCGAAACGGCGTGGTCGCAAAGGGTTTCACATTGTTTCACGTTGAACACACTATGGGCGTAAACGATGCAAAGGTATGTCTAGCGATGCTCTAGTGCAGCAAGGGCTCAAACCCGGCCACTTTCCTCCTTCACGAGGGTGCCCCTCGTTCCTCAAACACTCTCACATGTTGCATCATGTCGCATCATGTTGCATCATGTTGCATCACGTTGCATCACAGGATGCCAAGCCAGAGTGTATCCATGTGTATGCAAACCTTGCAAGCTCTGCTCACTGCGCCCCGAATGTACGGCTCTCACACGCGCCGTGTCTGCATGCGAGTTGCCCGAGCCAGACCCGGGCGGGTGAAAAGAGCTGTTGGCACTCTGCTGTCCAAGGCCGTCATGACCTTCGGAGGGTTTAGTTTGTAAGAAGGGGGAAAGCGTGAAACCCCCTTGCAGGCCCTGAGGCCATGGGGTCTTGTCAAAGTGGGGACCAGGGCCTTCCTCGCCATGATTCTTCAGGCTGTTGAACAATGCCGTGCAGGGTACATCTTCGAGATCGCCCATTTGGACAAATGGCCACAAACGTACGGGAAACATCTGGGTTTTGCGTCCTAGAAAGGAGACAAGAGCGGCATGAAACCCGGCAGTCTTGTCATTTGCCACAAGCACCTTTGCTTGTAGGAAAACTACATCTTCAGCCACGAAAAACAGCGCGAGACCTGCTTCTGGATGTGGCACTGCTGGCGCCGAGGAATGTCCAGCTGCTTCGGCTCCTAAAGCGAAACCGCTTTCGAAAGAACCCTTCAAGCGCCAAGACAATGTGGCTTCGGCCCCTTCCTCCTGCAGCTCTGGGGCTTGGGTGTTCATCCTCCATGCTACGCTGCCTGACCTGGAGGGCGAAGACACACACACGCACACAGGCATGTTAGATTGAAATGAAGGTCAGTGGCCATGCTAGCAACGCAGGCTAGGCAGAAAACCTCCGCCGAACTGCTGTCACGCCCTCTACAGCGTGGACAGCTCCAGGACACCTCGATGCGGCAGAAAGGGCTGTGTCAAATTGTTGGCGGAAGGTGAAATACAGCCGGGCTGCTGTGAGACGGTAGCCGCAAGTTGGGCAGCCCGGTGTTTCCGGCTGGGCAAGCACACTCCGCCTGCTCTGAAAGATGAGAAGGGAATCTGCACTTCATCCCCTGCACGCTTTAAGACTCTAGGCCCACATGGCAGGAAATGACCCGATGTATAAGTAGCTTACTGCTCAGAACAACAACACTGCTGGCCTGGAGTCAGACAGGCTCAGCTTCACTTTCGTCTTGCGGACGAACACCACCTGCACCAAAGGCAATTACCTGTACCTTGCGGAGTCCACCAATGTCCCGAGCACGGGCTAAGGCAGCGACACGTTCCTTGGACACCATGGAACTTACGAAAAAACTCCTGGCCAGAGCCAAGCAATTGACCAGCATGGGCGCATCCACGTCTGGCAGCATATGACATCTGTCGTACATTTTTCGAGTACATCCAGAGAGGTCCTGTTTGCTTTTGGCGCAATGGGAAGCAGCTTTTCGCGGCTCCTCGACTCCCGTGCAGTTTTTGAAGCACCTTGGCGCCACTGAGCTAGTTTGCTGCGCATGAAATGCTCTGCATCGCTCCACTCATGATGACATCTTGATTGCTTGTCTTGTTGCAACTCTACACTTGTCTTTCAGGCATGACTCCGACGAGCATTCGTTGTCTTCGCCTGTGCCCGCAGCCGGTGGACAGTCTTCTGTCCTGCAATCTTAACAGATTTCTGAGAGATTCTTGCCCTTGCAAAGCTTGCACAACCCTGCGTATTTCCGGCATGCAGGTTCTCTGATTCGGAAATAGATTCGAACAGAGGCTAGATGCTGTGTCATGATTGTTGGCCCATCATTGGGGGCCTGTGTGAGATCTTTGCCACATTTTGGACCTTCAGCTATCACCAGTCGACCTTGGACATGGAGATGCTAGCGGAGACGCAACGATTCGCACGATGTGGCGACAAGAGCCCCTGTTGAAACAAGTCACTCGGTATAGATGTTGCACTTGCTGTGAGTTCCGCGCAAGAGCTCCTTGGCTTCAAGGCTGATGCATCACCAATCAACAACGGTGCGCAGGCCACCGATTTGATCAAAGATCTGTGGGCTCTGAAGCTCCATCGGCGAATCGTCTCCACCGGAGAACCATGACACATTGCTGAGATCCTTCACAAGACAGTGAACGTGTCATGTTGTAAATCGAAATCTTCACTCACACTCTTCTTGAACACAGGACTGCTGTAAAGCTACCCCTGCCCCTGCGGTCCAGAAATGGCATGTCATACCTCCGTCTTTGGTAAAGCTTCTTCGGCAGTGGTGAGGGCAGCATGGGCATTGCTTTGTCCCAAATGCCCTGAGACCGTCGAAGTGGAATTGCATCCCTCGCATCCTGAGAGCACCACTTTCTTGGGCATCTTGGCATCTGCCGTTGGCGGTCTTAACATGCTCAGGCAGAACTTCAGAACGGCTAGCCCGCATTTAAAAAGATACCCAAGCTCAGCAACAGCAGCATATAGCAGCATTCTGCCATTAAGTGTGGCCAAGCTTCAACTCGAGACATCTCTGCCTCGGTCCTCGCAGGCCAGGACATCCAGCTCGTCGCAGATAAGCCCCAATGATCGGACGCAGTGCTGGCCGATCCCATTCCTCCAAGAGAAAATTACATCAAGATCCGGCAATAAATAGCACGGCATACCACACCTGCACGCTGACAGCTGGGAAGTGTAGCAACTGTACTGGGAATCGTGGGTGGTGTAATTGGAGCTGTCCTGGGCTGTCAGAAAGGTAAAGCAACCGTTAAGCTGTCTGTGCGCCACAGTGCCGTCATCGGCTGCTGCAACATCTTGAAACTTATGAACGCTTTTGAATCGCAGAACACAACAACCGAGCATCCGGTCAACAGCCGGAAGCTTTCGAAGAAGAAGCTGTTCCCCACCACGGTCCACTGTCATTCCTAAACAGCACTCTTGCCACAACAATGTCTGGCATAAACATCAGCTCAATGTTCGATGTCTGCCAAGCGACCATCTCACAATTCAAAGCGGTGACCTCGCAGCTTAGCATTTACGTGCAAAACGTACAACACGATGCAACCCAAATTTTGCCCATGCATCATCATGCATCATTCAATCCTGGGGGCCCACAGTCCTTTCGCGCTTCATCATCCTGCGACGTCTTCAACCACGTTGCACAAGATGGAATTTCTCGGGTGTTTCTTGTTCGTGGGTTTCACAGGCTACTTAGGGGCTACTAGACAGACACATACAGAGTCGAAAAGCAAAGCTGGCGCCTGCAGCTGCTGCATAGAAACTAATGACCGTCCGCACCCAACATGGCTCGTGAGTGGTGAAGAACTGGCTCGTGGAGGAAACCATGAACAGCCGTCCACTTGCAAGCTAAATGCTCGTTGACCGCAGACTGTACCCTGGGCAGCATGTCGGCACTGCGGAGGTGCCGAGAACAACCATACCAGCAAGACAGGCAGAGTCGCAGCTGGATCGTAGCAACGAAACATACATAGCAAATGCACCTATATTTTGTGGTTTGCATTGAGGAAGCTTGGGCGGAGGGAACTGAAGCAGAGCAAGATCCAGTTGTTCGGCCGCTGACCTTTCTATTCCCATGCTCTGGAATCAATCAAGCTTTACTGCTCTTGGTTCTGTACAACAAGGGCAAATTCTGTAGATCGACTTTGCCCGCCCGGGCAGCAGCATCCAACAGGAGTGTCAATATTGCCGGATCGTGAAGCACTCGGTGTGATCCAATGCCAGTGGTGGGATCGGGCAGCACGCCATCCGTACTGGCTCCGGCATCTAACCTTTCTTGGAATTTTTTTTGGGATGGCAACTGAGTTGGCAGCATAATTGTTTCAACACATAAACAAGAAGCTGACAAAAGTTTCCAGCAGGGATGTAGCAACAGTTCTTTCACGACATGCGGATGCCCTCCTTCTGATGCTGCAAGCAACGGCATCTTGCCAAATGCATCGCACGGGTGAAGGTCACAGCGGGCCGCCAGCAACATCCGTACGATATCCAAGTGGCCTGCGGCAGATGCATGGCCAAGAGGCGTTTCAGCATCCTTGTCAGCACCAGCCTGCAAGAGCAACTGCACAATCTTTGCGTGCCCATTGCCAGCTGCTCTGCATAGAGGCGTCCTGGGCTGCACGTGCAGCGACGTTTTGTTTTTGTCGGCACCCGCCCCCAGCAGCAAGGTGACGATATCCACGTGACCTCCACTGGATGCTAAGCAAAGAGGTGTTCCCTCGTAGGTGTCTCTGTCTTTTTCAGCGCCTGACTTCAGCAGCAGTTTTGCGATGTCAAAATAGCCCTGAGCCGCTGCTCCATGAAGTGCCTGGTGCAAAAAATGCACACCTTGCTGCTCAAGATTTGGGTCTGCACCGACTTCAAGCAGTACGTGCACAACTTCCACGTGACCTCTGGCGGACGCTATGCGAAGTGATGTTTCGTTTTGCCGGAATGCTTCTTTGTCGGCACAGGCCTCCAGCAGCAAGCGCACAACCTCTGCGTGTCCCTTCTCTGCGGCCTCAAGCAGCGGCAAGGGGCACTGGCGCTTGCGGTCTCGCTGATTTGGATCGTGCAGTCGGTGAAGCATCTCTTCGACTTGTTGAACGTGACCCGACGCAAAGGCTTCGCTGAACGCCTCAAGCTGTAATCGCCCAACTTTGACAAAAGACATCAGAACAAGCTGCAAGTCTAACGGCTGATCCAACGTCGTATGGTCATCCAAGACAACACCATTATACAGCAACTTTTGCCTGAAACGCGATACTCCACGGGTCTTCCAAAGATGCCGTTTCAAACTTCGCACATCATTCAGATCTCCTCCAATGTGTGTGGCAAACTCCTCGCCCGATACCATGAAAACGCGAAGCATTCGTTTCTCGTGAAGTATTAAAACATTGCACAACAAGCCAAAGCGTATTGTGTGTGGTGGAATTACTGTGGAATTTATGGGTACTGCCAAGTAACCTAGGTATACCATATAGTAAGGCTTCGACTCATCGTGACACCCTGAACCGCAACATTCTGGGCAGGCTGCCTCTGGCGACCAAAAACTGTGGCGCTGTTGCTGTTGCGGTGCTGTTGCCGTCGCTGTTGCTGTTGCTGTGGAAGCGCTACCAGCTCAAGCGGCCGTGAAAATCACACAATATAAGCAACAAAAAATTATAGGGTGGAAATTAGAATAGTTCTCTCTCCTCCAACTCCGGATCTCGAAGAATGAAACACCAGAAACAGAAACGACGGCGTGAAAAACTCTCTGCAACTGCAACAATGCTGCTGCTGCTGCTGCTGCTGCTGCTGCTGCTGCTGCTGCTGCTGCTGCTGCTGCTGCTGCTGCTGCTGCTGCTGCTGCTGCTGCTGCTGCTGCTGCTGCTGCTGCTGCTGCTGCTGCTGCTGCTTCTGCTGCTGCTGCTGCTGCTGCTGCTGCTGCTGCTGCTGCTGCTGCTGCTGCTGCTGCTGCTGCTGCTGCTGCTGCGGCTGCTGCTGCTGCTGCTGCTGCTGCTGCTGCTGCTGCTGCTGCTGCTGCTGCTGCTGCTGCTGCTGCTGCTGCTGCTGCTGCTGCTGCTGCTGCTGCTGCTGCTGCTGCTGCTGCTGCTGCTGCTGCTGCTGCTGCTGCTGCTGCTGCTCCTCCTCCTACTACTACGACGACGACTACCAGCTACAACTACGAACTACAACTACAACTACAACTACAACTACAACTACGACTGCAACTACAGCCATAACCACAACCCACAACGACAACGACAAAGACAACTACAACTACAACCACATTTCATTTCATTTCACTTCGGACGCATGTGCGGGACATGTCCCGCACCTTGGCCGGCATCGAGGGGTAGATTGACTTGAAATGGCGGATTCTAAATCAACCAAGCGCTGTGTGCAAGCTTGGTTGGCCCCTAAGGAGGGAGCGAGAGGCTCGATGAAGCATAGCACTGCTATTAGAGGTTTGAAACTTTTTTGGGAGGTCTTTTCTGTGCAAGTAAAGAGGCCAGGGCGGAATTCGCGCGAACAGCGGGAGCGTCGCCACGGCACGACAGCGGAAGCGTCGAAACCAAGGCCCCGCCCGCACTGTTGGGGAAAAAGCCCCAAGCCCCAGAAACCCCCTAAAAAGCCCTAATCCAAAAAACCCTGGGCCCTAAAAGCCTTAAACCACAAAAAGCCCTGAACTCTAAAACCCGAGAAAGCTCCAAATCCCCTCAACCCCGATGCTAGAAAAGGCAAAGAAGCAGGAATTCGGTGTTGCAAAGCGTCTGTACTTGGGTCAAAAGGCTCCGTGGATGCTGCCCTCAGAGCACACTTTCCAAGTATCAGGCAGACAGTGCAGCCGTTTTGCTCACTCTGCTTTCCTCGATTCATGCGTGGCGAAAACGAGACAAATTACCCGAAGCGTTTGGCCAACGTACAGTGCACCAAGTGAGAAAGAAGGAATTTCTTTGAAGCTCAGCAAAGGTGAACGGTAAGCGAAGGCTGGTCTTCCCAACCAAACAGGGGTGACTTCTTCTTCTGAACGCAAGAAACAAAAGACTAGAAACGAGTGGGATGGAATTCGAAGTCTGTCTTTTCAAAAAAAACAATGGACACTTTCTGATTCTTGAACAACGGACACAAAAGAAAATCGAAACGAGGGAGGTGAACGTTGACTCCTCGAATAACTCCCCTTTTTTGTTGCTTGTTGTGTTCATTGTTCGAAAACCAAGAATGCAAGAAATTAATCTAAATCTTGTGTTTATTTTGAAATCAGAGAATGAGGATTCGAAAATCAGAGAAGTCGAGAATTCATTTAAATGTCCACTCTCGCTCTTTTTTTGTTTGCATTTTAGAGAAGTAGAGAAGAGAGCGTTCATTTTTTTCATCTTTGAAAACAGAGTGATTAATCTAAACTTGGATTTTTTGCCTAACGGCAAAATGGGGGTGCGAAGCACTCTCCCGCTATGTCTGTAGCCTCCAAGAAAAAACTGCGCAAGAAGCAGAACAGAGACCTTACAGTT